TTAGGGATAGAGTAATTGTAGTATTTAGTATATTTATATTATAGTTAGTTAGAAATGAATTTATTATTGTAAATACGAGATTGTTATTTTATTAATTTTATACGATAGTAGTAATAAAAATCGTAGACTGTTTTAACGAACGTTTATTCCTTTATAGGATTAATATAAAAGAGTTTATTATTTTCGTTAATCAATTATATTAGTTTATTAGTTCGGGGAGGCTCTAATTGGTTAATACTTTCGTTATTATCTATAGTAGTATGGAAGTTAATTATAAATAAGGATTAAAATAATTATAATATTATAAAGTAGTTAGTAATTAATATTAATTATAATACGATACGGGTATTTTATTATTAGGTATTTAATTAAATATAATTAATTTAGCGGGTATAGTAGTAGTTGGGGTATGGGTATATGGTTGTTGTGTTGTATAGCGATAAAATATAGCTTTGACTGTGTAGGAAAATATTGTATATTAAAATTGTTGAATTTTATTAATATTTCGTTGGATGTTATATAATATTTAAAAAGTGGGTTTTATTATATAAAACGCGGGACTTTACATGTCAACTGTCATTGGCTGACATGTGGGGAAAAAGGGGTGCGTGAAGTCAAAATAGGGTGCGCGAGGATATTGGGGACGGTGCGGCAAGTTAAGCTCTTCTATTAGGTATTATACAAGTGGGTCATTCCGTCCTCCTCCACTCCTTCCTGCCTTCCTGCCTTCCTGGCCCTTCCTTGTTGTTGAACACCCTGGCTGGGTCAACCATCCTCCATAGAGGTATTCTTCAAGAAATCTCCTTCCATTTACACTAATATACTGCCTGTCAGCATGTCACAGCGTGTCAGACCATTCCACTCCAGTCCTCAAAGACGGGCCGGACCCATCCGGCTTTTCTGTTTCGCTACCTAATAACCTACTTACCTGTTTCCCTTACATAGTTCATTGTAGTTCAAAACCGAACAACATTTCTTCCACTCGAATCCAATTGCTGTGTCACAACTTCCTAAAAGTGCCAATGTCTCCCTTCTTCCTTGCTTCCTTCTCAGGGGCACCTCCCGGGCAGAAAACTCCACCTCTGTCCATATAATGTCCATCCGGTGCGGTTTCCGAGTGTCACTGTCACTGTCGGATTCTTCAGCTTGTTTGACAGGTTGTCGGGCCATCATCTTAAGTACCTTCTCTTGCCTTCCCTTGTGTTCCGTATCAGATTCGACACAAAACCAAATTTCCGTCGCTGTCCGGATCTGTGCCTCACTCAGTCACTCGGACCTCGAGCTCGTAGTAGACTGTAGACTTCGGGAGATAAGAATACAAACGGGACCCTGGACGGAAACCTAGTGTGATACCCCCACGAATGTGCGCTCGTTTTGTGGACAGTCGAACTTGAAAAGCAGGACTGCAAGCTTTAGGTAACCAGTTCTGGCCGCCCACCAATTTGGGCATTCACAACAATCTTGAATAACAATCCATCACCAAAGGAAACAAAGGAGGGACTGAGTGAGGTATTTGTATCAGTCTCATTTTGTAATCTACTCGATCTAGTAAACCTGTCTGTCATATGTACTCCGCTCCATCTGTCTACACTCTCACTGCTATGTATAACCCATCGTATCTCAACCCCCTCTTTTTGCCCTTGGTTGTCCAATTCCATTCGTATCCCTTCATCATCAAAGTAATGAGCGTATCTTCATATTTAAACGAAAAAACCGCAAACGAACCCATGCAGAGAAAGACAAAGCCAAAAAATATATATGTGCAAGAAAAGCAGGCTTTCTGCAAGAAGCAACAAAAAAAAAAAAACCGCACCAAACACCAAATCCCCATCTAAACATCCAAGCACCATTCAAGGTAGGTAACTGATACCTCCAACAATCCCATCCCATCCCATCGATTTCCACCGAATATATCTCACAGACCGGGTTCAGATTCGAATCGAATCAATCAAGAGTCAAACAAAGCGCCATAAGCAGGCACCCCCCGACTCTCCAACCCGTACACCACCTTCTCCGTAACCTTCTGGTTCGAAATAATCACCACCGCCTCACACGGCTTTCTCGCCTCGGGCCTCACCAGCTCCTCAGGAAAGATACCGTTCCTACTCTGCTCCCACATGCGATACGCCACCTTGACCAAATCGGGCCTGCCCGTCTTGCGAGTATCAATCACCACGGCCGCAGGGTCCGTCTTGTAGATCAGATCCAGCAGCGAGCGCCCGAACGTCTGCAGCGGGTTGGGCGTCGACCAAATGATGCGCACCGGATGATCGGGACGTTGCGTGAAAAGAGACAAGCACGGGGCGATGCCGGATCCGGTACCAATGACGATGACAGGGGAGAAGAGACCAGCGCAGCGCATGACACCAAATTGAGGAGTGCCGCGAGTGTAGATTTGCTTGGGCGGGCGGTCAATGATCTTGCGAGTCCAGTCGCCGGCGTGCGAGACGATGACAGAGAAGCCCTTGTCGCCGCCGTGGGAGAGACGCTGGAGAGGTTGGCCATCGATAGCGCTCTTCTCGTCGGCAAGTTCGGCGGCGGTGGGAGCGAGCGGGTGGGGGATGACGCCAAAGGCGTGGGTTTCCTTGAGGGGGGCGTCGGTGAGGCGGACGGCTTGGCCAAAGTAGACATCGCGGTATTCGAAGTTGAGCTTGACGCAGTGGGGCGAGAGGACTTCGGCTTCGACGTTGCGGAGACGCATGCGCGACCAGGGGTAGGCGATGAGGAGGGTGGTAAAGAGGAGCATCCACCAGGCGGCGTTGCGGACCAAGAAATGACCAAAGGAGTGGTGAGGAGAGGATCTGTTGGAGGAGTCGGCGGTCTCCAACATGATTTGAGCCCAGAAGAGGCCGATGACAGTCCATCCCATGAAGCGGTGCGTGTTCTCAAAGGAGTTGTGCATCAGCACACGGACACGGGGGTGCGCAAAGATGAGCATGACCACGAGCATGGCGATGATGGAGTAGCTGAAGAGGTAGATGTATCCGCGGATGGCATCGAGGGGACCTTCCTGGTGGGAGCGGAAGTCGATGGTGAGCAGAACGAGGTAGATGACATACCAGAAGGTGGCAGCCACGGCACCGCCCGAGTGAAGACCGCCATAAGAGTAAATCTTGGCGGAAAGGGTACGGGCCCAGAGAGGAAGCACCTTGGCCCAGGTACCAAAGACCCAGAACATGGCGTTGACGACGTGCTCGTTGCGGACGACGAGGGCCATCAAGAGGTTGGCAGTGACGGCAGTGGCAGCTTGTTGATAGTTCAGAATCGGGCGGTTCTCAATACCCGAGCGGATGATGAACCACAAGACCGCGGCGGCGTTACCCAAGAAGGCCAGGCAGAAGATGCGGCGGTAGACAGACCCAAAGTTCCATCGGAGGTACCGATAGAGGCGGTTGCCTTTCTTGGGCGGCAAGGGGGAGGCGTCTAGACCGTGGTACACAAGAGGGTCGATATCAGGGACGAGCTGGCGGACCCGGACAGCGGACTTTTCGTTGTGTTTCTTGGAGTCAGAGAGGCCGGTGGAGCTGGAGGCATGGGAGCCGGCTGCGTAAGGAGTGTTGGCAACTGTGGTGCCGCCCGATTCGAGATCGGGGTTGGACTGGCGAATGGAGTCATCGCTTTCATCCTCGGACTCGCAGTCGTCTACCTCTTCGACGAAGACCCCGGACTGGGCCGGATGGGCAGGTGTGGGCTCAGCGGGCTTGAGCTCCTGGTTGTAAGGGGAAGCCATTGCGAAGTGAGTGTGTTGAAGTGTTGCTTCTGGTGTGAAACTCTGAAAGTGAGGTGGTTCAGAAGAGGAAGCTGTTGATCCTCAAACGCAAGATGCTGATGCTGATATCGGATGGAAATAGAGTATGGACGGGAAGAGAAGTGCAATACTTTATACCTTGATGGTCACCATTGTAACCTTTGGTGATATCTACCATGAGATACCACGATACTGATGCTTCGGAGACATGGAAGAAAGGAGTGTAAGGCAGGTAGACCAAGTCAGCCCATGCTTACTCTGGCCAGCCGCAATAGTGGAGGACCATGACATGCCCGTCTACCCGGAGACTCGAAGAGTGTACCAAGGAAGAAACCCGCAATGGAATCACTGATGTTGGATAGGGCGGGGCGCTTGTGTTGGATCCCAGTCATGATGGGGTCCATCAGTCTCAGGTGTACTGCGTAAGAATCAGCTCGATGATGCCAAGAAGTTGTGAGTGTGTCACTTTTCCGAGTAGACAAGGTACGTTGTGGTGTGGGATGTACCTCGACATGTGATGCATCTTTCAGATGCAAGCAAGAGACATGTTGAAATCGGTTATCGATCTTTGTGTGCGTGGACGTTGACATGGGGGACCAACGTGGGATGGGGGCGTGTTCGATGGCCCGCATATGGAATGGCTCGTTTGATGACACCCGGTTGGTGACCAAGCGGAACAAAGAGTGTGGGACCCAACTGGGGATGGAAAAGGTGACTTTGGGTGTAGGTACCGGGGAAGGACTGAAAGGAGGCTGAAAAGGGAATACCAGTATCGTACATCCTGGCCACTACCACCGAGGCATGGCCTTTGTGCTATGGGGAATCTCTGGAGGGCAAGGGTGAAAGGGTTGCATATTCCGCGAGGTTGAAATTTGTGTGGATCAAGGTCAACCTTGCTGACCTTGCCTTGCCATTCTCGCTTTCACATCCATCACGATCGATACAAGAGAGAGCCCGCTGGCCGGCCAAAGGGAAGGAATATCATGGAGAGCTACTGGCTCATTCACGATGTCAGGGTCTTTTGCTGGTATCACCAACATGTGTTCAGGTACCAGACAAAGACTGACAGACAACGAAGAGGTACCGAGAGAAGGTTCCATGGTCGGCATTCTAGCGCCACAACCGAATTCCTGAGCGGGAAGCAAAGCAGACAAAGCCGCCAGAAAGACGTAGCAAAGATACAATGGCTTTCAGTGTGCGAGATGGGGACTTGAACAAAGGAAGCCGTGACAGAAGTGTTGTACATGGGTGAATCCGGAGGATACATGATCCACAAGGCCTGGTTTACTATCACATTGTACCACTTGGAGATGGGATGCCGTTGGATACCACCCGTCTAGATGTGACTTTGGTGGGATGGGGGACATGTCTGGATGGGGATAACACGGACACAGACATGCGTGGTACAGGTACAGACAGGGCAGGTCGGGTATGCCTGTCACACCAAATGTGGAATGTCAGGTACAACAAGAATAAGGAATTGGAATTCTGTGCTGCTGCTATCAAGACGGTAAAAGAAGGTTGAAGCGTGGTTGGTTGCAGTGCAGATTTCGATCGAGAAACTTGTCTGCATGAATGACCGAGATCCAGTTGGCTTGCAACATGGATTTGGACCAATCCCGGGCATCCATCAGACGACACCACGCTTGTGAGTTCATGTCGTGACTGGGTTTTGTTTGACATGGCGAAATGGTACTGGACCTGATGCTTCAGCCATTGGTGCCCCTGGTACGTCCAGCAATCGCGGGGCATGTGAAGAGTGTATAATGTGCCTGCCAGAATGGTGGTGATGGCTCATGTTGTGGTGGTGATGTTGGATGCTCAAAGACCCCGCACCGCGCAATCTGGGAAACTTGTCCACTGCAGTCACCACCTTGGAGGGGTCGATGACAAGAACAACTGAACAGAGAAGTCACCGACACATTTTCTCTGTAGAGTAGGTTCCATGGCTGATGGCGATTCGACGAATTGGCGATTCCCGCTGGCCCGTCCGAAGGATCGTTGAACGTGATGTTGACTGAAGTGTAAGCATTTGTGTTTTGTTGTTGTTGTTGTTTTTTGCAAAGGTCACAGGCATCATCGATTGGAAATTTGGAATTCCAGAACTGACGGGAGCTGAGTGCGACAGGCAATCCGTAGTGGGGCCAGACAGCAGGCTGACGGGCCGCCAGGCAGGCAGCGTTGGACTGTCGTTGATAACGATAAGCAATTGACAGACCGGCAACGACCTGTGCGCAGTCTGTCGGGTGTGTCTGGGGTCAGCAACTTGACGGTTCGGTTCGCATGGATCCACCCGTGCTTACTGCCCCGGCAGACACTGTAAAGGCACATCTTACAGCGACAATGCCCGATCTAAACTCGCCCCATCATTCCTGTCATCACATCTGGGGGATCAAAAAGCTTATTTGCTTTGAGACCATTCATGTTGCGAGAAACATTGACAAATACCACATCTTCCTCCACCTCTCCAGTTCGATATTCGATCTCGCCGATTCCTTCGAGATGCCCGCTGTTTGATGACTCTATCGACTCGCTGTCATGGATAGCTCCAGCCTCTGCCTCGACATGACAGTCCAACACCAAGCCAAACATCACGGCTCAGCTACGACAGTCAACGGCCATACCGTGTCTGCTGACTGTAGCTATTTCAGTCGTTAGTCATATCGACGATAATCTTGGGCCTCGCTCCCGACAACGTTAGTAACCCGAGACATGGCTTGCGCCTCCTCGCCCAGCCGCTAGGAAAAGCCATGTCATTGTCATGGAGCGCCACAGTCCCAGCCCCAGGACATCCCGATACACAGGTGCTCACTCGGATTTTGGCTATTGTCGACACAAACCGTTCGGAGTTTAGCATCAATGGGACATGGGACAATCTGGCTGGGCGCCATCGACGATGAGCTATCCCGAACTGGCTAGTATGGTACGTATCATCACCGTAACCCTCCGGGGACCACCAGGTCGGACAAGCCAGCCCCCACGCCCACGCGGGAGACAATGTTCGCTGTGGCTTCCATCACGGTTTCTCGAATCACGAATCACATCAGCCTCGACAATCAGCTCCTTCACATGCTCCCGTCACCAGTCACCATCGCCATCTGGCACACCCTGCTCCCATTGGCCATCTTCCATTCCAAATATCGGTGCGGCTCTAGTGTCATTTCCATTTTCACCTTCCTCTTTTCGGCCCCCCCTGTTTACACCTCTGCTTGGATTTGAAAGGTTAAAATGGTATAGCCAAGCCACTAGCTAAGCCGCCAGCCAAGCCGCTAAGGCTACAATAAACCAGGGCTTTTATATAGAAAAACCTTCCTTTTATTGTACCCTATCTTCTTATCTATCTTTTTATCTAATAATCAATACTATCTCCATTTGCCTCAATAATCTTTTCTATTCTTTCCGGCATTGAATGGGCCAACTTTAGAAGGAAATCCTCTAGGACCATATCCCAAGCTTCTTAAATAGCCGCTCTAAGTTGTAATGGGTTAAGAGTTTGAATATTGTATTTATACTTTATAAGTAATTTTATCCAATGCTAAACGTTTTTGATTAGTACCAAATCCGGAAAATAAATTAGAAATCGTCTCTAACTAAGTTTAGGGATTCCTATTAGTTCTAATATTCTCTAAGTCTCTTTTACCCGATAAGAAGGAATATTATCGTATTGAAAGATAAGGCTATTTTCTTAGTAAAAGGCTGCTACTATTGGAAGGATAAAAAAGATATACTTTTGAGTAGTGATTCCTCTAAATTCCTTTTCCTAAAAGAAATAAGGCCCTTTTCTTCTTCTAATAAAGGATCTCTAAAATATCCAACTATAAAGCTTTTTTTTAGTAAGAGTAAAGTTATTTGGATCGTTATCTTCGTCTAAAGTTATTTATTATTTTTATATTAAATTATTAATTGCCCAAATCTCATTAGAACTAAGGATATCCTCCTAATCTTCCGGACGAGGGCGAAGCTTTTTTATTTTTTAGTACTATTGAACTCTTTCTCTTTTATTAGCAATATTTCTTTTTATTCTTTTAGTTTTTAATTTTTAATAAAAGTTAAGAGAGTAAAGTATTTTCCTTAGAACTTCGGGGCCGGTAATAAGGTAGGGAGGAAGGTAGAGAGGTAAATTATACTAGGAGATAAATTTCCGAGAATGCTCCTCTTTTATCCATTCCTTAAATTTATTTTTTTTGGGAATTTTTAAAAGACTTTGCTTTTTTCGCTTTTGGGGAGTGACAGGGCCAATACAAGCAAGTTGGACTTGCCGCATAGTAAACCCCATCTTTTTAGTAATATTGGCATAGCTTAAATTAGTGTAGTTGCGAAGTGCCCGGATTTGAAGCCGTTTATCCCTTATTAAATGCTGTAATTCCGTCTTTTTTGGTATTGAGGGAGTTGGATTTAGAAGGTTAGGAATGGCGATGCCTCGAGGGACGGTAACCGTTGTTATGGTGGAAAAAGTGGTGATGAGGAAATACTTCCCCCGGCTCCCAAAAGTCCAATTTCCAGAATTTAGGTATTTTCCTATAGAAACTATTAGAAGAGTGACATTGTAATACCCTAGTCGGCCGGGCCTTGCCACCCCTACTGATCGGCAAATTTACTGCGCTAATATTTCAAATCCAAGCAGAGGTGTAATAATTCAAGATGAGGCACCCCACGATGCGTCTCTGCAACCTTGACGGCCGTTGTGTACATACTACGATCTGTAGCGGCGATAACGTCGGCTATGTACACTACGACATAGCATCCAACGCTTGAAAAAAATCGATTCTCAATGCAGCAATGCTTACACGTCTGCGGCCAGCATACGGACTTGTCAATATTCACTGAAGAAATGTAGTACAGTACCTTACATCTTGTCTCAGCCCTGATATGCAACGTTCATATTTTGGCTTGACTTGACTTGCATTTGCGTTCTCAACACCGTTCAAGCTGTCTGTACTCGGTGCTGTGCTGTGGGTCAGTTCCGCCACGATGCCGCAGGATGATACCTTCAACCGAAACGGATCACAAATTCCGATGCCGGGATCCCCGATCTCACCTTGACTGTTCACCTAGATGACTCCGGCTAACCTTCTGGATTCAGTACTGCTCTCTCTGTCGAGCTCGGCCCTGAACCCGGTGTTTTCCATGATTCCACATCATCGTATTCTCGACCGAAGGATTATCTGACACTCTTTCTGCTGATGTTCCGGCCCGTTTGCCAGCACGCCTCGCGATTTCGGGCCCATTTCATGGGCTCGCGAACGCGAGGCAGAAACCCGAAAAGGATCGATAACCCTGCTGCTGTCAGATATTTTTCTTGCAGCAAATCGCATCCACCACTATATTATCATGTTCCCTTTCCCATATTGACATCTCGGGCGATCCGGATCTTTTCCTTTCTCAAATATCAGGAATGGTGCAAGTGTTGTTCAACATGTCACCACCAATGTCGTTTAACAATTTTATGGTACCCAGCCAAGTCCCATTGCACAATTCGTCACACATGTGCACACATACCTACACTTATCACTCATGATACTCAGGTATGCCACCTCCTCGTTTCGGATCTATATATGTACTACTAATGCCCATCCAAGCTCCCACCCCTTCTTTTCAACACCTTCTTTCTACGTGGTTTTCATGAATATCAAAGTTACCATGATGGTTAACCGGTGTGCTATTGATGCTACCTACCAAGGCAAGTTCCGTGTGCAACACATTCCACATCCCACCTTCAATACCCTCAAGTTTTTGCATGTGGCAATATTACCCGCTTTTAAACAAGAATTGTCTTGACTTTCTTGTTTTCAGGTTACTCTACTCTACGTGCCAAGAGGTACAAAAACGGCAGGTATGAATGTTTCCCGAGACTCTCTCTTGCTTGGCAGATATCACTTATCAGCAGCCTTTTGCTTGCTCGTCATATGCAATTCTCTTGCAAAGACTGCGACGATTCCCCGAATGATGGAAATAATCACGGAAAAGATGTTGGATGGGTGACGACTTCGGGATAGACCCAGTGTTGCAGGTTGACCACTACGGGACGGCAGATCCAAGCATGGCTGTGGCTCAGCAAGCAAGCAAGCAAGCAGTCCATCGATCAGTCAGCACCTTTGTTCAAATTCTTGGTGTCGCAACCACCATCGTGGTGTAGTGGCACCAGACTAGACTGCTTAGTGAGACGTCTAACTTTCTCTACGGGTGGTCTAATCTGATAGAATCGGGTTTCCTGTACTACGTTGGCAGGTATGAAACGCCTTCAACCATTCTCGACGTGTCGTTGGACGAAGTTTCTGTCCGCGATTGATCACAAGTCCAGAACAGCGCCCGTGTGCTGACTGTGGCCTCTTAGCCCTCCTACTACATTTCGCGTGGAGTGAGTACGGGTCGTTTTTGTTAACGCGCGGCTTGCTGTGTCGTGGTATTGCGGCGAATGTTGCGGAGCAAGAGGACGGATGGTCGCGGGCACATGGGATGGCCGAGTGGCCCGAAGTCCCGCCTACACTACTTGAGGTTGAGGGATGTGCGGAGTCCGGAGCGTGCGGGTCTGGGACGGTACGGGACGGGACGGGATGGGGCGTGCGGGGTCACCGAAAGTCAGTGCGGGGCTCGGGCTCGGGCTCGTCCCGTCGTGACCGGGACGGAAGGAAGGTGGGGTAAATTTGCTCCATTCTCATGCTGGGTCGGACCTGGTTTGGACTTTTGAGGTTCGCAGTGCAAGATGCGCTGCGTTCTTTCCCTCTCTGCTGTGTTTTCACGATGACTGCCTGGGAAGCAATGCCGGTGATTGGTGTTGACTGTTGTGCTTGCGAATGGAAGGTCCGAGACCTCTAGGCAACCGTCGCTGGGAAATTGCTGCGGCTGGTGTTGCCAATCAGCGGGCTTTTTCCCGCCTCAACAAAGAAGATTGATGCCCAACTGCGCGGGCCTTGGCTTTCGAAACTGGAGAGGAACTTTCAGCCACTTCTCTCCTCGCGCAACAACCTCTGAACTCTGAGCTCAATTGTGTCGGGCTGTCTTTCTTCTGCTGGGATCCCCACCAGCTTCAGGTTTCTTTACTCTCCTTGAGCAGGCAGGCAGGCTGCCATTCCACTCTTGTTCAAGGCCGAGTTTCTCGCTTCAATGGTCCGCCGTCCACCGGACATCATGGCGGCAAGGGAAGGCCTACCCGTCTCTACGCCTACCGCAGCCCATCACCCATCATCCTCTGGGCCCGATGCTAGCCAAAATGCACCAGTCGATGCGCCTAATGCCCCCCCTTCACCCACGGAATCTGGCCCAGCTGCCGAATCTCTTTTGTCCCCTAAGCGTACCTCCACCCAGCTAGGTTCTGCCCTTGAGTCGGGTAGTCGTCCTAAGCAAACTGAACCTAGTCCAACTGCCACCGCTGGCGATCCTTCCGGCGATGATGTCAACTATGACCCAGGATACACAGACAACGACAACCTGTGCGAAACATGTCACTGCCTACTGGAACCTGACCTTGAACTTGAAGGCTGGGAAGTAAAGGTAGAGCAGTCTTCACCATCAAACTACCGTCGCAAGGTTACTTCCAAAGATACTACGATTTTGACTTGGTCTGGCAATTTAAAGAACAGCCTATTCAACGACAAATGTCCTCTTTGTCGCGAGCTGCTTTGCGGTTTCGACAATGAGGTAATCTCTAGATATTCTACACATAAATTCGGTGCTATCAAGTCTCTAGGATCCTCGTGGTGGGGGCGACACTTTGTGGTTTTGCTAGAGGTGCTTGATAAGCAAGAAAAATGGTCCAGACCGTCGCAAACGAGTGTTAACCTTTACCCGGAGCGCGGTATGTTCCATGTTCATCTAAGTTGATATAGCATTACCGGAGCTGACACACTATTATCTACAGAAAATGGGTTTGTTAAATCCGACGGTCAATCTAACGAGTATTGTCCATCAAAGCAGGTCACTGGAAATCCAGGCCCTTTTGGATCGAACACAGGATCAGACCTTAGCTGGCAAATTGCGAGTAGCTGGATGGCCAAATGTCTATCGAGCCATCAAAGATGTACCCAATCGCAGTGTGCGGCCCCACCACTCCCTACAAGAGTTATTGATGTCGGGTCTGTGGGTGAGCTTTGTTCACCGCGCCTAAATGTGGTGACCGAAAACACATCGGGACGGTATGCAACCTTGAGTCATCGTTGGGCATCTCAAGGAATGCTGAAACTGGAGGTCAACAACTTTAAAGAATTTCAACGAGAAATCCCATGGAAATGTCTACCAAAGACTTACCAAAACGCCATAGAGGCAACACGACGCTTGGGAATCCGGTACATCTGGATAGACTCCCTTTGTATCATCCAGGACTCCCCGGATGGGAAGGACTGGGTCGCCGAGTCAGCAAAGATGACGAGCGTGTATGAGAACTCGCACATCAACTTCGCCGCAGCAGATGCCGTGGATTCAACACAAGGTTGCTTTTTCGACCGAGACCCTTCCTCCATCCGCCCACTTCGCCTTCATATCAACTGGGAACACAGTTCAGGATATTACTACGCCGCAGGATCTCACCGGTTTGCATACAACGTCGCATCGGCCCCTTTGTACCGGAGAGGATGGGTTTATCAGGAGCGAACACTGGCTCCTCGCATCATCCACTGCTGCGCCAAACAGCTGTACTGGGAGTGTCTCGAGAGTATCGCTAGTGAGAGCTTCCCCAAAGGGTTACCGCATTGTATAGAATGCACTGCGGGCTGGCGTGATTGCGACTGCAATAAGTGGCAAAGAATACGACATCCAGAGTCGGACATGAACAAATACCTCTTAGATGGCTCCAGTCCATCCTTCAAAAAGTATTTTGACTCCTTGATCCTATGGAACAGGGTGGTATTTCAATACCAAGCACTTGATCTCACATTCGAGAGCGACAAACTAGTAGCTATCTCCGGGTTAGCAAGAATGCACTCGAGGTTTCTCAACACCCAATACCTTGCTGGACTGTGGCTTGAACATCTGCCCATTCAGCTTCTCTGGTATAGGGACCCGGTGGCTGACCCCGATACTAGGTCTTACAACGAGTACATAGCTCCGAGTTGGTCTTATGCCTCTTTCCGTGGCCCTATACAGCCGCCAGATATTTTAGGTCGCGACCTTTTCCGGAAAAAACCAGATCAGTCGCACCGGCCTATCATTCAGATTCTGGACGCTACCATCGCCTTGGTGGATGAGAAAAATCCATTTGGAGCAGTATCAGGGGGAGCATTGCGTATCAGTGGTCCTTTGGCGAATATCTCCCTGATTAAAAATTGTGGGTTTTCCGGAATTACAGCAACCTGCAGAATGGTTATTACGTATCCGAAGAGAATGAATATGGTGGGAGACTGCTACATGGATAGAATGCGCTATGACCGACAGATGGAGACCAAGCAAAAGCCGATTTACTTGCTTCCTGTTATGCTGGACATGTCTTTCCGTTTGGGATGGGGCCAAGCGCATGTCAGTGGCTTAATGTTAGAAGAGACGACTGACGAATATACGTTTCGAAGGGTTGGGGTGTTTGAGGTTCGAAGGCCTAAGGATAAGATTGGGAGGTTTAGAATTCCAAGGGCTAGGCAGAAGGAAGATGCATGTGGCGTTCAGATGTTACAAGAAGCTTGTCGCTCTCAAAATGGGCTGGATGAGGATGGTGAGTTCCCTGAGTGGGGGAAGTTTCGGACTATTACTCTCGTCTAACTTTCACTCTTTCTTTGTTTTGTGCTTTCATTTTCTAGTATTCTGCGTTCTCCTTTTGTGTGTTCTCTCCTTGGTACAGCTCAACGTCTAGTATGCTTCAAGCGTTCATGTTCCTTCCTCTGTACCTCTTAGAACCACCAACTGACCCAGACTTCAAACACCATGTCCCGACTTTCAGCTGTTATTGACTGACATCTGCTAGACATCTAACTTCAAGATACCTCAGCAGAGCTCTCGAGATGCCAGCTTCGCCATACGTTTCTAACTCTTAGTACCGTGCCTAGCTATTAAACCTCCAACTCGTCTTTTGCCCTCTTATATCATTACCTAGCTATCTGAATATCCTTGCACGAATTGCATTACACAGACCCCCTTCTCTGTAACGTAGCCGAATACACTCTACAATAGCTCGAAGCTCACAGTTACGTGCTTGACAGAACTTGAACACTAGGGGTACCGACACAGTTGAGATGAAAACTACCTCCATGCCTCTCTCTGCCAAGGCAAAAAAACTTTCACTTTCGACGCAACGCGTATTTCGATGATTTTGTTTGTCGTCTGGCCTCATCTCTTCTACCTCTACAGGTTCAGATAACGATACTAGTGGTCATCCGTAGCTCTTCTCGTGCCTAGCTAGAGGTATAAATCAGTGTGGTCGCCCTCGGAGAAGCCAAAACCTCTTCCTTCTTTCTTTATGTGCACTAGCACACAACCAACATCACTCACTTGACAGTTACCACAGCACCAACAGCGCGGTTACTACCTCCCCATTTCCAACTCACTTCCCCCCCTGTCTGTCCTTCAGCATCATCCAGATTACCACCCTTCGCCTACTCTTGCTATCGACTCAGCGGTCACTTACTCCTCGATCACCATCACCTTGCCCTCAGCCGACTGAAACCTTAGGAGTCAAGATGACCCCAACCAAAGAAGAACTCGACCGCGCCCTGAACGAAATCAAAGCCACCTTCCTCTCCAGAGAAACCAAGCTCGCCAAAGCCTACGCCGAGCACCCCGACCCGGACGCGTGGTACTTGAACTTTATCAGCTGCCTTGCCAAGGTTGCTGCTGGACCGCCGCCGTTGCCCTCTACCGCTGGTCAGAAGCAGCCAGCAGCTGGGGTCGGAGTTCGACTTGGAGTTGAAGCTGAAGTTAAACCTGAGGCAGCAAACGATAGTAGCGGTTGTAGTGTGACTGCGGGCGTGGGTAGAGGTACTAGAGGTATGAAGAGACCTAGGGTTGAGGACATGGATGGTCTACTCAACACTACGATGACTGGTAAGTTTTGTTTGTGTTCCTTGCTGACTTCCAGTCTGTCAGTCCGTGTCTGGTGGAATCGAGCTAACTGACTGACCTTCATGGACAAGTTAGGAACAGGCACCCATTTGATTGGATCATTCCGGGTTGACCACTGCGACTGGTGATTTGGAGGTGCAGGGGAATGTCTCTAGGGAGGAAGAGGAGATGGAGACGAGGAGCAAGACTGCAATGGTGTCGCAGGAAGAGGTTACCAAGCAGGAGATGGAGGAAATACGGGAAAGACCAGCGCAGTGCAGACGTTCAGCGCGTCTAATCAGAATTCAGGCCTCGGAAGTGAAGGGCACACTTGCCTCCCCTGAATGACTAATCCATTGATTGGTACAGGTAGAGGTACTGGAACGATATAGCAGATGATGGTTATGGAACGAGATCAGAACGAGATGAAGATGGTGGTTCGCAAAAAGTTGTAGTTGAGGGGCTTCAATGAGGAAATTTGGAAAGCTGTGTACCTCTAGGTATGTCGTTCTCCATTTTACCTGGCTCACGTCATTACCTCCCGTCCACAATATTGCCGCCTAGAAGGAGGCACACGCTGATATACGTACCCGAGAGACACAAAACAATAGTTCCTTTCCGGCCCCGCCAGCTGTCAAATGGAAAAGCCGCGTGCGCGTATTACGTACAATCAGAAGTGTGTAGCGGTACTGGTAGAATCCCCCAAATCAGGCATCGAGTCATCCTCGCAGGTACTCAAACACTTCTTCTTTTTCCTCCTCTACACCAACCCCGCGGTCTTCCATTTCTCACTGTCCTTGATACCTCAACCTCTACCTACACCTCAACCACGACATCGACAACGCGCTTACCATTTCGCTGTTCAAACTTCCCTCTCTCAGCCATCTCTCTTTCTCAGCATCATCCAGCTCGCCATCGCTCTCCTCTTTCTTCCACCCCGCCATCCAGAAGGTACCACCCACTCAACCACTCCTCAACCACCACACCCACCACCTCAACCTCAAACCTCAACATGGCCACCAACAAAAACTACAAAGAGGCCCTAGACCAGCTCCGCGTAGCCTGGTGGAACGAAGAGGCCGAAATGGCCAAAAAACTTCGCCAACGCCGCCGACCAGGAAGCCTGGCTCAAGCCCTTCCACGAGTGCCTGGCCAGGATCAAACAAGGCCCGCCTGTTCCCAGCAAGGGTCCCGAAGACACCACTGGCAATGTTGCCGGCCCCGCTCCCGCGATTCGCAAAAGCTGCGGTCTCGAAGTTGACGACGACACCACTGGTTCTCGCGTCGTCAAGATCTTCGAGTACGAGAAACTAGTTGAGTCTTCGAAGAAAAAGGACAAGGACGCGGAAGTAGACGTGGAGTACTGGATTACGCGTCCGACTGCCCTTCTGGTCGAAGTCCCGGGTACGGAGCTGTCGAGGGTGCATATTGAGATTAAGGGCCCTGGCAAGATTCATGCGGAGAAAGCTGTTGCGGTCGTGGAGAGCGGCACTACGCATTCTGGTAAGTGACTTGTTGCCTGCAGTTGCTGGGCTGGTTGACTGACTTGCGTGTGTACCTCTGATAGAGTTTGTCGAAAACGTGACCAAGGGTGCGGTGAAGAACTGAGATGGAGGTGGAAGAAGGGAATTTAGAAGAAGATTGGCGGTGCGAGATGAATGGGTGACATTGGTAACAGGATCGGGAGGAGCTACGGAGGCATTAGCAGGTTGAGATAATAAGGAAGGTACAAGTGAAGGTTGTTGTTCTTTCCATTCGAGAGTATTAACTATATGTACATATACGTAAAGCCGGGACCAAAGTGAATGAATGGCTTGCAACGTTTGTATTATGTCTGTGACTATACCTCAAATGAAAGCGGTATAATTCCTGTGTGGAGAAGCTAACGGGCGGAATTATCACCTTTTGCAGTTGCGGAGTATTAAGGCCGTTTGTTAGAACAGAGTTCAGTTTGCTACTGATTCTATATACCTCTATATATCTAAATTGGAAAGGCAATCGATGTTAACCCTCGACGAATATAGTAGATAAATTCGTAAGGTTATAAAAGCTACCCCTTTGCGTGTACTAACTTCTACGTATCTTACTTTTTGCAAAGTTATATATCTTGTTCAATTTCACTAGATTTATTAACTTTGAATAATATTAATTACTAAAGTATCTCTAAAAGTTAATTTTCAAAGCTTGGGATAGCCTTCTGGGAGAAAAGAATAGCCTGTTAGGGAGCTGAATAGGCCTGTTGGGAAAGGGAAATAAGCTTTTGGGAGTAGCTGGAGAAGTTTAATAAATATCAAAAAAGTATACAAAATACCCAATCTAGTGAATATATAGAACTAACTATATTTAGAAGGGCTACAAATGTTTTAAAAGTGTGCTAGTAGGTTGAGGACGGGGGGTGTAATTCCACATCCAGGACGGCTTTGCGCCAGGCACAGCAGAGTAGAAGAATGTGCTAGTAAAGGGTAGTAGTAACACAGCTTCCCTCTACAGATATGACGCTAGTCTCGAGGCACCTCCTGCCATCTATAAAAGCGCATACTTCGAGCTCTTTCCTGGAGCCCAAAACCTCCACTCTTTTTCATCGAGCAACCTTCCGGCCCTTGATCAAGTAGCGACCGCGAACAATCCGCCCTGCACCTTCCTCCTTCTCGAATCACCATCACGGCAATCTCAACAATGCAGCAGCCCATCGAAATCGACGAGGACCTTGCCCTCCGCGAGCTCGAGCTCAAGTGGTCCTTCCAAAAGGGATTCCTCGCCTCTGTGTTTGCCGCGTCCGAGGACCCGATTGCCTGGCAGGCGCACTTCGACAGCTGCCTTGCAAAGACAATGGCAGGCCCGCCCCCCGAGAAGTACGACGACAAGATGCTCAAGTCGCAGGGCCTAGCCCAGTACGTGATCAAAGGACCTGCTGTCTTCCATGTCGATGTCGAGGTCGACGGCGACAGTGTACTGTCCACTGGAGGCTTGGGCACCTGTACCCTCCATGTCATCAGCTCGCCCAGGGTCATGGTCGATAGACTGATTAACGGCAGGGTTTTGTCGAAGAACAGTGTCTACTATGACAGGGAGGCCGAGGCGTCCTCAAGCACAAAGTCTGGTTCGGTATCGCTGCGCAGCATGAGCGTTGGTGAGGTAGTGCCATGATGTTAATACATTATCAACACGCCTAGGCGCCGCGCAGCGACAACGATAGCGCTCGATCTTATTCAATCTTGGCGCATGCCACCGCACCCAAACCACGATAGTCAAATCCACCCATCAACAACAAGAACCGCGAATAGTTTCACAGACATACCCTTTTTACAACATTATTTGCGGATCAGAGCAAGGATACAAAGGGAAAGTTTGGGAAAGGGTAGTGCCGATTGGTGAAAGGGCTTAGGAGTCGATAGGAATAAACAGACGGCAAAGGTCAGGACATCAACTCTTGTAGCAGAACATATTGCGCGCCAAATGGACAGAGAATGGAAAGATAAGTGCGATTAACCAACCGGCGAATAGCAAAACAATAAAAGTAATCCCAATAGTAATTGCTTCATCGATGTCGACTGGACATGTTCTTGGCGGATCTGCGAGTCCATGAGGTGGGATGCTGTTGGCTCTAGGAACCTGGGAAGGAACAACCCGCGTCCATGAGACACTCTCTTCTGTAACATGAGTATAAGGAAGCCATTCCTGGCTTGCGATGAAGCCACAATGTTCTATCGCACTATCAGCTGCCCTCAACAATTTGTAGGTGCACGGGCCACAACCCTGACGCGTCGGCGTTGTGGCCCGTGCCCGGTCAAGAAAGACAGCAAACTAGCACTAGGTACATTTACATTCGACCTTCTGCCACTGTGTCTGGCCTTTGCCTGGTAGAGATCATTAAGAAATGTCAATGTGAGGAGGAACTCGTAAGCTACATCTACATTACCATGATTTTCTTTGTGCAAGAAGTAGGTATCCTCGATCAACTTAGTGGCAGCGAAGCGAGAATTTCAGCAGTGCAATATCAGCTAACTTTCACCTACATCGGATGGAATTAGAGATATAAAGAGAAGTCCCCGGGGCGAGGGAAAATCCGGTGCGAGAACTTCAAGTTACGAGCGGGAGTTCAACCAATTTGTACATGCACTGGGTGCCTAGAAGTAGCCTCTACAAACGCACCATTGACTTGACCTGACAGACTAGAATTCTACCCGAACTCGGAATATTTTCTTGTTCTGTACTCCTCATACATCCAGTCACGAACCAAACGCACTTTGTAGAAGATTTCGCTTTCACGGCCTTGTTTCGCCCCACCGCGTTACGTTTCCCTTAGTTGCCTTCCCAAAGACCTCTTTCTTGTTTACACCAAGAGGCAGTCATCCACTCACGCCTCCTTCACTGCAGTTACCAAGATACCAACCTCAAGGTATGTACGTCTCAGACACTTCCTTTCTTTACTCGCCCGTTCTTTGACCCAAATCTGATCCTTTTCCCCCCGTGCCCGCGAAGTAGATCTGCAACCATCACCATCATCCCTTTATCAACCTCAACTCAATCATCGCAATGACCACCCCTACAGCCGAACCCCCAATGTCTTTTATTTCCAACCAGCAGGAACGACTCACGTCCGGAACAGGAACAGACTACCAAGAGCTCAACACCCTCTGAAAAGCCAGAGAGACAGCCATCGTGCTCTCCTACCTCCACCACCACCCGAATCGTAACGAGTGGTCTATCCACTTCATCCGGTGCCTTGCCTCCATGGTCGCCGGACCGCCTAGTGATGGAGCGGAGCGTACCGCCTCTACTCTGCGAGGGCCTCGTTCCCTTGCGCTGGCGCAGACTCGAGACGATCAAGGCCGTGTTCGTTCCGGCAGTAGTACAGTAACGGAAGCATTTTTTTGGTGGCAGAAAAGCTTTGGGTTAGGGTTAGAAGAGATCCCCTTACTGCACTACTGCCACAACGAACACGGCCCAAGTGCACATGGCTCACGAGGACGAGATCCAGAACGCAAAGACGAAGATCAACGCCATTTGGAAAAGCAGAGCGTACAGAATCACCATTGCGTACATCATCCATCCCGATCGTGAAGCTTGGCTAGTCCACTTTGTCAGTTGTCTGGCGAAGATTGCGGAGGGCCCTGCGGCCGCCACTTCTTCGGAAAGCGCGCCGACAGCTGTGGTGCCCAACACGGAGCAGTCGCCACGCCTATTCCAACACGTTAGCTATGACCGTACAAAGTGGTTCCGGATCGAGGGTGGTGGTACCATGTATGGGGTACAGCTACCTGTAGATGAAGCTTCCACCAAGTTCAGTCTTCCTGCTGGTGCTAGGCTCTGGACCGCCGACTTCTCCAAAGTCACTGTACTTGCGGGTGATGGGTATAGGCCTGTATTGAAAAGTAACCTCAAAATAGACTCTCCTCTACCTCAGGGAACCCGGTAGTAGCCCTAATCTGAGTTAGAGAGTTAGTAACATCGTGGACACCCCCGCAAAACAGGCGTGGAGAGAACAGGCTAGGTACCTAGGTCATTGCATTAGTGCCATACCTCTAGACGTAACGATTAAGTGAATGAAGTTGCGAGTGGCTGCCTTTTTAACTGTCCCCCTTATACCTCCTGTGAACGTCTATACCCTACCAATAGACCAATCGGTCGTCGTGGACCTTAGTCTTGGGCCGGGCTACCTGACTGTAACCTGGACTAGAGGTAGGTTCTCGTCCATCCAATCCACCTTTTCCTTGTACTTCCTTCACACCAGCTTCGATTTCCCATCACAGTATCCCACCGTCTCAAAGTCCCTTGGCCAACCCCTTATCCCACCATCCAGTCCGCTTCAACCTCCCTCGCTTCGGTTCTAATTCCCACTTGCAAACTTCACCACCCACCTCTCCGGAAGGACTTCCTCCTCTCTCAAATACCCCAACACCGTCGTCCGCTCCGCAAACTGCACATACTCCCTATACACCCTCCCCAACTCGCTTGCCATCAGTTCCACATAATCCTTCTTCGTATGCAATACGCGCCACAACACAATCTCCTCAAACATCCCCGCCCTCAACAGCAACTTCAACCGATCCCTTACCAACTCCCCCTTCCTCCCTTCTCCATCCATCCCCCCCTTGGGACCCCCCGATTAAAGCCGAATGCACCCACTCCCTCCTAGCTTCCACATCAGCCAACCGCGGCGGATCTACCTCATCAAGCCGCAACAACTCCCTTCCTTGTTCCGTCTTCGTCAAGAACTCAACCAAGCTCGATTGGAGGAAACACACTTCCATTGTTGATTCCGGGACTGGTACCGTGCAGTCCATCTCTAGTATCTTGTCCACTTTGTCGCCAGGGATAGGGGTGTGGTCCATCTTACGCAGGGTGATGAAGGGGTACAGCCGTTCTTGAATCTGCTTTTTGACGGACTTGCATGTGGAGCGGATGTCGGGAGGTTCTCGGAAGGATCCTTTGAGAAGACAGTTGTGGATTAAGTGGTCGTGGAGACAGAAAGTTAGTTGTAGGAGAGAAAGAGGGCGGTTGGAGCGGAGGGTGTAGAGGGAGTACAAGTGGTCGGTGAGGAGGAGGTGCAGGATTCTGGAGAGGGAGTGGATTTCTAATTTGGTGTGGGAACTATGGAACTGGGTGAGGAGGGAGGAGTAGAGGAGTTCGGAGCGGGGGAGGGGTGGTGGCAGGTCCGAGGAGGAGGAGGAGGAGGACGAGGAGGTTTGGCGCTTAATGCGATCTAGAGCGTCTAGCACTTCGGTGAAGGAGCCGTTGCATTCTTTGAGAATCTTGCGTGTGAAAGAGTACCGCTGGTTGAACCAGAGATGGTCAAGGGTGCTGTGGCAGAGGGTCCTGATGTCGTGACGCAGGAGGGAGGGTTCAAGGTGGAGTTGTAACTTCCAGTGCGTCTGGTGAAAGATGCCTTCGGGCCTGGCAGTCACGACCATCTTGGCGTCAGTGTAGTAGTTGAGGAAATGGATGAGCTGCGTGGGTTCAGGCTTCAGCCAAGGCTGCATGTCGGAAAGGCAAAAGCCGGTAAAATCGCGTGGGATGTCTTCGTGCTTGGGATAAGCAGGGCTGGGTGGTTTCAAGTCAAAGCCACTTGGCCCATCGATAAAGATAAAGACCTTTTTCTTCCTCTGTTCGGTTCTTTGAGTTAGGTAAGCGGTTCGTATTTGGAGTCAGGAAGGTGATGGCAAAGGTACCTACGGTATCAAGGGCCCTTTATGTAGAGGACAGAGGTCTGAAATGAGAGAGTTAGCGTGGATCATATCTATCCCACCGGGCTGCTTGACAGTGTTGAGCGTTTGATGGATCCGGATGGTTTGTGGACAGAGGTATCGTGAACCATTGTCTCCTTGTGCGCACGGAATGTCGATTAGTTCATGCCGAGCGGTACTTTGGCCAACGGGCAAAGCGGCAGCGTTGGAGAGCTGGAGTTTGTCGACGGATGGTGGCCGAAGACTACCTACAATTCAGTTGTGTAAGTGGAGAGAGTACAGCGGCGAAGGGTATTTTTACGGCTGTAGAAGATAGAGTACATTGCAGGTGTTCACGATAACGGTCGCTAGGAGGTTCGTTTGGATGCTCATTTGCGATGGCAGAAGTCGAAAAAAAGACGCGCTGATGCGTGGAGCTCGAGTCGGAGATGCGGTCCTATCAGCAAGACTGCATTAATTGCGTCGTGGAAGATAGTGAACTAGCACTAACACGCTGCTCAATCACCAAGCGTCGTCTACCGTACTGTGTCAGACGCCTGGTGCTCCCTCTCTTTTGGCGCTATATTGGCAATGTGCAAAAAGTGTCAACAGCGGCATCATATGGATTGAAAAACGATTAGAGGAAATACGTCAAGGTGGCGGAATGTTCGAGTGAAAGGAGAGGAGTAAATAATAAATAAAGCGTAAGTTGCATGGAAGGAGGGGTTCAGGTAATTCAGTACCTCTACAATGCCGCTGTTGCACTGTCAAGACAGGGCGTCTCAGGCGGTCCTAGTACTTACCGCGCTAGATGGCCATCCAAATGCCGGGGCTTGTCAACATGTCGAAATTTCCGGAGTGGTAAACAGGGTGAGTTTTAACTCCGTCGAGCACGAAGATGACTTCGTAAGAGGAGTCTCTATTGCGTATATGGCCGTGTCGTCGATTATCGAGTTCGGACGAAACGGGTCGGCGCCAATGTACAGATTGGCGTACTGCTATTCGGTGTCAATTGGCATTCGGTTCGAGAGGGCGAATGGCTGCCGCGCGCCAGGAATAGGGAGAGACAAGTGATAAAGGCTGAATGCATGAGAGAGTTGACGAAAGCAAGGACAACACACATTGGTGGAAGATGGGTGTGATGGTTATTTGCTGAAAAAGAGTGGCGGATGGTTGCGGGAAAGAGGGGATGTCAAGGCAAGAAATGGCGACAGGAAAACCCAACCAAAGGTAGAACCCAAAGGGCAGGTTCTTTCCTGTTCCCGTCTGCATGCCAAACACAGTTGCATAAAATGAGATGGACATTAACAAAAAGCCGCTGCATAATAGTGCCCGAAGAAATGACATCACAGTACCGTCCGCGTACAGCACAACCTTTGAACACGCTTCTCAGCCGGAAATCACTTCAGTTTTCCCCATCACGACCAGACATCAAAGTGGCAACATACACAAGACCAACGCGTATTCAACAATTCTTAAATCCACATCTCACGTACCTACAAGCATCAGACAACTATATACAAGAATACGAGCCGATCCGAGAACCAACACGCGCCAACGAGACGCTTTCCAATCTGTCTGCAAAAGCCAACAAACTGGCCACGGTACCACAGTCAACGCAGAAAGCCGAGAACATTCATGCCTCAGAATCACCCTCAAGATCCTCAAGTCATCCCTTGATCCTCAAGCTAACAATTGCTTCCCTCCATACCCGCTTCAAGACCGGGCAAGATCCATCTCTCCACAAGACATCACCCCTTCCTCGACAGACCAAACCGCTCGCTTACACGCACTGCGAGTACCACTGGTTAGCAGCCTGGCAAGTCGATCCAGACTGGCAGCAAGTAGCACCACTCCATCCCTGACCACCGCACTGTCCCCACTTAGCCGCGCAGCTACCGCCTCCTCCATTCCCAGGGTTAGTAGGAGTGGTAGTCGTACCAGGGTTTTCAGGGGTAGTGCCACCATCGCCGCCGCTGGCACCAACATTGATAGTACTGCTGCCACTGGAAAAGTATCCCTCGGTAGCAACAATCTGGTAGTTGTGGGTGCCGAGGGTGAGACCGGACCTAGTCCAGGCGTCAAAGTGGTTCTTCATATTGACACTACCGCCCGTGCGCTTCTGCTGGCGGACGGACCAGTACTGGTAAAAAGTGGCGGTGCCGTCGATGGAGGGCTGGTTGACGCGCTGGGTGCGGTAGATGTCGTAGACGCCGCCGTCAGAGGTGACGGACCCGAGACGGGTGGCGCCCGTGCTGGGGTTGTAGGTGCCAAAGTTCTCGACGACGTAGTACTCGATAAGCGGGTTGCGCGTCCAGCCGTAGACGGCGAGGTACGAGTTGCTGTTGGGCGAGTAGGTGCCGGTGTAGTTGATGGTGCTGTACATGGGTGAGAAAGGGTTAGTTGTTAAGACAAGCTACCGTGGGAATGAAGTGAGAAAGGAGAGTGAGGCTTACCGATCAGTACCGGGCATCCAACCCTTTCCACCGACCCAGTTGCCGTTGCCAGACCATGTGGCAGTGTACTGGCCACCAGCCTCGTTGGTGTACCGGACGCTGCCCTGGCCGTCGGTCCAGAAGGAAAAGTAGTAGCCGTTGTGAGTTCCAGTGGCCGACGAGGTATAGGTCTGACGCTTGAAGAGGCTGCCCTGGCCGGGGAGCTCACCGGGGAGGGCGAAGACTCCAGAGATGGCCGTCGAGGCGGCGAGGAGGATGGAGGAGAAAGCAACCATTTCGATGTTTTCGATCTCAGACTGGCGAGGTCTGCTGAGGATGAGGACCAGAAGTTCGAGTAACGACCCGAGGAAGTTACCCAGGGGTTATATACTTTTCTTCACCGCTATTGAGCACAAGGACATGATGGATCGCCCCATGGGGAGTCTACGGTAAAAGCTTCTGTTCTATCGATACAGTCGCATTGTTTCCTGGAAATGAGGGACGTTTGAAGATTCGTGCCCCTTGGGCTTGGCTGGCTTGGCTGGAGTTTGGTGGTGTGGTGTTGCAACCCTGTTCTTGGATTTTCATGGGGAAGCCGATTTTAGCACACTGCAATGTAACCATTCCAAGACCTCGACGCGTTATACAATCTTTCTTTTGATCGAGTTACGCTTGGATTCTTGACATTTGGTGATCGGATCAGTCGAGGTCGCCAAGTTCCCTTTTTGCGGAGTGGTCGCCTCCTCGTCTTGCTAGGTGCTAGCCCAGCGGGTTCAACCATCAGCATCTCCCAGTTCGTTACCTCTTCATTTCTCGGCATGCGGGGATGTTAGCCGATAGGTATCTGTCGACATGGTCTTCCCTTTTACCCCATAGGTGAATCAGCAGATCTGGGGTTGCCAAGCTCAAAGCTAGATCTATCGGTTAGAGTTTCCCTTGTGGCCGATGACCTTATGCCCAACGAGTTTAGCATGTCCTGATGTGTTACGGCCGAGCATGATCTTCAAATCAGCGGAGGAATTCTCCAAGCGGCGGTTTTGCTTCTTCACGGTCTTTGCTCTCTGGAAGCGTGATCTCCTGAGACAATGAGCCCCCTGGAAATCTTGTTTCCTTTCCTTCAACAAATACCCGGTCAGCTACCTCATCAGCCCTGCCCAAAGTGAAGACAGAACAGCAATTATTGTCGTCGTCAACCAGGCTAGAGCCTCCAAGCACCAGCGTAGTATCACCTACCACCCCCCAGCACCGGTTGAATTGCGGGGATGCTCAAGCGCCAGGAAAGAGGGCAGTACAAATGCCGATTAACCTGGCGGCTAAATAGCGGTTGATGCGACTCAAGGACTGTTCCTGGACCCCTTTTACAGCTTCTGTTTCTTTGGGAAGGGTTCTTGGCAGGGCGGTCCTAGTCACAGTGGCAGGGGATCTAGCAGGGACTGGTTGAGCTTGTGACGTGCTGAAGTGGCCGAAATAGGAATTCCACGGTGGACAAAGACCGAAAACTTCTGAAATGGGACAGTAGGATGTCCTTTTGGTCGTCTTTTGGTTTCAAATGCTCTTGGGCGCTCGATGACCGGAAGATGAAGGCCAGAACAGTCATCGACCCACCTGAAGTACACAAGCTGGAGGCCAAAGAACTGGACCGGACTGGAATCTGACTTGGAGGTCCGGTTTGAGGAAGGAGCACTGGACAATGGAGAAAAGGAACGATCTCCGTGATGGATCGTGTGCCTGGGATGTTCTCAGTTCGTTGCTCAACATGAGCGCAGGACCCTTTCTTCAGAATCGAGCTCTTTTTTTTTTCCCGGATAAATTGGTCTTGGGTAGCATTTGACACCAATACCACGAGAATGCCGAACACAGAACCGTCGTCAATCTTTAGAAGTTGTGAGTGCTGAGCAAGAAACGGAACATGTGGTTGAGAGCACCTGCTATTTTGGCGTTGACCCAACATCTCATTTGCTCGCAAGCTTGTCTCAAAAGGAAAGAGCAAAGGCAAAGTTCCGATTGTAGGCGCTCCTATCTCGGGTAGATGCATCAAATCCTTCCTTTTTATCACCGCCGTTGCCGCCACCACTGGTCCAGGCTCCCATCATTTCATGAAACCGCCACCAACTTCCCCCTCCAGTTTTCGTCAAAACTTGCCTTTGCCAAATCTTGCCTTCATTCCCTCACAACATTGCCTTCCCACTGCTCCCATCCAACTCCACCAAATTCCTCCCCTTCCCCCCATCATTCTTTCTATGCAAATTCCTTGACAATATCAGGCCACCGTCTATACTAGGTATCTCCCTCAGCATCAAATCCCAACAGCCACTCCTCCCTCAGCAGCCAAAGCTTCTCTGGAACCTTCCAGACTCCTTCCGGTCCATTCCAGTCCGCCTTATGCCACCTCTCTTGTGTCTTTGGCTTGGGCTTTGTGCACCCTTTCGTACGTACCTCAGTTTCTCGTAAGTTTTGAGGGCTGTCGGCATCACCTGCTCCTTTGACATGTTCCCCCTTTGTTGCTTTGGCAGGCAAGTTGCAAACACGCAGCCACTACAGTCCCGTCTTCAATGCTTTGACTAGCGCCTTGAATCGACGTCGGCAGAAATGGGTGCGCCGCGTCTCCTATGAGCGCAATCCTCCCCTTGGGACTGACGAAAGTCGGCAATGGCTCGCGGTAGACAAGCTTGTAGTCGATCAACCTTCCCGGCGGCGTAGCTTTGACCAGTTCCCTCACCACAGGACACCATCCCTCAAGGTAAGCCAAAGCCTCTTCCGGCTTTCCTGGGAACTGCCACGACTCTTCAATGTTGCCGTCGTCGATGTGGGTAAACACCCACTTGATCTCGCTGCCGCCCTTGATGCTAGAAACCAGAAAGTGAATATCCGGTCCAATATACCCCTTTTGTTGATCTCCATTTTCCACCACATGTTTCGTAACTGGATTCTTCGCAATGACAGGTTCAGAAGGGAACCAAGCCCTGTAAACCGCATACCCCGAACTCTTGGGCTGCTCATCCTCCTCCAGTCCAAGCACCAACTTTCTCCCCCTCGACCGAACTCCCTCGGCAGCCAACACAGCATCACCCATCACTTTCTCCATCTTCCCATTCCCGTCGGTCCTTTAATCACCACCCCAGCTTGTGGTCCCTTTTTCTCATCACCATCACTCTCAAAATACTCTACAACCCTCACCCCCACCTAACCTCCATTTCCTCCTTTCTCGTCTTCACAAACTCATACATCAACCGATGTAGCTCCCCTCTATGTCCATTTATTCTCCTCCCCCACTTATTCTCCTGTGCAAAATTCTGTATCGTCACAAACTTTCCCCGGTAATGACACAAATCCAACCAATCCGTCTGTCGAGAAATTTCCTCCATTCTTTTCTGCCACCGACGACTTATCTGGATATACCCACTTCTCAAAGACGCGCGATCCGTTGGGATCGAACGAAATAATGTCTCCATAGCGAGTAATCTCGTCAATAGAGCAAACTTTCTCAAAAAGCGTAACTCTGTGACCCTTACAAGTACATTCGATAGCGGCGGAGAGCCCCGCGAAGCCGGCGCCTACTATTAGGATGTGGAGGCCGGAGGGTTGGGAGGTTGTTGTCATTCTGATTTGTGTTGTGGGAGATGTGTTGAATGGAAATGAAGGTTATTGTAAGGGTTGAGGACTGGAGGTTGTTGGATGGTTCAAGATTTGGCGGCGATAAGTCTATTGTGTGGTTGTTGTGGTTGCGTGAGTAGAGTGATAAGTGCCCCGGATGAAAGTTAGGAGGAAGGGGATCGGATGATTATCGGCCGGCCATTCTTTTGGACACCGATTTCTGGAAGCTGGCCATGCCGGCGCAAAATAAAAGGCAGGTGTAACTATGGCCAGAGGGAATAGGTACAGATAGATGTACGAGGTAAAAGATCACCGAATGGCATACAGGCTCAATTGCCGAACCCGCTTCGTGAGGTGCGATATGGGTGATGTTGGGGTTGCGATTATGCGATTGGAAAAGCATTAAGAATTTGTGGAAAATAATTGGTCAACCAGATATTCTACGTTTCCTTCTGCACATTGTCAGTCCAGTCGGCCGCTATGCCGAGTCAACGATGAAAGTTTGCGGGGAACTACTACTGTGCGACGAGTAAGAGGTAGAGTGTATATATCAAGCATTGTCTTCGGAGATAGATAGACCCGCAATGTTAGACCAGACCTGACTGAAGCCTAACAATTGTGATTCGCTCTTCACACCATAAAATACCTATCTTCGCGTAGTGTCCGAAGCGCGCCGGCGATATTGTACAAGGCCGTTGCTGAACCCATGTCTGGGCCCACCGATGGGATGACTCCTGCGAGAGTAAGTAATGTGATGTAGTGTAATAGCTGTGTTCGTCTCGGCTGTAGTGTAGTAAACTTGTCCTTTTTTTTTCCTTTTTTTCTTTTTTTTTTTTTTTTTCCGGTGAAAAAAAGGCTTTGGGTTAGGGTTAGAAAACCTTCCCTTACTGTACTACACAGTTTACACTACAGCCCAGTCTAAACAGGCGAGGCAGGAGACCTTGGAAATCTCGGGCTCTGCCGGCGACGTCAAAGGAACCTAACTTGATAGAAGCAGACGCTGATCAGAAGTGAAACATGAGGAAATAAGGTGGCCATGCTTTGATCGACACAGCGGACGGGTGCTTCCGTGAGCACAAATGGACCGCGATTCCATACATAGTACAGGCGACGACGATCAGCTTTTCCAAATATGGCAACGAACTGCTCGGCCAGTCGTTATCGCAACAGCTATAACTGTATAGCCTCAAAGTTTGCAATTTGCAAGGTGACGCTTGTGAATGGCTGGAGAGAGTGCCGCGTATAGATGAGACGGACGTCCCCGCACCCGGTAATATCCAGTTGCTACTAGCAAACTGGCAAATATGCTACGAGCCCGGCAGTTTGGGTACTCATCCATGATGTTGTGTATATAATGGAGCGGGATGCTGAGAGAGAGCACTGGTGGTTTCGCTTGAAACACTCCCGAGGTAAAGCTTTCCCATCTTAGTCGTTCCTCAACACCGTGTAAAGTGAATAAACTACCGGCATCATGATGCGCCTCTTCCTTACCCTCCTCTTCGTCACCCCCTTGGCCCTCGGGGCTCCCACGGCTCGCGCAGCCACCTGCGAGCGCGACTTCCTCAAAGCCCAAGCCGCCTCGTACGTGGCCGCCCAAAAGGCTGGAACCCCCTCTCCTCTGACCAACTCCTCATCCTCCGGATCAACCATCAGCTACACCCAAAACTTCAAGACCGCCACCCTCACCACCGGCATTTTGTCCACCCCCTTACGCATCGACCACAACCGCAGCATCTACGACACCACCCAATGCGCCACCTACACCGAACTCATCAGCACCGAACCCAACAAACAACACGTCATCGGCACACAACTCCGTTGGTCCCCGGAGACCTTGACCCTCTCCAAAATCGAAACCATTGTCACCTCCAAAGGCGACTGGCTCTTTGACCCAACTTCCACGCTCAAGTACTCTTGGTGGAATTAGAGAGAGAGGCTCTTGGAAACGGGTGGTTGGCAGGACACCGAAGGTAAGAAGTTGACTTGGACAGGGCAGAAAATCGGACGAAATTGATAACTGGGTGTAACCTGGCAATGTGTTGTCGCATTGTTGGATGTCAACAACAAACATAAAGTCACCACGATGCCACTTGGCGGGTAAGTGGAAGCGCGAACGAGAGCGTGGCATGGCGGAGGATGCCGTTGGTGTTGCATTGGGCATGACCGCTCGGCTAAAACAAGCAGAAAAGATGGTTCGATAAGTTGTTGTGGTGAATACGAGGAAATTTGGGAATAGCTTCATGTTTGGGGATTCGTGGCAAATGGGACAGAGGTGGAAACACGCTGAAGAAACCATCAGCTTTGTAGTCCAGTCGGATTGCGCGACAAGAAAAAGAATCGAGGCACTAGCGAATCACTAGCCCAGATGGGCTGAGCTAATGCAGCGGCACCCAGCAACACATCCGAAGAGCGGAGCATGAAAGCGGTCACGGACAGCAGATGCTTAGTTTCATACTGTACTTGCGTATGTTACACTGCAAGAAGTGGAAGGTAGAATGTGACGTCATTGTGATATGCCCCACCTTCTCCGTCCAGCATGGGGGAGCACTGCAGTGGGAGCTGACCCCCAAGGAAAGAGCAGCAAGAGCTGAAGAGCAGCAGCTGCTACACTACACTAAAAACTGGACATCGCCGATTGCAAGGGCAAGAGCCCGGAACAGTCACCGGGACCCCTCCGTGGATTTGATTTGTCTTTTGTTTTCTGCGCTTGCCCAATTTCTTATCAGATGACGGGATGGAAGCACTCCCGCGGCGCCCCAAACAGACCACTGCTCGAGCACAACTCACTAACAGACTGGGAGACCCATGGGTCACCTAGGTCATGATCCCGACCCAGCATTTTTCTGGTGGTTTTCATCCGTCTCAGCTTTTCCTTTCGCAAACGTTGCTCGTTTTTGGAAAGCCAACAAAATCGAGTCACGACAACCACAAAAGTGCCAATGATGCCTTGGACCATTGGAAAAGCCCGAGGATCGACCACACTCCTATGTAGTGTAATGAAGATTCGGCTAATCCAAATGTGTCAGCAGAGGACTGGGAGGTTCCATGCAGCAGACGCCCCGATGGCATTTGGACCGATTGAGGCCGACAAAAGCGAGTCTAGAAGGGTCCATCCGTCGGGTGTACAAGGTACCAGTGGTGTGGAAACGATAGCTATTTATCAGACCGTTGCGCCACATAGCACACCACAGTGACCACACAGTGATTGTTGTTGGCAACAAACCAAGGACAAATCGAGGAGCTGTCAATGACCATCACACACTGAAATAAATCCGGGCAGTGTGTGTTGGGGCCCCTGATGATCCCTTCTCCGGCGCTCCGCTGCTGCCGGTCTCTTTCTGCGCTTATTTTGCCACGATGTAACAGCTGGTACTGTATCAGCCGAGTAAAATACCATTTTCTGTACTACATTCTGCGGGACCAGTCGCCCACTCATGCGGTATTCGCGCGTCACAGTTACCGACTTTCAAGTTTACCATGCCATCGGTACCAGCAGCCGTTGCGCCCGTGACAACAACGAGTGGAAAAATGGGCAATCAGCGGGGGATCATCACGGTACAGTAGCAGTCAAGCACTGACCATTCATGGCTCGCGCCCAGTCCCGCAATCAACGTTCATCGAGATCTCTTTTTTTTCTTTCCCCTTCCCATTTCGCCCTTTCACGAGTTCCAGTCGCCGGTCTGTCTGCTGCCAAACAATATCGAGTATCCCTTTCCCACACCTGCCTGACCTCTTTAACATGCCACAAGCGTCACAAATGACCACCAGTCTGTCGTTTTCCCGCTTCCCTTTTCCGAGATTTCTCCTTCGCTCCGTCCCGAACCAGGTCCAGTCCTGACAACATCCTGTCTTCCGAGGCCTGGCCCACCCGCAAACTTTATACTTTATTTGCCCCCCTCAGCCACTAGTATTGGCCAACCCCGCCGGTCGGCAATAGTCTGTCTGCGCTTAGCTGTACCTACGTACGGTACCTCACCCGGAGCGCAGCAGAAAAGCCGACTACGGTTAGGTTAATAGACCGTGACCGCCCGACATCCGGCTACTGCACAAATCAGCTCATCTCGCTGCCAAGTTCCTGATTGCTTCCGGCAAAAAGAAAAGCACTTGTCTTGGATTTCAAGCTCGGCGCATCAAACTAACCTCCCTCTAACGGCCGACACTGCCGACGCTGCCACCGCCAAAACCATGGCCGACATGGCAAATAGTCTGCTGAACATGGTCATTGATGGACCGAAGGATGGGAATGATGAAGAATCCCATCCATATCCTGACTCCTCCTCCAAGTCTTACGGAGCTGTCTCCGCCCCCGGACCCGACAATTCGGACTGTCTTCAGGCCATGACTCAGCAGGAACACGACCACTTCAACGACAACGACTCCCACATCTCGGCTTCCGCTTCAACTCCCTCCACCCAGGCCATGGAGGAAGACCACGCCTGGAGTGTTGCGACCAGGACAACAACACAATCGTCCATCGATGACACCGTCACCCTCCAACACCATGTCCCGCCTACCCATCCCTTTGCGGCTCCCGACATGAGCCTCATCTTCGACTTCTCTCCCGTCCCATTACTCCTGCTGTCCTCGTCGTGCTGCATTACCCGCGTCTCAAAACGCTTCTTGCAAGACTGGCACGTCACCGAAGAGGACTGCATCGGCAAGTTCCTCCTGCCCTTTCTCGAAAGCCAGATCCGCGAAACTGGCGCCAGCAAATCAAAACTCATTGCCGAAGCCGTCGATGATGCCGTCGCCTCTCGATCCGAGCGCACTTCCAAGGCCATCACTGTCAAGAGCGCCTTCACTTGTCGCGCCCGCGTGATCCCCATCTTTCGAGATGCCGAGCTGGTCTCCATCTACCTCGAATGGCACGAGCGTCCATCCTCCGAGGTCCTCGACAATGAGCAGGTCCAACCGGGCCTATCCACTGATGAAGCCTTTCGCATTCTCGTACAAGCCACCAAGGACTATGCCATCTTCCTCCTCGATACAAAAGGTCACATTGCGACATGGAATACTGGCGCGCAATTGCTCAAGGGCTATACTCGGGAGGAGATCATAGGCAAACACTTTTCCATTTTCTACGGCAAAGAAGATTTGGACATCAAGAAGCCAGACATGGAACTGGACATTTGTCTTCGCGAGGGTCGTGTCGAAGACGAAGGCTGGCGCTACAAGAAGGACGGAACGCGCTTCTGGGCCAATGTCGTCATCACGGCCGTCTACAAGAATGGCGTCCATGTCGGCTTTGGCAAGGTCACGCGCGACTTGACGGAGCGTAAGGCGTCCGAGTCCCGCCTGATTGCCGCCTACGAGGAGAGCGAGAAGCTCAAATCCGATTTCCTCGCCAACATGAGCCACGAGATCCGTACCCCCATGCACGGCATGCTTTCGGCTTGCGCGTTGCTGCTCGACTCGCCCCTTACGGAGAGGCAGCGAGACATTGTCAACATCATGGATGAGTCGGGTCAGATCTTGTTGCAGGTCATCAACGACATCCTCGACTATTCCAAGCTAGCTTCGGGCAGTTTCTCAGTCAGCTCCGATGTAGTCGGTGTCGCCAGCATCATCACCTCAGTGGTTCGCGCTGTCCAGACGACGTTACCGCCAGCAGTCCACTTTGAGCTCTTCCTCGCCCCTAACCTCCCAAAGTCCGTCCAAGGCGACCCCCTCCGTTACCGCCAAATTGTCCAAAACATTGTTGGCAACGCAGCCAAGTTCACCGACAAAGGTAGCATCCGTGTCAAAGCTTCGGTCCACTCCGAGGACAGCGACAGCTACACCATCTTAACCGAAGTCATCGACACGGGTATCGGCATCCGCGAGTCCGCCTCCGCGTCGCTCTTCACCCCCTTCAGCCAATTCGACCTCACCACCACCAAGCGTTACAAGGGCACTGGCCTCGGCCTCTCCATCGCCAAATCCCTCGCCGAGCTCATGGGCGGCCGCATCGGCTACCGCCCCAACCCCGAACGTCACGGCTCCGTTTTCTGGTTCACCGCACGCTTCAAGAAGATTAAGAGCCTTGAACAGATCCAAGACTGGAAGCATCAGATGGCCGCTAAGGACGGTTCACCCATTTCGCCTGTTCAGCCTGACGTCACCGTTCTTCAACAACGACTCGCCTCGGTCGCCGGCACCAAGAACATCTTGCTTGTCGAAGACAACGTTATCAACCAAAAAGTCATGCTGGGCATGCTGCGCTCTCTTGGCTTTAGGAGCATCGACCTGGCAGCCGATGGCGCCGCGGCCGTGAAGATGGTCACCGGGAAACCATTGGGGTATGATATTGTGCTGATGGATATCAACATGCCTATCCTGGATGGAAATGAAGCTTCGCAGAGAATCCGTGACGCTGGGTTGAGGGTGCCTATTATTGCCATGACTGCTTACGCCCTCAAGGGGGACCGTGAAAAGTGCCTGGAATACGGCATGAACGACTATGTCCCCAAGCCTGTCGACAGGAAATTCCTAATCAAGGTCTTGGCTACCTGGATCCTCGAAAAGGTCGACTACCGCAAGGCATATGACGAACGGTTGCAGCAGTTGAAGGATTGTGATGAAAAGTTGCATCGGCTGAGCGTCAGTGAGGGCGTGTCCGCAGCTAGGAGGGAGAGTGTAGATGGGGAGTCGAAGCCCGGAATAGCGTTGCAAGGAGATGAGGGGGCTGTGAAGGGGTGGGCTTCCCCATTCAGGGAGGTAGAACAGAGGGAGGTAGAACAAGCACAGGCCTCTAATGCAGGCGTGATGCAGGGGACGTTTCACGAGCCGGCGTCGGTTAGGATTCCGAAGATGCTGGCGCAAAGGACGGAAAGGACCAAGGTGGGGCCACTACCGCTACCGAGTGGTGACCAGGGAGCGCCAGTGCTTAGTGATGCTCAGCAAGGAAAACAAGAGCTACCCAACGGTGGATTTGCCGAAGGCGAGGAGCTGAACCAACGTTCGCCGCCGGTCAGCGACGGGGAGATTAGTCCCAGAACTCCGGTGTAGTGGGCCGATCAAGGGTTGTCGGGGCAGGAGGAGGAGATGATGGAACAAACACATACATGACACACATCAAATGCATAGGGCAGGCGTCAGGCGAAGCGAGCGGGATTATTTGAAGGACATGGGGCTTCATTTGTTTGTGTATTTCCAGGAATGGGCGTTCATTTGGTATCTACTGTTGAGTTTTCGGTTGTTACCTACAGGTACCTAGTCTCGACGGTCGAACAAAGAAAGACAAGAAAGGGATCAAACAGCAACAGAAGGGGACATGCGCAAGCTTGGTCGTTGTGTTTGTACTGGTATTGTAGCATTGCTGGGTGAGACTAGAGCAAGCAAGAGAATGGCGTGCATGAATGGTAAAGGCATGCGGCGGAGGAATTTAATGAGCGGAAGTAAGTAGTGTAGTGTATGATACCCGGATAATGAATTAAAGTCTTTCCCCGTCATTTTTTTTCTGTTTCGGTTGTCTCAATGCGGTATGTTTGTCCTTGTTGCAAGTTTTGAAGTTTTCCGAACGGCATTTAGTTCATCGAGATTCCGAACTCCGGTCCGCTACACCTGACCCTTCTTCTGCCCTGGTTGCTCGGGGTGATGACTGTCGTTGATCTTTTCGCGACAACTGTGTGTGTGGTTTCGCTGCGTGGCGCAAATGTACCTACCTACTCGACAACAGCGACAATATCACCTATCTACCTATCTATCTACCCGGTGTTGATATCGAATTCCCTCACTTCCTTAGCCCTTACTGAGACTATGAAGAGTGTTATACAGTTGCGTGTCGACAAGTTAGAGGGATGTGGTATTTTCTTGCTGATGGATACTCATAATCCGTGAAACTTGTAGTGATCAACGTTGATGGGTTCTCTTTTGATGATAATGATGATGATTACCTAACGAATTCCCTTTGGAAGAGTCCAGTCGTTAGCGTGACTGGCTGGCTGAGCATCGACGAAGCTCTGTCAAGGCGCGCCTGTCCTGTCTAAATCCATATTTCGCGTATGCCTGGGAGAACTGTGTAGTGAAAGTCGGGCAGGCGCGCTTCCAGTCCCTTGACGAGACAAGCGCGTCGTCGGTGAGGACAGACAGTTGTTAAAGCCGTGCAGCTGGCTGATACAGGCAACGCTGAACTCTCCGAATCATCTTCACCACCCCATCATAACATCTCCTTTCACTTTTGTGGTTACTATATTTTCAGTTTTTCAGTCAGGCACCGTGACTTGTATTTTTAGAGCAACCTCGCCTGCTTCCCACCAAGCAAGGCACACCACCCAGTCCCATGTATGTCGAGGTACCCGACCACCACTAACCCCTCCCGTCCTCCATCCTAGGCCTCGTTAAGATAGCCAGAGGCGTTGATCACGTCTACTAGGAATACGTGCACCCCATTTCCCCTCATCCCCCCCCTCCCTCCCCAGTTATCTCCCCCTCAAGGCCCCTGCCAAACGCCCATTTCTTTCAGGTGTCGCTACATGTACACGCTTGGTTAGTATCTACATTCTTTCACAGCAACCATAGAACGATTCGTGAATGCAAGAAGGAGATGCGAGTAGAGGTAGGTAAGTAGAGGAAGGTACTTACAATCAACGCGAGGGCGCGAAGAATGGTCACGGCGTGGTGATCCTCTATACCCGCGACGCGCATCCACGCGCAAAGGAGCGAGAGGTACTCGTCCTTGGTGAGGACGTAAGGGCGGTAGTGGTAGGCGTCCATAGTTTTTTTTTTTTTTCTATATCTCTCTAATATCTGCGTGTCAGTTTGCGATCAGGGTGGAATGCAAGGTTACCTTATACGTGTCGGTACGTGGAGGAGGGAAGTACGGTAGAGTAAGCAGGGTAGGGTAGGTAGTAGGGGACTTACTTGGTAGCTGAGATACGAGCGAGGTGGTGTGGTGTGGTGGTGGTGTGGGAGGGAGAGAAGCTTCTTGGATCTTGGTTGATCAAGTGTGGTGGTGAGGAAGTGACGAGAGGTAGTTGGGTGGTAGAAGAAGAATGAGCGTTGTAGTTTAGTGAAAGCAGAAGAAGAAAAAAAAGAAGGAAAGGAAGAGAAGGGAGAAGAGGAAGGAACCTAGGAAGGAAGGCAGGTACGCGTGTTGCTACCTACTCGGGCGCGGATAAGGGACTGGAGAATCTTTCGACCGGTGGAGGGGTAAATCGGCGAGTCCAGCAGCCTTGAGGGCTATTGACTCCGATGGTTGCCTGGTAACGAGAAGGATTTCATCCCGTCTCAAGTGAGTGTCACCTGTCTCAACATCGTCATTGACGTCTGGAGCTTCGTTTTCCCAAGACCTGCAAGTAACAGCGTGCTCGATTTAACCGCGCCATCACTCTCTCGCATTCCAATATGAACTTTATATGCCAGGCGTACGGAGGGGACTTGAATCTGTCTGAGTTCATATAGCTCTTGTCTATCTGTAAATTCCATAGTGTGCTACCAAAGACGTGATATTGATCAGGGAATGTTGCGTGCCGTTGAGATCGGGCCTCAGCAGTCATCGCAAAACTACCTCTATTGTTACTTCTACTATCGGCTTCTGAATATAGATGTGGGTAGCCGGGTCCAGTCCCCCCAGTCTGTGGAAAATCCCACATGCGTACCTCTAGGTACAGAGCCCGCGCTCCTATTGTCAACTGCCTTCTCATCCTGCTCGCCCTTCTCGCCATCCTGAGACAAGCTACAAGTCATCAACGACCAGGAGCTTCATTTCATACTCTCAACCTTACAAATTGGGCACTTTCCGGTCATCAAATCAAGTCAGTAACCAGTACCTTCAAAGGTTAGGTATTATGCCCACGGATCCCGAACTCACGCAGGACACTCACGAGACTATTACGCTAACACGCTGACACCAGACGTTACACTTTATGCTCTAGACAAAGATACCTTATCTACTTCCTCGCAATCTTCACGCACGAAGCACCCAACGCCAACGGTTCCGCCTTGAGAACAACCAACTGGAGGAACTTTCTGGGATGTCATCTTCATGCAACTTTTGGCAGCGCCAGAATCGACGTCGAGGGCACTTTCATCTGTGTCGTGTACAGACACCACCAGTCTGGGACGTACATCAGAACGTTAATTGAGAGGTGCGAAACCAACACGATCGAAGAGGCAGAGCCCGTTTACGTGATGTCTGAAACGGAGGGTAGTGGGACCAAGATTGCCACCTAGAGTCGATTCTGAAAGCAAGGTGGAGAATGTCTGCCTTTGTAAACAATGTCTGAGCGTGTGGAGGCTCAGCACATGCAGGGTGAGGAGGATAAGGACTAGAGGGGGAGATGGAGGACGACGAGTACCTGTGTCTACCACGCCGAGTACTTGAGAGGTCGGTATATACACTCCATGTCCACATTCTAGTCACATTGACTTTTGATATCCCATTGCATGTCTGATGGAAGGCTACTTAACGGGATGGCCAGTAATGGTAACTTGTTGGGGCAAGAGATGTTGTTACCTTTGGCTTCTATAGCGGTAGCGTTGGGTCATGCTGATATTGCAGGTGGCTTCTTCGCTTTATTCCCTCCCCTCCCTTTTTTTTTCTCTTGGATTATGCTAACGCTCAATACTACTGGGAGTTTGTGGTGGCGACATGGACGCAAACGCGGTTGGATGAGGGGTTTTACCTGTCTCAAAGCTTGTGGTCAATGAGTCAATGTCCTTAGAATTCAGGAGGGGTCCTTTGAAGGGGGACATATCTGGTCAAGTTTGGAGCAGCAAGTACGGTTTTAGGGGGCGAAACGTCTTTCATTTCCTGGGCTGAACTTGCTGAAAGGAAGAAAGTAAAAAGGAGTTGGCAAGAACGAGATAACCAAAGGAGGGAATAGGAAAGGAAGGAGGCATGTCTAGAATCGTACAACTTAGAAAGTCACCCAGGCATGCATTTTCTTTGCCACCCGCACCGCTCCAATTCGCCCATGTATTCCGTGCCATCTATTATCTGTAAACAATTCTAGAAGCCGCTCGCTCGGGTATCCTAACAGTCGCTCGGGTATCTCAACAAGCAAAGTCGCATAGGCAACAACCCTTCCCAATCAATTTTCAGAACCTTTTTAACTCCCAGCAACAATACAAAACAACCTGCTCCCTTGTTCCACACAATTAGGTACCGCTCCTTCAGCTTTCCTCAAACTCCAAAACTCCGGACACTATTAACCCTCCAAAGTCCCATCCGTTCCAATCCTAAGCCCCATCACGAAGGAACCCAACACGGACACCGCTGCTTATCCCACTTCACCATCCCACACGTACGAATGTCGAAAAGTTCCAAAAAGCTTGTCGTTAACTCATGCGGGAAGCCCGTCAGGTACTTCTTGGGTTCTTCCAATTCCGTCAATCCTTTGGGTTCCATCAAGTCCAGTCCTTTTTTTTTTATCTTTTCAAATCGCGCCTATGTTTAATCCTTGTTGGAAGCCCCTGTGTTGTTGTTAGGTGTCATTTAGATGACGTCTCTTGCCGCTACCGCAAGATGCAGACTCGAGCTCATCATCCTCTTCCTCGGAATCAAATAAACTGTCCCAAGACGAGCTAGAGTCCCTCCTCTTTCTCTTTGGGGTGGTGGTGGTGTTGCTGTTGTGGTTGTGGTTGTGGTTGTGGTTGTTGTTGCTGCTGTCAGGCCTTATTGGCGGCTTAAACTCGTCCGAGTTCACCTGCACCATATCCATGAGACAGTCTAGGACGTACTTTGACCGATCGAGGCGTGTTCGCTTGTACTTGTAGAGCGCGGCGGTGATGGCCGGCTTGGACTTGTACTCCCAGGTATTATCGTATACACCGAGGATGTCGTTGAGTTCCGTTTGGTCACAGAGCTCTGGCTCTTCTTCCTCAGGTCGCTGGGAAGTGTTGGGTGTAGAGGTGTCTGTGGGGGGCAGTGAATTGGGGGTTGGGTACTGCTTCTCCTCGTTGGCCTCCTCTTCGTAGTCCTCGTGTCCGGAGTCGTCCTCTTCGTAGTCCTCCGATTCGTACACCTCCTCTTCGCACTCCTCCTGTCCGTACTGCTGCTCCTCCTCCTGCTCCTCCTCCTCCTCTTTCATTAACTCTGAAATAAGACGTAGGTGTTTGTCAGATTTATTGATCATCCGACGAGCAGCATATCTCTGTGGGCCGTTCTGTGGCCGAGGATGGTAAAGAGGAGCTGGATATGCCTTTGGGTCGAGTACGTTGATAAAGCAGCGAGAAGCACCGTGTTGGGTCTGGGTCTCCGGGAGCGGACTCGTCAGGGCTTGATTATGGTGTCCTACTCCTTCAGTAGAGCTATTTGACGCTGTAGCTGTTTTATATGTCGGTGGATGAGAGCGTATCAGGTCTACAGGGCAATCAACCGAGCGACCCATGTCGGACTTTAACTTCTCCGGCTGCTGTGTCGATTGCGAGGTCAAGATGTTGTTGAAGTTGGAAGAAGCGTGATTGCCTATATCGTAATAATTAGAGGTAAGATCAACATGGTTGGGTTTGTCGACGAAGTCCCAACCCGGTTGTTGAGGCTGTGCCCAAGTCTGAAACTGATTCAGGCCGAGTGATGGTGCTGAGCAAACCGCAGGTCTCTGTTGAGGCACTATCGGTACGGGAGGAATCTGTTGCCACTGTTGCTGCTGGTGCTGCTGATACCGCTGTTGAAGGCGAAGCTGATTCAGTAGGGCATGATTGACCCAAGGACCTTTAGGACGGACCTTGGAATTCAGAATAACGGTCTGGCCGTTGGTGTAGTATTCCCCTGTCTGCCATGCTTCTTTCTCGCCGACTGCCTGAATTTCCGCTAGATATCTTTGTTGAAATTTGCAGGCGGGATTGCGATGGAGGTCGCCGTTGGAATGGGGGTGCACATTGTATTGCGGTTCTTGGCCGTAATATGTTTCATGCATCACGGCGAACGTCTGGTCGTTTGGCAGTGTTGACAGAGTACCGGTGGCCGTTTGGCGTATTGCAGGAGTGAGATATCCCATGGTTGAGAATTTGGTGATAAAAAAGTGAAACCAATGTTGAGACAGAATCGACTGGAGGTTCTAGGTACTTTGGATGATGGAGGAAGAGAGGGATATCGAAAGATGGGCAAGTATCTGTGGTTATATACTTGACCTGGAGAGGAAAAAAGATGTTCGATACGTGTCCTTCCGAAGAAATTTTGACGCTTTATGCACTGCGTGAGTCTTCAAGCATCTCGTCGAGAAAGTCCTGGATTGTATCACCATTCGGGCCTTGGAAATGCCCGTTTGGAGGGAAAGAGTAAGGCAACACAGAGGTACATATAATCTCGGAGGAACGTCGGTAGACTTGATACACTTTCGCAGGCACTCGGTTGTATGACCTTGGTTCGTTCTATCCGTTCACCGCTAACCCTCATCATGTTGGTCGATTGCCAGAGATGCATTAGGCTCAAAAGTATCCCACAAGTAGATGAGCCTTCGACCTCTCGGGCAGGAAAAGACCGAGTGGGGCCTCATGCGTTGCAATAAGCACGAGGTGGCCACACATTCTAGAAAGGACCACTTACGCGGGGTTATGCATTGCTTCATGCCCGGTATATCCAGTCTTTACCTCTGCATGTAACCTGATTCATGCACGTGGAAGTGTTCTTTTGAGAGGGGTGACACATCCTCTCAGGTATCCATTCCTACATTGACTCCTGACTTATATCTTCCTGGATTCCAGATCCTTCCTTCTGACAAGCACCTTGCTCCGAATCGGTCATCATTTTCTGTTCCTTCTCTGTTCCGCTTTCCTGTGTCGAGCCCTCGAATATCCTCCGTCACCAAATTCAACGTTTTTAGCTTGAAAAGATCAAGCCTCTTAGGTTCCGTTTCACCTCGCCACTTCCTCAAGGCTCGTCCACGCCCTGGTCGTTTTCATCATCCCTGACAGCGGGAGATGGGGTCTGGTTCCATGTCACCGTCCCGGAACTTTTGACTGTAATCGTCATGGACCCTCGCACCTCCTTCGTACATCTGGTTACAGTACCGCCCGCGGCCTCGAATTCGATCGTGGAAGAGTCATGGATCTTGAGATCCATTTTGTTACCATTTCCTAGCCTGGTGCTGACTGTGACCAGGGCATGATCATTGGTGACAATCTTGATGGTCGCCGTCGGCTGCGTGTGAATATCGATCGTGATGGGGGAACCGTCACCCCAGCTCAGGCTGAAAGTCTTGGGAGGGACACCGGTGGTTGTTGTGCCAGGCTTATTGGCGTCACCCACGTTCAGGTTGTCAGGCTGGCCGTACATGGTCATGGCGCGGCGGATGTGGTACAGACTCTTGAGGAAACTCAAAGCCTCCTCACCAGAGGTCGGTGGTCCTTTCGCTTTCTCTTGCTCACACCAGTGGAGGTAGTAGGTAGCCCACACATCCCCTGTGATCTCCTCATACTCTCTGCACTGGGCTATGGTGCTTTCGAGGTTCTCATTCCACCCTGAGGCTGCTACGGTTACGTCGTTCTGGTTGACTGCACTTGGACACGCTGGTTGCGCGTCGATCGGCTTCGGGTCAGACATGGCTGAGGTGATGGTAAGGTGTGACTCGAGGTTGAGGCAGAATGTTGCGGGGGGGACGGACGGCCGTTATATGTAGAGGTGTGTGGCTGATGGAGAAATCGTGGTAGGGTCGATCGAGGACTAGACAGCAGGTCTGGAGTCTTCAAGCTTGGACTGTCTCGGCAGGACAAAAGAGGTCACAGGATGTTGCTAATACGTTCAGGATGAAGACGAAGCTACCTTTACGCACGATCGCGGGGCAAGGCTGCAGGTAGGTGGTGCTAGAAAGTGGGCCCAGCCTGGCAGGCAGACGGCTGGCCGACTGAGCATGCGATCAACTCTGTCGAAATATGAAGGAGACCAAGGCTGTATGCGTCCAACTTTCCGGTTCTCGCGGCTTCCGCGGGCGTGAAGCATTGCTGAATTCAGGCACGCGAAGTTCTGTGATTTGAGACTGAAGGAGGCAAAAGGGAAAACGCCATATGTCAGATCTGAGAACACTTGTGTCGAGGCGAAAATGGAAGATGGATAAGAAAAGGAAGATGGCAAGCAATCATGATCAGTTGGTCGTGTGGAGAGTGTGATGACTCTGGACAGGAAGAGAAGACATCCAGTTCGTGGGGAGACGAGAACGGCGAATCGAATGCGCAAAGAAGTGTTTCCCTGGACCTTCCCAGGCAGTCAATGTTCAAGGGCACAATGCCCCGCTTGGTGAATGGATTGTGTGTGGAAAAAGCAAAAAGTTAGCAATGAAGGTTGTCGGCAAGATTTCACAAAGACATGTACGAATGGAAGGCACAATACGGGAAAGAATCATCTCGGGGGAAGAGTGTTCTGCTTCGCTACTTTGAAGGAGACTTGATGCTAGAGGTACTTTCACTTTCCATTTCCTGGCTTCATTTCCCCAAGATCGCATTCAGCCATATTGATTCCTTGGACAATGGCCGTCAAGTCATTTCTACTTCCCATGGTCCCTTCTCCATTTGTTGCTCGTTTTGAGGTGCCATCTGCTGCTCCGATACCTGCCTGTTGGATGGTCAGAGAGATGGTCCAGCCTCGAGTGTTGTGTCTTGTGGGGGGATTGCCGAGCACTCACCAGGTAAAGCTTCGGTACTCCTCCGAGTGAACAGGACCTCTGGCCTAGGCCAATCTGTTCTGGATCGCCACGTTGGGGTTGTAGTTGGGGTTGGGGATGGGATTGCCCCTCTTCTGGACAACAACAGTGATGGTGACAGGGCCATCACCGTGGAGGTTGAGTGCAGAGACAACACCATTCTCCACGACCTGGATGCAGTAGTGTCCCATGACGGCGCTCGAGGCGCTTGTGGTCTCGTTGGCTTGGACCGCCTGAGGATAGACGATCTGGCCTCCAAGAGCTCTGGCCTCGTGCTCAGCTTCCTCGCGACGAAGCTGGTTGACCGCCCTACTGACGTCTTGGATATTGGGGGCCGGCAGCTCCCTGATCAGCTTGAGGATGCTGGACGAAAAGTATTCGCTGAACAGTCCGCCCAGATCGTCTCCGTTTCCGAACCAGCCGAGGCCATTGTCCTCCACGTGCTCCTTGTACTTGACGGCGAGTCTCTTGAGGGCCTCTGACATTTTGACGTCTTTGTCAGAAGAGCCGGGGTAAGCGAAGTTGTCCTGGAGGAAGTGGACAAATTTGGCGATGGCCACGATTTGCTCCCTCTGCACCATGTCCTCTCCCGCATTGTACTGCTGGTGCGGATCCATCTTTGCTTGTGTCGTTGACTGGAGAGTGGAAGATGGTGCAGTGGTGGTGGTTCGTCCCTGACATAAGAAGGAAAGATGTTGTAGGGTGAGAGGAGGATTTTTGGACAGGGAATTTATACGCATTTCAGCCCGGGTCAAACCTCGAGAAACCCTGTCTACGATATCTCCAACTAATGACCATTAACTCACAAGATTCTGTTCACATAAAGGTTGACGCAAAACGAAGTACCCATTGCCCTTTCGTCTGGTGCTGGGTACACCCTAGAACACCAGGGCTGTCGAGGGAAATTTCTCTTCACGTCCACTGCCAGGTTTTCTGTCTTGGGACGAAGAGCTAACGGCTCCAGAGGTCCAGTGAATAACCTGAGATGTACATTCCGTCAGCTTCGTGTCCAACGCAATGCCGAAAGGGTCCGCCAGGGGCACAGTGTCGCGAGCAGAGGGAATAGACCGGACCAGTAGGCAGGCGCGAACGGGCGGACATGAAATGGATTGGGCTTTTCTCCGCGGCCACAGAGTTCACTGCCTGGAGATCATGCCAGGGTCTGTTTGCCAATTCTTTTATCTTTCTGTTCGACTTTCGTGCAAAAGCTGCGGTTCTACAGGCGCCACCAGCTACGGTAACTTGGAAATAGTCTAGACGTTCCTTCTTTCTGTACAATCCCAACATTGATCTTCTGCTTGCAAGCCCCTATAACTCCCCGGTGTTTGCCCAAACATTAGCTGCCAAGTTCCCCGTCGTGAAGAATGAAGGGTTCCTACTTCCTACTAAATTGAAAATTCGACCAAGACAGCGTAGTCCAGGCTAACTGCTAACCCTCCGATTTGGCCTCGCTGGCAGTAGCATCCTCTTTCCTCTGGACGCTGACAGTAACCGTAGCAGGGCCCTTGCCGTTGAGAGTAAGGTAACTGAGCTCGGAAGTTGGAGTGTCCTCGGTGATACGAAGGGTGTAGGCACTGTTGGTCTCGAAGTCGAATACATCGGCCTTGACGTCTTGAGCGTAGTATGAAGGGAATCTTTGACGCAACGTAGAGGTAGTAATGGAGATGCCCATGAACATGCTCGCATTACGGTCCATCGACAAATCCCTCAACAGCCTCATCAAACTCTTGAATGTAAGGTCCTTGCCCTCTACAAGGGCAACGGGGGTGAAGTGCTTCATTGCCAGTGCCTTGAAGAAAATTGACAAGGCGGGCGCCCAATCGTGGGGTGTAGTGTACCCTTTCTCGAGATACTGAACGAGGTCTTCCATCGCCTCGTCATCTGTCTTTGTTTTTTCCGCCATCTTGCCTGCCTGATTGATCCTGGACAGAGTGCTGCTGGAGTCAGTGACTGAAGGGCTTGTCAAAATGGTCGAATACCTACATACCTCTAGCGACCTACAAGTTGACTACAGGTAGACGTACCTTGACTTGAATCTCAGGAAAATTGTGCAGGCTTATGTTCAAGCCATGGTTTGCCTCTGATCAAGACTGAGCTGCAAGAGGATTTATAGGAAGATAATGATGAGCGAAACAAAGGAGGTACTGTAGCGAAGAACCATCAGGCTTCAAGCAGAATACATCTCTAACGTAGGAGAATTACCTGGAAGCTTTCCGTCCCTCCAGCGGGCCTGACGAGAAGCTTCCTTGGCCGGGTTCAATCACTCTCGCGAATAGAGCGTCAAATAGCTTCGGTCAACCATACAATGCATAGTCACACAGTATCTGGACCAAGGATTTGCAAACACTGTGCCTTTATGCCTATCCTTTGCAACAAGAACACCTCCTCATGCTCTATCCTTCTCAAAGTAGGTCGGGATCAGTCCACTCGGTAACGGTGCTTTGTTGAATAGCAGCGCTTTGCTAGAATTCACTCGTGCTACCAGAAGTTTCCCCCAACGTCCTTCCTTGCTTGTCGCGACTAAGCCAGCCTTTCAAAACCGGAAAGTCCACAAGTCCACGACCCACGTGATCCTTCTATGAAACTTCGGAGGAAGGATCTCCCACCGTGCTCAAATCGATTCAAACCCAAAACCATTTCCCAGCATGTCCGCTCAGCTGAGCCTCCAATGACAACGATAAGAGAAACGGAATGCGGCCTATAGGCCCTACGCTGTGGCGCGGAAACGGATCGATCTGTGACTTTGAAGCGGAATCAGAATCACTGCAGTAAATACCCCGGGCATGGACTTTGCCAAGCAGAAAGGGAAGGAGGGGGTGAGAAACAGGTTGCATAGGCCCCTGTCCGGTTGAACAGAAGTATCGAAACCAAAGGGTGCGTACCGGTTGTTCCTTCCCAGGTTGAAGGGTGGTCAGCGCTCCGTATTCACCTAGGCTGCGCCTTCCTTCTCGGCTTCCTTGTTGTTGTTCCTGGCAGAAGCAGAGGCGGTGTTGTGCTTCTTCTGGACGTTGACAGTTACGATGGCAGGGCCGTGGCCGTTGAGATTGATAATCGAGGTGCTAGTGTCATCGGATGTGCGGAGGGTGAGAGACATAGAGCCTTCTGTTTCGACGGTGAAACCACTCGAAGTCGTCGCGTTCTTGGCTTCGATGTCGTGCTTGACACGTTTGGCGGGGCGATCTTGAGCTTCGGCTTCAGCTTCAGTGGCGTCAGTGGCGGCAGTGACCTTGTCCTCAGCTTGGTTCTCGGCAGGGCGTTTTCCGTTGGCGTTGTTGTTCCCTTGCTGATTTGGAGCTTCCGGGGTCTCGTCGATGCATTCGTCAGCAGGGGTAGGAGAAGGAGTAGGAGGTCCCGGGAGAATCTGGATGTGCACCCCGCGGGCACGAGCATCGGCTGCGACTTCCTCGCGCTTGAGAGCTTCGAGTGCTTTGCCCAAGTCGGAGGTGGTTGACGGCAAGTCCCTCAAAAGCTTCTTGAGGCTCATCACAAAGTAGTTATGCCAGTCCATTGAATGCGTTGCACCCTCTACACATGGCGAAAGCTCGCCGTACTTGACTGCCAAGTCCTTGAGAGGAATCGAAATTTCGCGCTCCCAATCACACTTTAGGTCAAAGGTATCCTCGGTGAGATACGTGGCAAACTCATCTGCCGCTTCTTGTCTCTTGTCGACTTCTTCGTTTACCATCTTGCCTGTGGAGATGATACTTGGATGAGTAGGTACCGAAGCTCAAACCAAGTTGATCGCGGGAGTGACGGGGGCAATGGGAAGTCGCGCAGTACAACGAAGAAGCGTTCTTCAAAGACGGCTGGAGTGCGAAGAAGGCGAGGCGTTTACTCAGATACCTACGTTTACCAAGCGAGCGAGGAAAAGAGAAGGGTAATAGAAGGGCGATGCCTTGAAGGTGGCGAGGAAAAAGAAGACAGCGAGGAGCAAAGGTTGAAGCCCTTATATGCGCCTTGTTGCAGGCAACAACTTGATAACACTCATTCTCGCCGCTTCCTCGGTGATCAGACGGATTCAGGCAAACACCTGTGATCTGATGAATTTGATCTAGAGTCCAGACCTTGACCTCCCAGCCCCCTATCATCAGATTGCAACTGGAGAAAGTTCATCACCATCCGTGTCGTCCCAAAACAAAGCACTAGAACAAACAACCAGAGAAGAGAATAAGAGATGGAAGCGCATGAGGTGTATTTCACAGAGTGCGTTCAAAAGAGATTCGATGCTTGATATGGAACGAAAGGTAGGTAGGTATCCACTGGCGGTGGGACACACTAATGCCCTGAATACCAGCACAGCACAGCTCCTAGTCACCCAAGGATTCTCGTCTTTTCCTTGCATGAAGCACCTCACTCCCGCCACATCACCCCTTCCTAGCCAGCTTGACTTTTGTTTCCACGGTCCAGCATATCTTCAGACACCGACAAGGCATCCCGAGGTGCAGAAATGCCGGTATGCTCACCCAAGCCTTTCTCAGCATCTGTCGGCAACGTGCTCAACTTTGAGGGTGCACAGGTAGGCCTAGATCATTTCGGATGATTAGCAGCGGTGACGATATAGTTGAGGACTGAAGAGTGGCAGAAAGACGGCACTGGGATCGAAGCTTACCATTTCCTCACAACTCAGACGGCTTTGCAGCACCGTTCTCCTTGTGGACTTTGACCGTCAAGATGGCAGGACCGGTACCATCACCAGAGTAAACGCGAATCGTGCAAGGAGTGTCGTCGCTCTCAAGTCTGAAGATGGTCGCATTCTCGCCCTCGACCTTACGGCCTCCAGCATTGTTGCCATCGGCCAGGAGGTACTCGGCGATTCTCTTCGCAATCGCGTCGACTTGAGCATCCGCAGAGGTAGAGGTAGAGCTAGAAGTAGAGGTAGCCTGGTCCCGAGACTTGGGAACAACCTGAACCTGCACTCCGCGAATGGCAGCCTCGTGGACGACATCCACCTCGGTGAGTTTTCTGACTACTTCGTACAGCTCCTCGCGAGTCTTGGGCAAGTCCCACAAGAACTTGTCGAGAGTCAGCTCAAAGTACTCGTGCCAGATGCCGCCGTCGTCAGCAAGCTCCTTGTACTTGACGGCAATGTCCTGGAGAGCGTTGGCGAGCTTGGTGGTGTACGAGTCGGCGTAGGGGTCCTGCTCGAGAAAAGCGATAAAGGTGTCGATGGCATCTTCTTTGTCCACCTCCTGCTGGACCATGGGGTGGTTGAGGGGGTTGACGCCCGGATTGGTGTTGACCATCTTGTCTGTGAGACACCTGGATGGGTGTGAGATGAAGTCATGGAATGGAGGATTGGGAAGGAATCCAAGGCGATGGAGGGAAAGTAAATGTACCTTTGCGCGAAGGGATGGCTTGTGGCGCAACTGCTCTTGAGATGCTAGACTCCAGTTGGAATATTTCTTCTTGCGATTTAGGGAAAGATCGACGAGAAATAGTGGTCAAGTAAACGATTGAAAAATTTGACGCGGGGAAATTCACCGAACGATGTGGACTTAGAAGAAAAGGAAGGAGCAAGTCCCGTTCACGTTGACCGGGAGCTGTTGCCAGCACTTACCGCCCGCCTTCACTTTGCCGCTCTGTAGCCCACACTTTGGGTCACCGGCATTCCACTTCAACACTGCCGGCAAGTCCCCTCCAGGATGATTCAGTTTACTGTGTTACCCAATATCCATCAGCTTCCGTTGATTGGAGCCATTCGACACATGTCACCAGGTACCAATGTGTCAAACAACCCCAGGAACGAGCTGACGTCCTCCAACTTCGAAGCGGCTGTTTTCAAGACGTGTGACCAATGGGGCAACCAAGTGGTAATGATATTCTGCATTTGATCAGGGCATACGTAAGGTAGGTAGAGGTAGATGATGGATCACTATCCCTCAGGATTGTTGATATCTCGAAGGCATCGTCCTACAGCTTCCGTCTTGTCTAGCATCAGCACCGGTCAAGTGAATTGCTCTTTTGTCTCTGACATTATCGCCCCAGTTCCATTCATCAACTCTCACCTTTCCTAGGTAGTCTGCCTTGCGTTGCGTTTCTCTTCGGTCACATTATCCTGGTACGTAGACTTTGTTACGAGCCTATGTGTTTTTTGTGGCGTTGCTCAGGGGTTCTTTTTTCCTGCCCGGTAGTTGTTATCGGATACCCTTTGTCTGGCTGCCTAACTTTGTGTTCCGTTCTTCTTCGGTTTCGTTCGCCTTCCGCACGGTTTTGGCAATATCGTTTTCAGTGGTTGTGGTGCAGCCGTGCTTAATAGGTATTGTTGTGGTTTTACCAACCTACCCTACGAATTGTCATCCTTCTTCCATTTCCCGCTCTTACTAGATAAATTCGATGTGGACTCGGCGCTGAAGTTTCGTGTGTATAAGCCCAATTTCGCAGAGATACCTAATACTCGACCTCTAGTTAGCAAGGCTTACACAACAGTCTAGCAAAGGGCCATCTTGATGGGTGTCGGGAGGGATGGATGCTTGCCCTGCTGACTGGACCAACCCACCTGGTACTCGGTAGAATTACTTCCCAAGCTTGGAAGAAGATCATTATTATTAGTCTTATACACGCTAACTATATACATAGTCCGCCCAGTGGGCACGCGGTGCTGCTTCGCTCGTAGTCGGTGGGAAAAACCGTGCCGTAATGGCCGGGTGAAAACCCTCCGCTTCGCTGTCGCAACGGCGCCGTGTTGGCTCCGTGTGGAAGAAGATCGATATCTGTACTCACCAGTTCTCCTTCCCTGGAAATATTCTAGTACCCCACCTGTGCCTCTTCTTCTTGTTCTTCCTTCGCTACCTTTCTCTTCTTATTGGTCTTGTTCGGGTTGGCTACAGTACATATATCGAACACGTCCTTCTTCTGGACCAGAACCGCGACGGTCGCAGGGCCACAGGCGTCCAGATAGACAGGAGAAGAGCTAGTGTTGTTACCAGACTGGCCGGCAATCTGGAATCGGATATACTGTAGGGGCCGACGGTGTCGATATGGAGTGTTTACGGGCTTGTAGACGGTCTTGTTCTTGGCTTTGGCACGAGGTCGCTCGCCATTACCATTCTTGTCGGAACTTGTTGGAGTGTCGACACGTTCTTCGTCGGCCTTGGCTGCGAGTTCCATGTCCTTACGTTCAAGCTCCTTGACAGCTGCTTGCACGGCGTCAAGCTCATTGGGTGGTAGGTCTCTGGCAAGGCTCTTGAGGCTGAGGACAAAGTAGCGACGCCAGGCTTCGGTACGATCACTCGCGGCTCCAATTTGGTACCCGAACTCATGGACCTTGGCTTGGAAGGCCTTGACGGCATCGGCATATTCGAGCTGCTAGTCGTTGGGTTCGTACGAGCCCTGTAGGTGCTCTACCATCTCATCGTCCGCCTCTTCTTTCCAAACTAACCTCGTCATCTTGCTTTTGGAGTGGTTGGTTGAAGGCGACTGAAGGCTGGCTGGGAAGTGGTCAGTGGAGGTAGTTGGAATGATGGTGTGGGACAACAAGAGGCAACGGATACTGATACTCCGCCGCGACCTTAACTGTAGGTGTTGGGTGTCAGTCTTGGTTGGCCTGCCTATGCAACACCCACTTTCCGGCAGAGAAGACATCAAGCGAAAGTCAATACGTGCATAAACTGCATTCTCCAAGCATAAGCAAGCATGTAGGGACACATCAACATGAATCAATGGGAGTTGGAACTGTAGGTAAGTTTTCGAAAGCTGACAAAGTGCTTTGTACTACCTGCCCTGATGCTGTAGTCAAGGTCTGTTACGGTGATGTCGTACGCCTTTTTATGCCAGCAGTGAGAGACAGTCCAAACCCGGGAAGCCATATAATCCTCCTTCCTCCCTTGTATTCACAGGTCCAGCTATGAACCATTAGCTGCTCTTTGGTAGTGGCGAGTGAGCTCGAACAGCATTCAGCGAGTTGGCAGCATGTAATGACAGCCTGAACCCCGATACACAACCCGACCTTGCCCGTCCCGCTGTGGTTCCGACATCGACCGAAGATGACACGCGCGCCTGTGTTTGCAGAACAGATTAGCTGGGGAATCCAACAATAGCTTGATCAAGAATATGCCAACAAGCAACTAGAGGAAAGGTATCTTCTGTGAGAGTGCTGCGCTGAGCCATCCCGAATCCCAAGAACAAGACACTTACATCTCAAGGATAGGTGCAGCACGGTGCCGGCCTGGGATCATGAGGGCTCATCTGATGGTAAGTTCCTGGGTATGCGCCGCAACGACGCAGAACATGCGGCTTGAAGAAAGGGGCAGGGGCAGGATCTGGGCGAGAAGGCGCGGCATCACCTCCAGATGCTGATGTGCCCGAGGTCTTGATCTGGACAGTAGCCGGGCCGTTCAGGTTGAGTTCGACAGCGGGGGTGCCACCTTCGGAGACGTGGACGGTGTAGGCGCCTTTGGTGTAAACGGTGAAGTTGGGTGCCTCCTCGTTCACTTTGACGCGCTTGGACGGGGGTGCCTCTTGGGTTTCGCCGTCGTCAGTTTGCGCAAAGGTACGTTTTCTGGCAGACGATGACTGTGCCACGGCGGTACTTGACTGGGTGGGCTTGGGCGGCAGATCGGGGTCAGAGACCAAATCGGCCTTCAACGCAGCCAGGGCATCGCGCAGCTCATCGCTACCTTGAGACGGCACGTCGCGCAAGAACTTTTGGAGGCTCCGAATGCCGAACTGACGGTACTGTTGCGCTTCCTCGTCGTCAGGATACCAGGGGCGGTGCGAAAACTTGGCCGCGATTGCCTTCAAGACCTCGGCCAGCTCAAGATCATCACCGGTGAGGTGGGATCTCTTTCTGAAGATACGATCCGCCATGTTGGTTGCCGCGGCAGGAGGTGAGAACGCGGATGTGAAAGAGCGAAAGAAAGAAGGAGGGGTTCTTTCTTTGGAGACGAAAGGATGGAAAGAACCAGAAGAAGTGGGAGTCACACCAGGCAGAGACCGACGGGAGCCACGACGTTGGCTGAAGAAGAAAGGACCAATATGACGTAGCGCTCCTTCCCTTTCCAATCTCAGGCAGGCATTGGCGGTCCGTCTCAATTTCGATCCACCAGCGATAATACACCAAGAGGAAGGAGCACCTCACCCAAAGCCACCACGGCCGGCAAAGAAAAGAAAGAGGGCACTGCAACGAGCCGGGCTTCGGAGCTCAAAGGACACATGATGCTGCAGTCAGCCAAACAGCTCTTGCTTTGGTCAAGGAAGCCTTTTGCGAGACTGTAGTATTGTTCAACCCTCGGGTCGGAGAGAATCCCGCTTGCATTCTTTGGTCATGTAAATGCTTGGATTCTGGGTCAGCCAGTGCCGTCAGGATACATACATTCATTTGACTTTTTCCGGTTTCATTCTACAAGTCCACCTTGCTTAGTTCCCTTCTGAATGCCAATTATCTGCCATCCTTCCGTGCCTGCCATGTCTTCAACCTACCCCTCAATTTGTCCCGAAAGTCCCAACCACAAAGGCCTGACCCGGGATATCAAACAACATCGCTGTCCGTTTCGGTATCTGTTGAACAACAGTTAGCCTAAAAGTAAGTGCAAACCTTGCTTCATGGAGTTACTCACTAGATGACATTGAAGAAACCGAAGACCACTCTACGAAGCCCATGTCTCCAAAGCCCATACCTTCCCAGCCCGTGACCATCGGGTTCACATTACCAACGCCTTCAGATGCAGCGAGAGAAGCGCGAGTAGCAAAAGCAACGACAGCGGGAGCGGGGTCAGGGGCAGCGGCACCAGGAACACCGAGAGCAGGGACAGGAGCAGCGGCAGCAGCAGCAGCAGCAACACCTCCACGATTGAGCTTGACCAGAACCCTAGCAGGACCGCTCGACTTGAACTTGAAGGTAGGAGTATCGCCTTCGGTGATGCGAACTTTGTAGACACTTTGGGTATCGACTTTGAAGATGGTCTCAGGGGGAAGCGCCGGATAGTTCTGGTGGGTGGTCATGACGCGCTTGTTGGGGTGTAAAGCATCATGATTGTTGTTGTTGTTGTTGTTGTTGCCGTTCTGGTCCATGGCTTCGGCGGGACGTTTCTTGTTGTTGGTGTTAGCGGTGGTGTTGTTGGCGTTGACAGTATTGTTGACATTCGCCGCGCTGGTATCAGCAGCGTTGGTGTTGGCGGCAGTCTCTACCTCAGGAACCCCCCTAATAATGACCGGTCCAACTTGACTTGTAGGTGCTCCCGGGCGCTCCAGTATTTCAATAGCCTGCTCCAAGGCCGTAGTTCCCTGTGGTAGCGTCTTAAGCAATACCTGGAACACCAACACAAAGTATTTCTTCCACCTGATGTTGTAGCTGTCGCCAAAGGGATGGGGAGTCTGGTCGTCATATGCCTCGTACTGCTTGGCCAGCTCCTTAAGGACCATGGACATCTCCCAGCCTTCGTCAGACGGGTCGAGGTCGTTTAGGAGGTAGTCGGTCCATTTCAAGGATGCCGTACTTCTCGTTGTTTGGGTTGAGGGGTCCATTTGGTCTAGGGCAGGATTACCTGGGGGTCGTTATGGCGAGTCTTTGGGGCCTGGTGGGGGGCTTGAAAGGTGTGATGTCGGGTAGTATTGGTTTGAGAAGGGAAGCCCGTGGAAGTTAGAAGTGATGAGTGGGTTGATGTCTTGAGGTATCAACATTCGATGTACAGATATCGGCACAAGTGTCAACAGGTGTCGGGTGTCAGCCTCGTATGAGAGCATTGCCATTCACTTCACTGGAAAAGCGGGCAAAGTTGACTCCCGGAGGCGTGATATCAATAGCGTACAGTTAGGGCTTGCCTCGAAAAGGGGCTTTTCCTTTCATCTGATGTCGACAAAGTTCCAGTCAATATAAAGAAGCACGCACTGTTTCCCTACACGACGTTGGCGCTCTGCTCGCAAAACAGCCAGAAATGTCATGGCCGTGGTGTCACTAGTTCCAGAAGTGTCTGATTCAAAATATTACCTGAGGAAAACCCTCCGCACATTAATACGATCCCCTCTACAGAGAGATACCCTGCGAGTTCCAAAAAACTTTCATTACAACAATCATCACAACACAATTACTATCCAAAACCTCGTAACCCAACGTCACTAGCCCTCACCCCGAGTACAAAACACATTTTCCCACTCGGTCTTTCTTCCCATCTCGTGATTGGATGGCGAGTTGCTAAGGAGTCAGTTGAAGGCAAACGGTGTATAGCCCGAACTGTATATTGCACCTCGGTTTATTGTGGTTAGGTGCAGGTGCCCGTGACCTTTGGGCTGGCGTAGCGGTATGGTCAGCGGAGGAATCCAATGCGTAGGGGATATTGATGTTATAGCCCGCCAGGGACAGGGATAACGAATTTGAGTCTTGCGCTGGTGAGGGTTCCTTTGAGCCTTGGGCTGGTGAAGGCCTTTGGTCTTGGGAATATGTATCTAGGTAGCATCGAATTATCAGTTGAGCTGCGGTGATAGTTGACTTGAACGGACTGCTGCAAGGTAAACCGATCGATCAAGTGTTGGCTACCTATCGAAGAGGGCAAGGGAACTCACCAGACGACAAACTATCCATCGAAGGACAGGCGGACCAGCGCATAGGAGGAAATAACGGCACTGATGGAGGGCTTGCCGGCAACGTGTCCTCAGCGGCCGACGACGTGCCCGTTGAAGACATGGACATGGACGCTGTAGAACTTTCGGACTTGATACAAAAAGTGGCATCAGCAGGGCCTTCGGGAACGAGGACGACCTTGACGTTGGCCGGGATGTAAACTATGAAATTATCTCGAGTCGGCTCCTGCTCCTTCTTGGCACGCTTTCTCGTGTTTGCGGCGTTGCCATCGTCATCGTCGTCCAACGAATCAGTCCAGGAACGCTTCCTGCCGCGCTGCTCTGAACTGTTGGCGACGGGTTGGGGTTGGGTATCGGGCGGAGTAGCTGTAGCCACAGCAGCTTCATACTGGACGACTGGTGGTGGTAGGCGTCGTTGTTGATGAAACTCTCTCCGCTTCTCCCGTACTTGCTCAGCGCTCGCATCTGGAGGTGGTAGTTCCCTCAGGATCTTTTCGAAAGCCGCGACAAAGTAGTTGTACCACGCGTTCCTCTGCCCTGCCGTCTTATAGTCGACATTATTATTAGTACCATAACGAAGTGAAGTCGAGACACTGATTCGCTTGGTGGATTCCTGGGCAAGGGCTTTGAGCGTTCTGCCCAGGCGGTCATTGCAATGAGGCTCCGAGTCGGCTAGGAGATAATGCGACCAGACGTAGGCTCCCCATCCTCCAGATTTTCTCTCATCCATGTTTCGTGGTCGCGGCATCCTGATTGCTGGGTGTGGTCACCGCCGATTGTATGTAAGGTAAGGAAGGTGGTTGAGCCGAAAGATGATGTAAAGGTCCCCGTAGTGAGGAGATGTCGCACTTGGATTCAGAGATTGATAATGTGTCGATAAGCGGCCGGCTTGAAAGTGATAATGGCTGATGCGGTCTTTGCTATGTTGAGGTCAAGGAAAAGGAGGAAGGAGAAAGGAGCGGGGTGTATCCATGTCCTTGTCTGCGCTTAGGTAAGCATGCACAACCCTGTACACGTAGCCTGCCTGCACATGCATTATGCAGTTTGTGCGGTACATGACACTCTACCGGTCCAATGAAAGAGGTCTTGATTTTTAGGAAATGTGGTGTTGATGGCTAGGAACAACAACTGGTGCACGTCGTAGCTTCCAACCGAATGGTACATCGCACACATATTGAAAGCAAGAAGCGGAGAGGGAAGGAAGGGCGGGGTCCAAGATGCCATTCAGCAGGATCTTGTATCCCCAACGAAGGCGTTTTTACCTGCCCAAGGTAAGTACCTAGGTTCCTCCTCTTGTCAAGTCCTCTACGTAGTAATCCGGTCACTTCATTACAGCGTTCACACAAGTGTTGGTACACATTCACCAGAAGTACAAAGATGTGGCTACATGAGAATTTGATGATTTTCTGCTACAACTCATGTACGAATTTACCCGGCTCTGCCTTACAACTTCCTTAATCCCTTCGTGAGAACCTTTCCAAGTTCCCACACTTCTTCTTCTAGTCCTTGAACAAGCAACAGATTACTCTGCTACATCACAGCCAGTACCATAATCCCTCATTACCTCCCAATGCAACCATCAGGTTAGGCACGTCCCAATGCCAAAGTTGGCCTGCAAAAACCGATGTTAGTAACCATCACCGGCATGGCTTCCTTATCTCAGAAGGGGTCTCACATACCAAGGTTAGTAGGTAATGTCCCCTAAAGGTACATATCCAACGGAACAGGCCTCTTACTAGGACTATCATCACCCTCGCCCTCGCCCTTACCCTTACCCTTGCCCTTGGTACTACCACCGGCACCAGTGCCATTCGCAGCAGCGATAGCACGAGCGGGAGCACGAGCGGGAGCACGAGCGGCGAGAGCGGCAGGGGCAGGCTGAACGAAAGCGGAAACACCGGTAGAATGGACCTGAACGGAACCCGAACCGACTAACATGAACTCGGCCATATAACCGACAGTGTGAAAGCGGGTAGTGGAAGGGCCGTTGGTGTCGATGTTGAAGGTGGTCGTGGTTCCGGGGGCGTCCTCGGTCTCGGTCTTGGAGCGCTTGTTGGCGCTGTCTTGGCTGTTGTCGGCAGGGCGCTTGTTCGTGTTGTTCATGTTGTTCATGTTGTTGATGGCGACGGGGTTCATGTTGGTGGTGTTGGCAGGGACCAAGGCGGTGCTGTTGAAAGGGGCAGGGACAGGAACAGGGGCCATGGTGATGTTGTTGGCAGGGACCATGGTGGCGTCGTTGGCAGGGACTAAGGCAGTGCTGTTGGCGTTGGCGACGTTGACGGTATTGACGGCGTTGGCAGCGTTGTTGGCGCCTTGGCCAGCAGTGGGCAGCAGATTCTTGGACATGTCACGGAGTGACTTGACAAAGTGATCATGGAACTGTTCAGCAGAGGCACCAGAGTCTCTATGAGTGCCCTTCTGGTACTTCTTGGCCAAGTCGTTGAAGACGGCGGTCAACTCGGCCTCTCGCTTTCCAGAAGTGGCAGGGTGACAGTCAACCACAAGCTTCTTCGCAGAGGTCTTGGCCCATCTGATCGGGTTTCTTCCACCGTATCCGGACATCTTGTTTGCAGTTGGAGGTGATGGTACCGACAGAGGGTGTAGTGTCCAAAGGATTGTCGATGGTAGACAGGTAGAGTCAGAAGTGGTTGTTGACGAGACTGTGTACTCTGGGCCGAGAAAGAAAGCAAGAAGAAGTTGTTCATCTTGGGCTTTTTATATTGGCTGTAACATATTTGACGCTCGCCTACTTGGAAAAGGTTCCAGTGAAAACTACGTGGAGATTCGGCTACCTCTAGGTTTGGCTGCAGGTTACAGATATGACTTTTCTCCACAAGAACTTGCACTCGAGGGAATCTCCTACCTTCACCTTGTGTCGTTAGCCGAATCCAAACCAAAAAGGCACCTTCAGCGCCAGCACTACCGGAACACTGGTCGCGTGAAGTGGCCGGAGGGTGGCAAAAAGCCTGCAAGGCAGTACACAACAGGAATTCTTGGCTGGTAGTGAAAAGACATCCAGAATATCCCGTAGGCCTCCTCTTGATCCTTAGCAGAAGGTTTGATACGAACGAAGGATCCAAAGGCCCAGAGTATTCCACTTGGCAAGAACAAAACGTGAATGAAGGACTCCGTAGACGCCACGCTTGCAGAAACGTTCAACGGCATTAGAGCAGTGGCATCCTTCATTATCAACCAGTCTCCAATAAAAGAACATGCATACACGCTACCAACAACTCAGTTTTGGCGAGTGTCCACCAGCCTTGGATCTTTGATACCCTATGCACCATCACCCATGTCCAGCAATGCTTCCTCGGGGAACTTTCGCCAAAGATGTTCTGGGCGTCTACATCCACTAGATGCCTAGGAAACTCGGTGTCAGTTGATTGGCCATTGAGTGCCCGTACTCCATAGTGGTGTATGCTCCAAAGGAGGAACTGACCTGATGTTGCTGCCAAAGTTGAATGGCTGGTGATCGTAGCCTACAAGTAGGTAGGGCTCACCTGCTGGCTTCGAAACACCAATATCATTGGGTGTATCAACCGAGATAACATGAATAGCACGGGGCTGGGAGCTAGAGAGCGAGTGGGGGTGCAAGCGGCAGAGAAGTCCACCTCTAGGCTAGGATACGTAGGAGACGTTTAGTCCCAGAGACTGTAGCCTACATCCTCGTCGGACTCCTCCTGCTCTACATCAAGTGGAAAGCAAGTAGTTAGTTTTTGAATACGGCACATGGGCGAACGAAGTGGAAGTATTCTTACGGTTAGTCTTCTCCTCCTCAATCTCCCTAGTAATGCTACCAGTAGCAGTAGCGGTACTGCCGGCAACAGAGGCAGGAATACCGACGGAGGGGACGTAAGCGGATCTGGAAGAACCCTCACCAATCAACTATAATATCTCATATTAGCCACGTGAATCCGACACCCGAATTGGTTTCCAGATGATAGTCGTACTTGGTTGAGGGTACCTCTATGGACCTGGACTGTAGCCGTCGCGGGGCCATTCAGCAGAAACTCGAGGGTCGTCGTCGTGCCCTCTTTGACAATGCGGGCTTTGTAGTCTCCTTGGGTGTCCACTTTGAAGGTGGTGTCGGAGGAAGAGTTATCGGTGGGCTTGACATCGATAGTAGTAGTAGCGCTGGCATCAGAGGGTGCGGTGATTTCGAGTCTTGCAATCGCCTCGCATAATTCACCGATGCTATCAAGATCTTTATAAGGTGGCAGATCTCTCACAACCCTGTCGAAAGCAGCGACAAAGTAGTTACACCACGCGAGACTGTAAAGATCGCTAGCCCAACCGGAACGAACTCGCTTGTCGAACTCCTCGGCGAGGTCTTGGAGGACTTTACTTAATGCCATTAAAGAACTAGGGGGTTCGGACTTGGAGGTATCCAGAAGCCTCGACCACAATTCGGCCGCCTTTTTTCTACCAACAGGATCCGGGAATGGCGACATTCTGATTGTCTGGGACGTTGATGGATGACGACCTGGGAATTAGGCATAGGGTTGTGCGGAGGTACGACCACTGTTGGTTGGAGGTGGACAGTCAACGACCCAAAACGCTGGATACTGTGGTGGTAATGCTGAAGTAGGAACAGGATCCAGGCCGGCCTAAATAGCGGACCAGAGCGCCGGTGGAATTGTTGCTGCGCGGAGGTCTGTAAACAACAGAAGGAGATGGAGAGCAGTTGTCGTATGGCAACGCTTGTTGTCTTTGCTCAACGGGATGGGACATACAAGTTATTCCTTTCATGTCTTGTCAAGATTGAATGACCAAAGGCAAGTGTCTGGCTATTCTGTTTTGTTCTTGACATCAAGATAAGAGTATGGAACATCCGCGAAGGCTGGAGAGCATACCGTAATGTGTGCTTCAAGGCCCTGGTCTGCAAAGCGACTTTCATATCCTTCCACTGCAGTCCAAGCAAGACGCAAAGGCATCATTAGAGGTACCTGTGGAAATCTTTCCTGATCTGAAAGGGGCGTAAGATTTTGCCAGGACGTTGTCTGTTGATTCGCTGGCGAGAACGGAACAAAAGGAATTAGGACATCAAGTAAATGTTGAGAGGAGAAGCATTTGCCATTGGCCGTCAAAGTCATCAGCAATCAGGATGGAGAAGAATGCGCTTTCCATTATCTAGGTACCATCAAGGAATATTTCCCCATCTATCCCACTTTGAATGACCCATCGGCTGCCGCGGACATGAAAGCAACCTTCATTCCCCCACCCCCTTTCACAGACTTTGCTGGATGCCGGGCAAGAGTGATGTCAGTGCCCGAGTGATCCAGAGAATTGACAATGGCTTCCCACTGAGTTGGGATATGGAATAGAAGGTGCGCGGCGGGGAATCGCAATTCCAGAGGGTTAACTAGACGCTCCTTCTTCCTGTTCTACCAAATGCCGAGAGGAAAATTGCAGTGGCGTCAGTGTCTGAGACGTGAAGAGAGCCATTTAAGGAAGGCAGGTGACAGTGGCAGGAAAGAAATTGCTCAAGAGGGGTAACTCACCCAACGCTCCTTCCCTTACAACTCCAACAGTAATCCCCGCTTCTCAGTTGTCACTCTCGTCCAAGTCAATGACAGCGGCAGCAGAGGCAGCACTCTTCTGAATTATCTTGACCTGGACCGTCGCAGGGGTGCTGGAGCTGAACTCGGCAACTGGGATGTCGCCCTCCCAGACGCGAACGGTGTAGGGGCCTTTGGCGTGAACGGTAAAGTTTGTGGCATTCGGATCCATCTCGGGTTTGACGCGCTTGGTTCTGTTCGGGGTGTAAAAGTCGTCATCCTCGGTCGCGGCGGGACGCTTGTTGTTGTTGTTGTTGTTGTCGTCGTTGTTATTGACATCAAAACCAGTCCTCAAAAACGCCCTCAAGGTAGCGGGTGACGCGTGCTTTCCCCTCCCTTCACGGCATGCTTTGCCATTGGCATCGATAAGCTCGCGAACAGTTTTCAGCAAATCCTCAGTACTGGCTGGCAGGTACTTCAACATGTTAGTTGCGAAGCGACTGGACAAAGTACACATGCCAGTACTGGCTAGGTGCGTCCTTGTGCAATCGCATGTCTAGGTCCAATCGCCCATCCCATCCTTTCAGGGAGAGTTCGCAGTATCGGGCGGCAAAGTCTTTGAGGACGTCTGAGAGCGCTTCCTTCCATCTTGGGTCCGTCGGTAACCTGTCTTTGATGAGCATTTCCGCAAGACTCTCTATGGCCTGCTCCCGCGTGAACACGCGTGGTTGGGGTTGCGACATGTTGACTAAAAGTGAAATGGCGGCGAGTCTGATGACTGTCGGAGAGGTTGTCTGAGCGGGCGAAAGGAAAATAACATCGAGCTTTGCTTCAATCGTTGAGGCTGTGTGATAGTGATTGCTCATGGTTGAAAGCTTTAAATACCTAGTTGGCAAGTGAGACGTGTTGTTGTCGAGACCTGGCAGGAAGGAAGTCAGGGTCAATGGAGTTCATTGTCGACTGAACAACTGACAGTGGAAATATCGCATCGCGCTTAAGCACAGGAGTCAAGGTCCCAACGCCAGGCGACAGGTAGTCCAAGCACGTAGCCTTCAGCTGTCGGCCTGCGACAATATCTCTTCTCGGTTCGCAAGTGTTACATGTGATGCCCAATCCATACACGATCCTCCCTTGACGAGCTTTTCAGCTTCCAAAGTGCGAACGCTGCGGCCATTTTCGTTATCTTCTACGCCGCGTCTCTTATTGGAAGGTGGGGGTTTCTTAGCTGCCGCTTCCTCCTTGTACTCAAGCGCATCAACCGCCTCCTTCAGCTTGTCGACATTAGCCGGAAGCTCCTTTAGCATGTTTTGGAGTGACTTGACAAAGAACTTATGCCACAGTGTGCTGGGGTGGTCGTCAGAATTGCCGAACCCGGTGGTGCCAAGAAGAACTTCTGGCGAGAGCTCATGATACTTGACAGCAAAGGCCTGAAGAACATCCGCCAGTTCTTTCTCCCTGTCCTTACCGGAGTGGTAGTTAAGAAGGATGTGTGACAGCTTCTCAGCTGCTCTGTCGTTCGACATGACCTTGGACATGGACATTTTGATTGCGGGGTGGTAGCAGAAAGCAACGATTGATGAGGCGCTTGGGTTTGAGGTGGAGAGAAAGAGGCAAGTCGTTGTGGGTGACAAAAGACGTGTGAGGAGTGTTTTTGTTGTTGACGGAAGATCAATGTGTAACGAGTAACTGACTGCTCGATTAGTGGTTTTGAGGTCAAGGAAGAAGGTGAGAAACACACCTCGTTTCAAAAAGTGATCAGGGTTGCTGCAGGTGGCAGAAAAGATATATGACGTTGCCAGCTGCCTATATACAGGTAGGATAAGTCTCTCGTTTCGTCTCATCTCAATTGCCCAATAAACGCACAGGAAACTTCGATGTATATTACCAGACTCTCATCTCGAGAAGGTGTGGAGACGTTACGTTGAGAAAAGTTCCGTGGGGGGGATTTGTTGAGGTGAGGGGGTACAGAGCCTCGACGAGGAGGAGAAGGGCTTCGGAGAGGAAAGCCCGGGGGAGGACGAGGCAGGGCAGAAGTATGCTTTGTTGCTGCTGTCATTGTTATTGTCGCAGACGTAGCATTTGAGAGCCGGCCGTCAACACGAAGACATGGAATCAACAGCCTTACCAACTAGGACAGCACCACCCGCAGGTATCGCGGGAGCCGGGAGCGGAGGGACTAGAAGTTTCTTGCGCTCGGGCATGGGGCCGAGAGTGGTTTTACCACTAAGGCTGACGCCTCTACTCACCCTCTTTCTCCACGCAATTATATATCCCATCCACCTATGTCAACTGTCATATGGAACGTCGGTCAGGTAAATTTAATATTGTGCGGCTGTCCTGACAAGCTGCCAATAACCAAGAAACTTGGCAAATCCAGGGGCACAAGAAGACTGCCCGTACACCCCGCACACGCACACACTTGAGGCGTCAACAACAACTGAGTTGGCAGAGTGGGGATATGATATTGAAAGTTTGAAATGAAGTGTGATGCGACGAATATGGAAGGGAGGAAAGTCCACGGCGCGAAGTGGCGGGCACTCTTCATCACCTCTAGCGAGTACCGTGCCCTACCTTGGCCTTTAGAGGGTGCCGGGGACCCCAACCCATCGGTATCTTACTCGACCTGTTCTCGCGATCCTGACACATCGACATCTGGGAATAAGTGGTAGCGAGGGGAAAAGGGAAAAAGAAACAAAAAAAATAAAAAGGTGATTGACGAGTTGGACATGAAACGAAGAATGGCTTTTGTAGACAGGCGAGGCGAGGTCGAAAATGCTACACCGCGTAAAACTCCCAGCATATGATCAAGTTCTCGATGGCGAGGTAAAATCAAGAAGCAAAAGACAGATGAAGACCCTCGACCAAATGGAAACGAATAAACCGTCGTGGTGGGGATGACGAGAATCGCGGCAGCCAATCGAAGCTGGTGTTTCGCGATGGCATTTTGTGTATAACCAGCGGGCGGTTGATTGTTTGGTATGTGTTTCGTCGAAGGAGAAAAGCAGGCCAGGTCAGGTCAATAGGTACATCGCGGGGATGGAAAAAGGAATCCAGCGGAGTAAGTACACAGGTGGGTGCACGGGTATACGGGGTGCCTTCCTCCGCTAACACCTGTACCGTCCCCAGCCGCATGTCACCCGACACCCGCCGGACCCCAACTTCACTGCAGAGGAAAACTCCAACACGTGACAAAATATCGAATTGCAATAGATTGAACGTGAAAGCTTGACCAGATGACTCCCGTTCTTGAATCAGAAATCTACTCCAAAAGATGACAATCCCTCAAAAAGCCCGAGTGTCCGCCGACCCTCAGAGTCATCCTTCGCATCGCGCCCAACCTAGACATGGAGAACTGCAGTGAGGCTGGTGGACACCAGATTCTGCTACATAACTCCACTTTCAGCAGGGTTCCTCCAACAACAGCACAACAAAGCCTAATGCCTGCTTAGCATAGTGGCTAATGCGTTGCACTTGTATAACTACCTAATCTCCTTAGCGAGAGGAGGTAACGACGACATGCAAAGATCACAGGTTCGATTCCTGTAGTAGGCATTTCTTTTTTTGCATTTTTCTCTTAACTGGTCTTACAACTTTTGATCGTCTCGATCATTTCGGACATGTTGTGCATTCGTGATTCCTTTTCCGTTCGTGTAGTTGTGAAGTTGGCTTTTGTTTTGGCTTTTTTTATTCACGAGAGGGAGGCGTAAAGTTGGGACTAAGGGTTGGGAGTGGTCGCGAGCAAGACATGCCCGTCCTGGTAACGCTGAGAGGACAGATGAATTCAGGTATACTAGCTCTATTGGTCTGTCATGCACTTCAATCGTGTGGCACTTTGTCTCTAGATTAACCGCCACTTTATTTGGAGCTAGCAGTTCGTAAAAGGCTCCGCCAGCCCAAGGGGCTCGAACAATCCTCAAGTAGGTCGAGGCTGTCCTTGTTTATAGAGACAATAAGCCATGCCATAATTAGCTCGGCACTCAACAAAGAACCCAAAAATCTCCTTTGTGCAAGGCGCATCTTCTAAGCCCATTGTTCACTTGTGGTCCCTGGGACCATCTCCTTTGTGCACTCGAGTCTTCATAAACAGCCGGATACGACTGTGTTCCGAATTGCTGTTCAGTTCCATTCTCTTCAATTCCTTCATTCACTTTCACTTACACTCACTTACCACCAGAAACCCATAGAGCATAGACACATCCATCACATTAGCAACCATGGCACCAATATCCTTCTCCTCACCACCCGGTGACGGCATGTGGAAGGGCAACATCATTTCCGGCCACAGCGTGAGAAACAACCAATCCATGCAACTCGAAATCGACAACGCACCTGCCCTCTACGCCATCGAGCCCGTCTCCCCGCACGCACCCGACTACTTCCCCATGCTGCCTTCGGATGACGGCTTCCACTCCGACGAAGAAAATCCCGACCAGGAATTCCAAGACCGTCCCGAAGACGCCGACCCCCTTGTCGTCAAGGAGTTTCCCTACCACCACCTCACCTACACATGCTATCCCATGCGCGCAACCGACTCTCTCCGTCGTAATTTCTTGAACCCCACTAGCAACGCGTTTCTTCGTCCCGGAACAAAAGAAGATTTCCCCGACGGGTTGCGGTTGGTCTTCATCAACTGGCTGAAGAAATACGACGTCGAATCCGGAACAGGCGTCTCCGTCGGTCTATGGCGCACCATCGGACCAGACCCCTTGTTGGTGGTCGTCAAGCGCATCAAAGGCTACTCATTAAAAACGCGCCGCGAAGACGGGCCGCGGGTTCCCGACATCGACGGCCCACCAGGCGAACTCAAGTTCAACAGCCTGCCAGACGAGACGAAGCGCACGCTCGAGTTTCGCTTCTTGTATGATCCGCACTTGACGTGCTTGCCGCAGACGCATGCCTTCCAATTAAATGACTGGCCGCAGGAGGACGTGACGCATTTTGGCAAGTTCTACAATGGGGGCTCGGTGGCGGAGATGATTATGAAGTTCAAGAAGATAGGCAAAGCGGTTCCCGAGCCGTTGATTTGGCATGTGATTGCGCAGGTCGGGAGGGCCTTCAAGTTTATACATACGGGACGGACGCACCCGGACAAGACGCAGGACCGGGGGTCGGCGAGAGGACCGCCCGAGGAAGGAGAAAAAGAAAGGGAGTGGATGGAAAAGGAGGATGCCAGAGCGGCGAACTGGGTGCCGACGGCGCATTTTGATGCGCATGCGGTCAATGTTTGGATGCATTGGGTGACGCAGTACGAGAGGGAGAATGATGGCGACAAGTGCCTGGAGCACTTTGACGAGGACTTTCCGCAGGTCATCCTGGGAGACTTTGGGCTGGCGATGAACGGGAAGAGTCGGATTGGTAGCCATAATCTCAGGATCAACGAGTGTCCGGATTTGCCGGGTAAGGAGACCTGGAAGGACAAGGCCGAGCTTGGCCTGATGCTGCATCATTTGCTCCTGGCCGGCCTTCGGGAGGTGCCTCGGTTCACGTCCAAGAAAATTCCGGAGGACTGGTATACAAAGTATAATGAGTGGCTGTATGCAAACTACTCCAAGACGCTGATTGATGTGGTCAAGCGGTTTAGTGACTTGGCGCACATGAGCGACCGGCACCGTCTGGGGTGGAAGACTCTCGGGGCCATGTCTTTCGGGGCGATGGTGGAGCAGGAATATAAAAAGTGGAAGAACGGATATTCTTCCGGTTTAGCGCCGTGTGATGAATGGTTCCACCACACCATGATCGATCTGGCCGATAAAGAGGTGGACGAGCGGCGTAGGTTCCGGGATGGCGTCGAGAGCGTGAGGTGGGCGACAGGGCAGCGCATGAGCACGATGCCGTATCAGGTCCCGAATAGGACCAAGTATAGCCAAAAGCTCTTTCATCCCGACGTTCGCGGGAGAGTACTCCCTGTTCCGCTGGACGGGAGAGAGACACTGCGCAGCAAAGCAAGGACTCTCTACAACCGCAAACTGCGGCGACCTGTCATCGCGGCCTTCTACCGTCACCCGCCTGACCCGGCTGACTGTGTGGATAAGGACAAGCTCTGGGTGACCAGGACGTACCGGATGGAACGAATCCGGTACCGCAAACCCCGAGCCATCAGAATCGAAACCAGTCTCAAGGGGGATCCGGGAAGCGAACAGAGAAAGTTTACGCCGCCGCCGACTCCTGGGGAGGTGGACCAGATAAAGTCGAGTATGTTTGGGCCGTCTTCGTGGGATTCACGGGTGCTGCAGTGGGACAGGGAGGGAGAGGAGAGTGGGGATGAAAGTCCGGGGATGGAGGATTGGAGCCTCTTTGGAGTGAACGAGAGCGGGAGTTAGTGGTACCTCGGAAGTTGGCAATATCCACGCGAACTGTTGTATTTCCTCCTACCAACTGGTGTAGCCGGCAAGGTGTTGAGTGCAATCTGGGCCATAGAGTGACTGTGTACGAGAGAGGGGGACTTGTCCCAAACAGGCCGCCTTGTAGTTGAAATCGAGAGAATCCATGATGGAGAGCGTTTTGTCAGGTAATTTCCAAGGGGTAAACTGAAAGTGTTGGTGTGATGCCACGGCAGTAAATTGGGTTGTGGAATCAAAGAGTCGACGTTGACAGATGCTTTGAATGGAAAAAGGAAGGGAATTGTTTGGCGACAAGGGAACAGTTGTGAGACTGAACCGACAGCTGCCACTCACTGCCTGCCGCAAACTGGTCAAGCTTGGCATCTGTCAGGTGATCATGATGCTTGTCGTGACGCTCGGGCCACTCGATCATGGGAACGAAGCTGGGGAAGAAGCTCCACAGTTTGGACATTGTCGTCGACGTCTCGACAACATCCTGGACTCGGTTCACCAAGACCACACCACCATTCCCACGAGACGGTCGCTCCTCCAATTGCTTGATCCCAAGATGGCGTCCGATTCTTCAGTCACCACTGCCAGGCGTAATTCTCCCTTCCAATACCCTCCCCGACATCCAAGGAAGAATGCGCTTTGCTAACGGGAGGGGTTGCGCTGGTGACCAAACAGAGGCCACTCGCGAGGAGATGCGCGATGCCAAACTTCCCTTGGCCTACCGCGACAGCTGTGCCCACCTCCTCATTCCGCTGAACCGGTGTCGCTACGATACTTACTACCTTCCGTGGAAGTGTGAGGTACGACGGCCGTCGTCATGACACAAATACACCGAGCGCACACAAGCGAACGACGAACTGACAATCCACCCGCAGGACGAGCGACACACATACGAAAAGTGCCAGTACGTCGAGTTCAAGAAGCGCGTCGCCAAGATGGACGAGTTGAGGGCGGCCAAGGGTGGAGCGCGGAGCAACTGATTTCGATTGAGAAGGAAACGGCACGAGCAAAACGAGCAAGGGCACGGAACACAGGACGCACGACGGAGACACAGCACAGCGCGAGGAAAACAGGATCGCGAGACCACACCCCGTCCTGTACATATTCTAGAGACGGGCACGATAATGAAAAGGATCAAGGAACATGCGCAAGTTTACGAGTTCCAGCTGCTCCCGAGACCATATCCATGCAATGGGGTCCTCCCACTCCACCAGCTCGAGTCATGACTGTGGATTGCAGGGCTGTAGGGCTGAAGTCAGTGCGCACTCTCACGAACTGGAGCCATTCGACTGAAAGTCTGGAACAATTGCGAGTGGTGCTACACTTCAAGAAAAGGATTGTCTGAACGTCAATCGGTATCCGTAAAGGTTGGGGATTTTGGAGCGAAAAAAATGTTGACCGGAGCAGGAAGCACACACACTGTCCGACAAGTTGCCGATCCTGTACAGCCCAGCACCGAAACCGGAGCTGATGGAGATCCAAGGTCAAACGCAAAAGTGGTTGACAACACCAAAGATCAACCATGTCCGACAATATGCGGCATCCAGCCTCGAGCCAATGGATCATGGGGTAATGTAATCCAAGATCTCTTCTTACTCTTATAGCCCTTATCTGATCAATCTGTCCTTCTTAGGTTCCTGTGTTATTCAGCACCGCAAAGGGACAAATAAACTGCGCAGGAAATGTCATACACTCTTATCGGAAGAGGAACGACAACGCTGATGGCTTCGTGAGTGGCAAAAGCTTGTTGTCATGGACGCTTGGAGTGTAGCAGCCATGTCCTTATCAATCCCGACTTACGCCATGCACCATGATACCAAGACACATCGTCTTTGTCGGAAAACACCATCGCCGCTCAGAACTGCCGGAGATGTACATCCTCCACAACTTACAGCAGAACCGAGCCACCAGCGTGGGGTGCTTTCAAGTACCGTATGGCCGGCGGCCAGACAAGCTTTTTGGTAGTGCCAATGGGTGGTCGTTTCAAGGTTGCGGCGATAGCGGACAGGCGGCGCGGCTCTTATCATGAACATGCCCATGCATACGGTTATCTCGATTTCCCTTCCGCGGAGAAAGAGGTTATGGACTGGAGTCACTGTTCATAACCATACATAACCCTGAGCCTCAGTCAGCATCCTCATACAACCCTGGTTGCCCAGCCTGGCCTCCTTATCGCTGGGGTCTTGGCCAATCTCAACCCCCTTTGCTCTGTCATGGTCAGCCATGATGGAAATCCCCAGAAGGAATAGATGGGATGCATGAGATGTGCGGCCGATAAGCAAAAGTCTGGGCCTTCAAGCCACAAGCGTGGGACAAATTGCCATCAACGGAGATGTTCATTTCATTACTTTGTCGTTCACTTGGACTTGGTGGTCTTGGAAGGTTGTTGGCGATGTCCAGATATAAGAGAATGAATGCCTTTTGAGAGTGTCGGAAGAATGGACTGCATCAGTAGACTCACGCTGTACTACAACATCTTGGTATCAGATCAGGCTTTCCAACAAGAGCCAGTCAGCCCCCGCGCCCAGAACCAGTTCTCGCTCAGCTGACTGCTTCAACCTGCTGAACTCTCGAGGATTGAATACAACTTGAGCATAATTCATATCACCACTTCTCCAACTTGTTTTTCAGTCATTCCAGCCTTTCATCAGCCGCCCTTACTGCCCTTATCGCTTACACCATTATCGACCGGGTCATCGGCAGCTGGCACCAGCCGGACGTCGTCCATCACGTACGGCAATTGGGCTGCTTACAGCTGATTGTGACGCTTCTTATTGGTTGTCATTCTGACAGTCTTACCTCACCATCATCACTGACGACCAACTCATCTTCACCATGGTCCTCGGCTTCCAGTTCTCGTTTCATTCACCACCACTCAACCCTGTCACCAAGAAGGCTCAACGCGTCCCCATCTTCAACCCCATCGACCGCCATGGCCGTGTCTTTTTCTTTTCGTGGACGGGGTTCATGGTAGCTTTTTGGGCGTGGTATACCTTTCCTCCTTTGGTATGTCTCTTTTTCTCCTCTCCCTTTCCCTCCGATCCCTCCGATTTTCTTTCACCCCCCCAGCTTCTCTTTAGTTGTCCCTTGACTTCCAATTAACCAATTCCCCTGTAACCAACAGCTCACCCACACTATCAAACACTCCCTCCACCTCACTCCCGCCCAAGTCGCCAACTCCAACATCATCTCCCTCCTCGCTACCCTTTTGGTGCGTCTCATTTCCGGCTGGGCCTGCGACCGCTACGGCCCCCGCCTCGTCTTTGCCTTTATTCTACTATTGGGCGCCATCCCCATTGGTTTAGCACCTACAATCACCAACGTCACGGGTCTTTACGTCATTCGCTTCTTCATCGGTATTCTGGGCGGCAGCTTCGTGCCCTGCCAGGTATGGACCACGGCGTGGTTCGATAAGAATGTGGTGGGCACGGCGAATGCGGTTGCCGGAGGATGGGGAAACGCCGGAGGGGGCGTGACGTATTTTGTCATGCCGGCTGTTTTCGATAGTCTGGTTCGGAACTGGGGGATGGCGGAGGGGAAGGCGTGGAGAGTCACGTTTGTGGTGCCGCTGATTTGTTTGTTGGTGGTTGGGTTGGCGTTGGTGCTGGTTTGTGAGGATATGCCGACTGGACGGTGGAGGGATCGCCACGGTCAAGGTGTGGAGGTACCGGTGGTCATCGATGGTGTTGATCTCAAGTCTGGTTCTGGCGCAGAGACTCCCATGACGACGACGACGAAGATGGACGAAGAAAAAGGATCCAAATCCGTGTCTGATACTGAATCGACTACCCGCCCAGACGTCGAAAAGGGCGAGGTCGTTCCAGTCCCAGAAGGTCCTCCCAACACCACCATTCCGTCGGTAACCACCATCCTCCTCTCCCCGCAAACCCTCTTCCACATCCTCACCTACGCCTGCTCCTTCGGCTCCGAACTAGCCATCAACTCCGTTCTCTCCTCTTACTTTCTCTCCGTCGCCCCTTCTTCCCTGTCCCAGACTTCCGCAGCCAACTACGCCGCCATCTTTGGTTTTCTCAACTTCATCACTCGTCCCCTAGGCGGATTAGCCTCCGACTACCTTTATTCCTCCTTTGGCGGCTCTTCCCCTTCTTCTTCTTCTTCTCCCTCCCTCTCTTCCAACCCATCCTACCCTGCAAAGCCAAAGGCATTATGGGCCCGCAAACTCCTCATCACAACATGTACCCTCCTCACCGGCACTTTCTTGCTGCTTCTCGGCCTACTCCGCCCTTCATCCCTTGGGACTGCCATCGGGCTGGTCATACTGGCAGCTATCTTTATCGAGGCCGGTAATGGGGCTAACTTTGGGTTGATTCCGTTTGTGTGGCCAGAGAGAAACGGGGTGGTGAGCGGGGTCACGGGCGCAGGAGGCAATTTGGGCGGGGTGGCGTTTGCGTTGGTGTTTAGGTTTGTGGGCGGGCATGGAGCGAAGGGGGGTTATGAGAAGGCGATTTGGATTGTGGGAATCATTAATTTGGTGGTGGCGGTTGTGGGGGTGGGGATTAAGCCTGTGCCTGTGGGGGGGATGGGGAGTACAAGTGGAAAGAAGAGGTGGTTGTGGTGAGATACTGGAGTGGAAGGTGAGGTGGAAATGGGGGAAGGATTAAGGGGGAAGTAATAAAGGGGGTGATGATTTATGAGTGGTGATACTTTCGGATTTTGTTTGGGTAAAGTGGTGTTTTGGCTTCAATTTGTGGTAAGGAGCAAGTTGCAAGGTGTTTCGCAACCGATGCCATGGCTTTGGATACCTAGGTACTCAGCAAGCCAAGCAGTTTGATGAAACTGATTTTGGTTCTATAAGAGCGTGCCATTAAGCGGATGTGTGACGATGACAAGCCTCGACCAAGCACTGCGAGGCTTCTGCCTCAAATCTTTCGTCTATTCTGGAACCAATACCAGGCAATGGCTTCCAGCGGCAATGTGATGTAGAGGCTGCAAGTAGTAGTGCCAATTGCCGAAGAGCAAGTAATCTGGACGACACACTCTATCTCTTTAATCGGGCCAGGAAGAGAGATTCTTTGTCTGCCTTTGGTTACCGAACACACATTTGGCAACGCTACCTACCATGCCGCTCTCCAAACAATGAAATTGTCCAAGAACCATGTCGCATCGCCAATGAACAAAACATGTTTACCCGCTCTGATGCCTTGGACCGTTGAAGAAGCCCTTTGTCGACGCATCTCTTTCGAGTCAATCGTCCTCTCGTCCCGTCTATCCAGGTCAATGATCGTGAGCACTGAACAGATCCATCACTCGAGGTTGACAATGAGACAAGGAGATGACCCAACCAACGAAACGAGACATATAAGTACTCACCTCACCACAAGCATCCAAGTCCTTCCTCTTGTTTCTCCAGTCCGCCAGAACCATCAGCCTCAAACATCCAACACCAGCTCCATTTATAAATCCCAATCCCAACCATCACCATTGCCCAACATGTCCACCGACTCCTCCTCCTCCTCCTCCTCCTCTTCGTCCACCCCCCTCATCCCTCTAACCTACTACCAAACCCTCAACGTCCCCTACAGTGCCTCCAAATCCGACATCAGCACCGCCTTCCACGCCTTTTGCAAACTCCACCGGCAGCCGGGGCCAGACAAGATCCCCCACTTTACTTCCTCGCAACGGTACAGAGACCTAAGAGAGGCGCACGACATGTTGATTGATTCGGAAGACAGGCAAAAGTACGATCTCTATCTGGCCAAGAAGGGGGTTCCGCATATGGTGGAGAAGTACACGGCGAAGGAGGAGCATAAAATAGAGAGGGAGACGGATAAGACAAAAATAGAAAGGGAAACGGATAAGAAAATGAAAAGGGTGATCAATGAATCCGGGGAGGAGGTGCTGGAGGGGTGGGGACAAGACGAAGTGGTCAAGTTCTTGGGAAGGCCGAGGGGGCCGAAGGTGAGGGGGACTAATGTTTAGGTGTTGACTGGACTGGCTCCTTTCGGCACGAGGTAAGGTCGAAGATGTGGTGGACGTGGGTGTGGTGTTGGTACTGTACGCGCTGTCATGGAGTGGACTTGTGCTGTTGGCGTGTAAGTCGGTTTATTTCTTTCGGTGCCGTCGTGTCGACTGATGACCGGATGGAGGAAGAAATCTGGTAACCAAGGTGCCGCTTCTCAAGTTGGATAATACAAATACAGTCTTCTGTTTTGCTCTTTGAGATTTCGATATGCTGTGTGTCTTTGTAGCAGTGAATACCTAGAGGTAAGGTGATCTTTGTCCGTCCATGTCTAGAGGTAGGTATCGTCGATTTGCCGGAAGCCACTCCCTTTGTGTCCTCTCATGATTCAACCTGGGTTCTTTTCGTTACCGTAAATAAGGTACCTACCTCTAGGCACCTGAACATTATGTTCAGCTCTCTTTGGAAGTACGGAAAAAGGAATGTCTAGATGTCCCTTTTGTCAAAGCCTCGGAGGTATGTCCATCAAGCTGTTGGCCGGATGCCAGGCTGTGCTGGTCGTGTCGATGTTGCCGTCTCTGATCATCTTTGCGGCGACAGGACTGTTCTTTCTCGATATTATCAAAAGTTCAGTTGGTCACGTATCTTCTTTGGTGTCTGGAGCAATACGATACTGATCCATGGGAAAGATGGAGGATGATGTCAAGGGAAAGTTCAGCCTCCGATGCCAAGAAGCAGGGCTGTCTCACTTCGCCATGTGCTTCAGCGGGGTTGATGCGCTGAAGGCCCCTGTAATTCTGGGGTCCACAGTGCTACGGCACCCGAGGCTGACGAGCTCGGTCCAACTGCGTCATCTGGTGTCGCTCCAGCCTTCGTCTCCTTCATCCCAAGCACGACAATCGGTCGAACCACGCACGCTCTATTCCGCGACACAGTCAGCAATGTTAGAATTCTCTATTACATCCGTGACAGGCCGAGACGATTCCCTCTCGATCGCCATGCTACCTGACCGCTGCGGCCGAGAATCCTCCATGCCAACGACCCAGACGCGCAACCCACGAGCAAACAAGACCGCGATGCTTGCCGCCCTGAAACCTTGATCGACACACACAGTACCTCCGGGACGAACGCCCCAACTTTAAATCAACCTCATTGCCCGCGAGAGTCTCAAACCTTCGGATGAATTTGGCGTCGCGTTCGTAGTCCAGCGCTGCTAGCTGAGGGCGGCAAGCTGGTAGCAACACTCGGATTTCCGTCATCTGGCGGGTCTTTCTGTCACAAACAGTCCATAATGAAGGCTACACTACGATGGAGCGAATATACAAGAGCGAGTTCCGATCATCGAAAACGCGTCTTTCGACAAGGCTGTCTTGGCACCCACCACGACACGAGAGGTGTTAAATATTCCGATACCCCCATGATACGATCATCGAGAAACTTCGTACCATCATTCTACGCCCGGTGGAAGCCTACCGAGTTACTCCACGCCTTGAGATTCGAGGGGTGGATGCTGTCTATGCCAGTATGGAGGATTCTGCTCGCAGAGAGACAGCACAACCTGCGTGGACAAAACTGGCCTCTTACAGAGTCTGGAAGAGATGGACAAAGCTGCTGACGGTATCCTTGGTGTTAGTACAAAAGCCAAGCGGCCACACCGACATGGAAAATGGGCAGAGGAAGTCGTCGTCAAGCCACTCCAGTCACATACCAGATCCGGGTTATCATCGGTCATATTGTGATGGCTGTAACGGCATAGGCCAAGTGTCAAATCCACTAGGGAGTCGGGCCTTTTGTTCGTTCCTGGTCAAAAGAGGATCAAGCGATCCGATGGCTGGGCTGAGCCATGTTAACGTTTACAACTCGTCTAGTTCACACAACTTTTCTCCAGAACTACAACAGGAAGACCATGGGCTGGACATGTCGGCAGTTATCGAGGTGGCACCACTCTCTAGACGTCAAGCCGATATGGATGAAGATATCATGCATCCGTCTTGGGCGGGGAAACCCCGTTCGTGGATTTGGCTGTCTTGATGGTTGTGAACAGCCTCGAGGCCTTATTCATCACACGGCAAATGTTATATCACCGAGGCTGCATTTGATGTCCGAAAGCTGCTATCTTTCCAACGGCTCAAGTACGTTGGTTTCCACGACCTTGCCGATTGAGCGTCAACGAAAGCAGTCGAGGGACTCTTCCGGCACCCCGGCCATGTGTGCCTCGCCATCATCACCTCCAAGTTGGGCATTGCTGGCCATCCTCAGCTCAGCCCTTCTCCCAACCACTGCTGCCATTTGCAATCGCAAAGTCCTCCTTACAGTCTACCTTTTTCTGCTCGGATTGACCATGGGCCAAGCTGGTCCCTTCAAGACATAGCATACGACCTTCAATACATCGAGAACAACAAGCCCACTGTGATTATCTCGAGAATCTTCAACCACATTCTCAGGATTGACTTTAACCGCACCATCATCGACCTGACCACCTGCTCAACCTTCACCGAAGTTGTTCACGCCACCTCCTTCAAGACCTTTGTGCTTGGCACTCAAATCCGTCACTACCCCGGTAACGACAGTATCTACCATACAAGATTGACACCATCATATCCGTTCCCTTCTCATGGCTCTTCAACGCCAGTCGGACCATTCAATACGCTCGACAAGAAAACTGGCCCATCATGCCACTTGCTCAGAGAGATACCCGACACACGCTCCAAGCAGCAGCTGATACCTATCTGGACATGTGGAGCAACAAGAGTGCTATTAATGCGGTTCCATGGGGACACCACGTGCACGATTAGAGGGAAGCGTGTAAACAGGTAAAGGAGCGCCGGATGATTCATGCAAAGTGGACATGCCAAGCAACAACACGCAGCCGCCCAACTCTGACCGGCGCCATGTCATTGATGAAAGCACGGGGACTGTCAGCGTGCTTTGCAACTTTGCCGGATAGTCATGAGTTCAGGCTGGAGGGGAGCAAGCTGAGATATGTGCATACTATCACGGTTGCGGACAGTTCCGCGTGGGAGGACGTATAGGCGAAGCTTTTGAGGCATGATGATACAGCTCACAGGCCGCGTCAGTGAGGCTCATTGCTGGAGGCACAAAGTTTGCGTTTCCTTGTTCCATCTCTGGAAGGCAGCCGGGTTCACAAAACATCAGCGGACTTTGCACTTACAGTCCAATGAGTTTTTGGCATGGAAGTATCACCAACGCCTGCACAACCATTCAGTCACTGATAAAGAGCTATCGTGGGCACCCACTACAATCCCGAGCATTACATCTCCAGTTCTGCCTCTACCAACCAAACACCATGTTAAAGCGCTTTCACAAACTCTTCAACATGTCCACCACCACTTCCACTCCCGATTGCTTCCCCCTCTTTCCCTACCTCCCTGGCGAACTCCGAACCCTCATTTGGAAGCACGCTGTCGAACCCTACCGCGTCCTGCGCATAACCGTCTACCAAAAGGACTTCCCACCCAACCCTCAACTCCCACCCAGCTCCCAGTTCTTGGGTTCCGCTGTCTACGGTCCGCCTTGGAACGTCAGAGTGGGCTGTACCGATGCACTCGTCGCAGCTACGAGACGTGTGCGCGATTTGATGCTGGTTTCGAGAGAGGCATATCGAGATATCACAGACTATATCCTGCCGGATCGGATCCATGTCACGGTCGATTGGGATCCTCCCTATTTGCAGGGGATGCATATGTTCGCGAGCAAAGGCGAAAAGGTATACAAGATTCCATGGAATAGGAAGACCGAGAGGGTTTGTTTGGAGATGGTCCATTTAAAGTGGGATACCCATGAGAGTGGGGGGATGAGGGAAGGAATATGGGAAAGGACAAGGGAGGAGATGCCCAGGGGAAGCGACCTACCTGCGCCGCCGGTGTGGGTTAATGAGGTCGGGTATGAGCCGTTTGGTCAAGACCCTGAGTGCAGCTCGGACTCGGATCCTGATGAAAGTCGTGATCCATCACGGCCATCAAGGTTTTACGTCCCGCCCGCTGACTCTATCGCCGCGACCACTGTCCCTGAACCAAACCCCGACTCAGACCAGGAACTACATATAGACCCCAGAGCACCAGGCGAGATCTACATTCCCTACACCCTCGCTCATGTCATTATTAGAAGACACATCAGCCTCGCTCCCATCCTCACTCGCCTCGCCCCCGTCGCATACAGATCCCTCATCCCGCTCGTTCTGCTTTGCAAGATCCTCCGCGTCACCAACATAACCATCATCGCCGACTCCATCCTCTACAGTAACCTTCCTGCTGGCCCCAGCCCAGCATGGGTAGATGAACACAAAGTGCTTCACGAACCGAGGATGACGGAGTTAGGCGGGTTAAGCACTGCCTTGGCGGATCTTTTAGAATCAGGAACGGAAGCGTCAACAACCCAAACCCAGTCCCAAACCCAAACCCAAACCCGGCACGAAGTCCTAGCCCACGAACTCCGGTCTATGTCCCTCTCACCCGCAGACTTGCGCAGGATCCGCTTCTTCCGCCTTCGCGATCCAAATCCACCGCCAGCCCAAGATGGCCGTCGAAACGCGCGGGAGACACGACGGGTAGTAGGAGGAAGGGGAGAATGGGGAACCGGTCGTCCTGGAACTTCCAATTGGGCAGGGGCACGGAATGAGGGAGATCAAAATCGTGGGCATGAGATGAGTAGAAGGGAGGGACAGTATGGTGGGTTTGGAAGTAGGAGGGGGTGGTGGTCGGGATTGGGATTGGGGCCGGGACGGGGGCAATGGGGATCAGGAGTAGGATACAGATACGCGGGAAGGGGAGGGTTGGATTTGGAGTTGGAGGCAGGGCAGGTGACAGTCAGGGAGGTAGTGGCGGAGGGAGTGGGATGGGAAAGTTTGGGCGCGATGGGTGCAATGGGCAGCGGGAGGGTGCTTGATGCGTCGCCGCCGGTAACTTCGATGGTGGGATCTTGGGATTCGGGGTCTGGATTGGGATCGGGGTTTTCCGGGTTTGAGCGGCTGTGATGGCTTCAGGTCTTGGGAAAACCGGGATGGAGCTAACCTACTGAAGTGAGCGGCACAGGGGGCCGAGGATGATGGAACGGGACATTGAGTAAGAGCAGGACTGGCGAGGCGACAAAGACCGTGGTTTCCAAAAACGATGTTCAACGAACAGCAGTTCCATTGGCGGCAATTCAACATCACAAGTTGGAACATTGGAGGCTTGATGCTGACGTAACATTGAAGTTGTACAACATCGGAAAACCTCAAGTCGGAAGTCAGCCACACTGGAGTGGCTGAGGTAGAGTTGGTGCGTTGTTATTTTTGGCTACATTCATTGCTATAATTGAGACTGACGTCGATGGAGTGCGTGTGCTCTTCTTCTGGCATGTGGTGTGCCTGGATTGTGGCGCACTTTGTTCCTCCGTTGTTCCTGAGACAGCCGTGTCTTTGTTTGGTGTGGGAGACGGGAAGGTAAGACAAAAAGGGACGGGTGGGTAGATAAAGAAGGCGGTTAATGTTTTGAGAAAATCTGGATGTTCGGCTTTTCAGTTCAATTGCCCGGGCAGTTATTACCGGCTGGCATTGGACGTGATGGGAGGTCTGCTGAGGAAATGGGTGATGTCGCGGTGTGCAGGTGGAAGAGCAGCGTGGTGATGGCATTATGTTCGTGCTCAAGTTGATGAGTACGAATATCACTCGAGTTGTGCTCAGTTGCAAGATGTCTTGAGCTGTGTTCATTCATCCTCCTTGATCGCATGCTATCATATGCATTGTGCTAACAATCTTTACAAGCCCGCTGATGGACTTTGCCGCATTTCTTGCCACGATTTCAGACGTTTTGACCCAAAACATCACCACTATCTTGATCAACATGAAAACTCCATTCCTCAGGATCCCGCTCAACATCAATTTGTTTGTCTTCCTCAACTTGGCACTATCCAAAATGTCCACGAGCCATCGATAGCTAGGGGCAACATTCAGCCACCCATCTTGGCGGAACTACCCTTCTGACTGCACTCACACAATCCCAAGAAGCGGCACCCGCTTAGTATTGTTGTTTACTTCCTTTCACCCCCTTTACCCCTGAGATGCATATAACTTGCAGTGCCATTACAACAAGGATAGGCACACTATTCCCTCGATAGTCTGGTCCTCACTCACAAACACACTTTGCTCGCTGTGCAGCAGGACATTCGCTTTCCTCAATCTTTACCTGCTTTTCCAACTAGTACCTTCGTTTCAACTGACACATCACTTACTACATCCTACGTACCATGCATCAACGCTCGTTCAAACACGGCACCACCAGCACCAAGACAGCCCTCTTGGGACTGTTGATGGCTGCGCCAGGGGTCTGGGTGCAAGCTGCTCCTGGCGTTAGTCTTGATGCTGTAGTGGCCACCAACAAGCTCGAGACCAAGAGCCTCGATAGTTCTTCCATCATTGCCAACAAGCCAAATGATGGTGACGACGGGGATGACCCCTGGTTGATGCCAGCCAACAAGTTCTACGACAACTACCTGGACAACTACTGGGCAAACCGCAACCAGTCTTCTGTGCATGGGCGGTCGTCGCTGGCGGGTATGGCGCACAGGAAGAGGACTGTGCCGAAGTATGATTCTGGTAAGCACCCTCCCTCCCCCTTCTTTACCCCTTCTCACTACCTTACGGTATCCAGTAGACTAACAGCACCCAGCCCTCTACTGCGGCGTCTTCGCCACCGGCTACAAAGAGGACATCTCCGCTCTCCTCTGGGACTTCCACACCAAAAATAACATCATCCACTACATCGTCGGCTGGCGCGAGTGTCGGCGCGTCGCATGCAAGAACACCAGTGGTATCTACATCTGCAACGACACCACCCAAACCGTGCGCGTGACGGGGGAGCGCATCTATACTCTGGGCAAAATCCCCAGCGACAATTGCTGCCACCAGGGACCGCCGGAAAACCCGACCAAGAAAGTCGGACATGGGATGAGCGGCCAAAAGTTCACGGGGACCGGGTTCAATGTCATTGTGGCGTATGCGAATTGCAACAAGGGCGAGTGGGACTATCGACCGCAGATGGGCCCGGCGGATAATCCGTGGGGACCGAATCTGGAGTGTTATACGGAGTTTTATGGGATGAGTCCGTCTCCGACGAATGGGGATGTGGTGACCAAGAGGGGGACGACGGAACTGAAAGAGAGGAAGTGGGAGTTGGTGGATGATGGGACGGGGGTGATGGATTTGGTGGAGAGGGAGAATACTCCTGTCAAGGAGAATGAAGTAGGTGGGGATGCGGATGTGGTGAAGCTGGAGGAGTGGGAGATGACCAAGAGGGAGGAGAAGGCAGGGAAGAGGTTTGAGGCTTGAGGCTTGATGGGAAGAATGTAAACCAAAGTGTAAAGGGGGGTGTTTTGATTCTTTCGTTGTGTAAACTTGTGAGAGGTCGTTACGAGAAGGCGTCTGTACGATATGGTGGCCTGTTTTTTTCCGGGGAAGCACGGGGATATGAGGGTACCGTCGTTTGGCCATTTCCGATACCACTTGAATCTCAGTTTCCTATTCTTCCACTCTCGGGGTGTCCCGCATGAACTGATCTGATCAGATTAGTTCTCTTCTGTACTGTATCCAGTCAAAATGGGTCTCAACACTGCTCGTTCCTGGATGTCCATCCTTTGGGGAAGGTGAAGGTAACATGGGGTGACTACCTAGGTAGGTACCTTTATGTTATCGTCGGTGCCTACCACACGTTTTAGGTTACTTTGGGAAGCACCGGCGCACCTAACGCCGACGTGCATGCGCTTATTAAAGTTTGAACGCATGAGTGTGGTGACAGGGGAACAAATGCGGGGGAACACAAAAGATAGGAAGGGTCCAACTTCCCTTTGGGGGGTTGTACCAAGGCCTTGTCGGGGAAGCATCAATGTCGTGGGCGTGGTCTGTAGAGCATGATAGGAAGTTACTTGGTGTTGTGGCCTGTAGTCTCCTGGCTGGAGCGTTCCCTTGTTGTTGAAGACGAGGAAGAAGAAGCCCCGACTTTGAAGATGCATCATCATGCATTGTCACTTCCTTTGCAGTAGTGTTTTTGATAGTAGATGGGAGAAGAAGGAAGTTGCCAAAGATCTGGAGTAGCAGCCGCGTCATCTTCCTCTTTCCCAACTTCAGTTCCTTCCAAACATGGGGTCCCATCCCGTCCATGCCAGTAAAGATGTGTCCAACCTGTCCACGTGCCTTTGCCGGGGGACTATTGGCTGCTTTGTTTTCCAGTATTCGCGTTTTGCTTGTTTCACCACTTTGGCACCATGTTCCTCCAATTTACTAGGTATGTTACCTATCATCGAATACGATATCGAAGCCGGGAAAACTGTACAGAGCATTTGGAGAGCAATCTGGGAAACTCCTAGGTATGGCAACAGGAGATATCGGCGATGGCATGTGAGAACCAAGTTGATGATTCTGATAGTCGCCTCAACGCTTTCACTCGCAGTTGTGCATTCACCCCCCGATTTCGACGGTTTCCAGGTTGGCCAACTTGTTGCCCAGATGAACCCCCGCGGACCGCGCCACTTCCCGTCAATGAGACTCACCACCACCGTCACCCACCCACCACATGGGCCGTGATTCCAATAGTGGAATGTCAAGCACGACTGCGCAGAACGCCATCAAGCCACCAAAGGCAACGGGGAAACCCGTCGACGGTTGGTGAAAAGCTTGTTCGTTCTTGGAAGTCTGAAAGTTTGAGGGGAAATGTAACCCTCTTTTCTTTCTTTTCTTCTGATGATTGCGCCAACCAGCCAGCCCATGTACTGACGAACCAACTGCCTGAAAAGTCCATGGAGCCGCCGGGCGCTATTGAATGCACTCCATTTGTGTACAGGGGCATCAAGCAGCCCCCAGCGTCCGGCCACCTGCTGACAACAGATACACAGTATCCCTTCCCGGGAGGGGACACACTAGAGATGAGGGCAATGGCAGACGCTGATCTGGCTTGGCTGTGCTTGGCAACTGCCTGATTAGGGAGGTTCCATTCGGATGTCACCCAACCATCACCAGGTCCAGTCGCTAATAACCATGCTGTGGCCATTTAGCTACAGAAGACCATCATGAAAAAGTTTGGCTTCGTCTTCCTCCAGATCGACATCGCAACCTACTGGGTCAGTCAGCGGAGTGTAGTGCTTGTTCCTACTGCCAACTGCCGCCCGAGGGCTAGTGTAGGCAATCGTTGGTTACACTGGAAATGGAGGCCAAGTTGGATCTGGTCAACCCGCCATTGATTCCAACTCGTCCGTGCCGATTTCGGCATGTGGTGGTTCTCGTGTTGTCCGACAGTAGACGAGATGAAGAGATAATGCAGAATCCTGGATGCTGATGGATTTCCACAGTCCGATCCGATGCTTTGAGGGAATTTGTTGCAGTTTGTCCAGTAATGTGACTGAAAGTAAAACGACAAGTCGGACGGCAGAGATGTCGATAATACGAACTGTGCAGGATATACCTACCTAGAGGTAAGTAGAGGTAAGAATGATCACGGTGAGAAAACACTGCCTGCTCATATATTGTCTTTAGTGGGTGATATCTTATTGACAGCTCTGCATAGCAATTGTTCTCACTCAGCAAACACAAATATGCTAAGGTAGGGTACCCATGATAGTACATAGTAGCCTGTGGTAGGCGAGTGGCAGGGCTTGAGGCAGGGGGACTTGGTGCCTCACGACAGGTGTGGCGCGAACCATGCTGTGCACTTCCAGTGTGTGTCCTCGGATTTATTCACACACGGCCTCAACCACAAGTCCCCATCTGATCCATCCACTCACTCCCTTGGATCGGCAGAGCGCTCAATGTTACCTTACCTACCTACCTTCACCAGCTCTTGATTTGGCTTTGGCCAGCCCCATGTGAGATGCGGCCTGCAATGACACCCCAGATAGCCGAACTCAAAGCGACCTAGGTTCCAATTGGGAAGGTTGTCGTATTTGACCTTCCAGAACCTGTCGAATGCACCGAAATTATGTCCATCTCAGTTGTTATCGACGGCCCGAGATGCGCGGCTTTTTTGTCTTGTGCCTGTCTGGAGATACCCTTGCTCGTCGAGAGGAATCATCTTGTATAAAGACTGAACGATAACCCCGATCAAGTTGAGAGATTCCCTTTCCATCCTCAGGTCATCCTCTCCATCATCCATCCAGACAACCCCTCTCAGGATCACTTCCTCCTTCATCTCCTTCTAGCCCATCATGCAGATCAAGTCTTTCCTCCTCGCGGCCGCTGCTGCCCCCGCCGCCCTCGGCGCTGCCGTCAACACCATCAAGCCCTTCAACTGCGGTACTGATGCTCCCTCGCGCCAGCACATCCAGATGACCAAGGAGCTCGCCGAGAAGGAGGCTGCTATGGCTGCCGAGGGTATCATGACAGCCCAGGCCACCATCAACGTCAACGTCTACTTCCACGTTGTTGCCGCCTCCACCGCGCTCAGCGATGGCTACGTTACCGTATGTCTTTTTCACCCATTTAGGAAACTTCCAGTCACCTAACATGAATGCAGTCCACCATGATCAACAACCAGGTCGCCACCCTCAACAAGGCCTACGCCCCGCACAACATCCAGTTCACCCTCAAGGGCACCGACTACACCATCAACAGCAACTGGGCCGTCGACGGCTCCGAGCTCGCCATGAAGAAGGCTTTAAGAAAGGGAACCTACAAGGACCTGAACCTGTACATCCTCAAGGACCTCGGCGACGCTCTCGGGTACTGCTACTTCCCGACCTCGGTCACGTCCAAGTCCAACGACTGGTACTACGACGGCTGCTCCATCCTGTACGACACTTTACCCGGCGGCTCGCTGACCAACTACAACCTCGGCCACACGTCCACCCACGAAATCGGCCACTGGTTCGGTCTGTACCATACCTTCCAGGGAGGCTGCTCGGGCAACGGCGATTACGTGTCGGATACCCCTGCCCAGGCGTCGGCGAGCAGTGGGTGCCCGACGGGTAGGGACTCGTGCCCTAGCCAGCCTGGACTGGATCCTATTCACAATTATATGGATTACTCTTATGAGTATGTATTTCCCTTTTCTTTTTTTTTTTTTTTGGATTTCCTGCTTGAGATGAGAGGAAATGATGACTGACAGATGAAAAAAAAACAGCCCCTGCTACGAGGAGTTCACTTCGGGCCAGAGGACTCGTATGACTTCGTACTGGAACCAGTACCGCGCCAACGCCTCCGTCTAAGCGGCAGACCTGAGGATGGTCGACGACTCTGCAGCAGTTCGAGACCGCAATGTTTGTTGTAGGCGATGGCAGTTTGATCTGGTTGTACATAGTGTCGATTTTTTCCTTGTGTGTGATTTTGTCTGGATCCGCACATGGAAGAAAGATTGATGGATGATCATGGATGTCTATAATGATGAGATGATGAGAGATGGATGATACCTGGTGGGATTGATGGAGAGGAGAGATACCATTTCAAAACAATGAATGAATCATTTTGTTGATGAACTTCCTTTGTTCTTGTTCTTGTTGGTCCTGACTGTGGTCGTGATCGTGATCGTGCCTGCGTCTGTTATCTGGCGAAACTCTCATTTACCCAGCCGAGTACTCCGTTGTTGCTTTGATGCTGGGAGATAGGAGATGACAGCACCTCTACCGATGAAGGGCGACACGCTTCCTGGGGGTCGTGGTGCGGTCGTTGTCGGTGAGAATTGACTTTGCTTAACTCCCTTCTTGGAAGGTGAAGTCAGGTTGAAGTTGGAGTTGAACGCATGCAAAGACGTCAACCGCCAGCATGAAGCATCAACCCGGCATGACAGAAACAGACGGGCGTCCATGCCTGCGAAGTAAACGGGAATGGGAATGGAAATGGGAAATGGGAAGCGGAATAACCTCAAAATGTCAAGCAAAACCAGAAGGAAGCCATCGCCCATAGAGGCAGCGAGCTTGGCGCCAAACGCGGGGCATTCGCCGATGCCGATGCCGATGCCGATACCGACGCGAGACTTTCCTGCCCTAATGGACTCCCTCGACATGGCGATAACTTCGTACACACAATCGGTGATATTAGTCCTGCATCAAACCCCAAAGACGTTGTGTTGTACTTGATGAGCAGGAGACCCGGCGGTTGAGCTTCCTCCGTCCGGCTCTACGGGTAGCACGAAAGGGAAAAGCGGGGTTATCGCCATATGCACCATCTTGGTGCGTTGCAACCATGTAAGCTTTTATCTAAATACCAGTTTTCAACAATAAGCGCCAATGGTCTAACGGCTAGGATTCATCCCTTCCAAGGATGAGGTGGGGGTTCGATTCCCTCTTGGCGCATCTTTTTTTCTACTTTTCTAGTCCTTAATCATTGTTGAACATGTAGTTGGGAGCAATTCCCGCTCGTTTTAATCTTTTTGGAAGGGGTTGTCGGTTTCTGTTTGCTTTGGTTGTATGGGCGACTCCAGGAGTCTGCGTTGATGTTCGTTACGCCAATGGGTCAGAATTGATAGTGGAACCATTTTGTCATCTTCTCTAGGGGATAATCTGAAAGGAGATAATTGACAATTTTCTTTGATCTGAAGCAAATAGGTGGTTCATTTCATGGTCATGGAGATAGAGGAGAAGGGATGAACGGATGGATGCATCATCGCCCAAGTGCCCACACGTTCGTTCGGTGTTCGCGACATCAGAAGAGCCCTAAAGGGTTTCGTTACGAGGAAACATCACAAAGCTGATTGAGAATCCAGACGAAATTGACCATTTCATGAGCGGTAGGTAATCTTCACGATTGTCTGCTACAAAAGACACCATGCTTGATTCCTTTGTTTGGTTCCAGATAAAGGCAGGACATCAACAAGTACCTGCCAAGAGACCAACCCTTCCTCCCCATCCATTCACCCATCCACTCATCTGCTGTTCACTCAAACCTGCCTTTCATGAACAACAGAATGCTTCTCGTGATCCAACTCTCCAACTCCCTGTTCAGTCTCCTCCCTCTTCTGCTGCAACCGAGCCAAGTCTTCCTTATTCTCAAACACTGCATCATCACACCCTTCGTTAGCAACAGCCAGCTCAATCCTTATAATAGGGAGGTCAGGTGCACTCACAGAAAGCCAACTCCTCCAAACTGCGATTCGACGTCTCCGGCCACAAGAACCAGATGAGCGCCGCCTCGGCAAAGATCCAGCAGCAGTACACCAGCAGGTACTTCCAGCCAATGGCCTGGGTGCCAATGGGATTGACGTTGGTGCCAAAGAACTGCGCCGCCTTGCCCCAGAACTGGAAGATGGCGATGCCGCGGGCGCGTTGGGCGTAGGGAAAGATTTCGACGAGGTAGGCTGCCATTTATTAGCATCACAATCAGAGAACCATAGGGGTAGACAGAGGGGAAAAGGAAAAAGGTAGGACCGACTGTAGGTAAGAGCGTTGAAACACAAGTTGTAAGCCGGACTATAAGCGTAAATCCAGAACAAGCTAAACTTGGCCGCCACGGGATTCTTGTGTGCAATAAACACCGCCGTGCACACCGTCCAGCCAACATAGACTGCCAAGATCGAAAAGATGCCCGTCAGGTACATGGTTCTGCGCCGGAACCTCATGACCACCATCGCGGCGCTGACACCGCAGACCAAACTCCAGCATTGATTACCCAAGTTATACTTGGTCTGAAAGCTGGGATCCGTGTAGCCGATCAACTTGAGAACGTCACCGAGAAAGTACGAAATGACAACATTGCCCGAGAGTTGAGTGAAAAGGCCGAGCAAAGAACCGATGAGCACGCGGCGGCGCATCCCGGCGGTCCGGATCATATCCGCCCACGACTGCTTCGAATGCTCCAACTCGATCTCGAGAGTGACTTTGATCTCGGCAATTTCCGCCTTGACAAACTCACTGTCCGCGTTTCCTTCGGCATGGTAGTGGATGAGTACATTCTTTGCTTCCTCAAGCCGATCTTTACTCATTAGGTATCTCGGAGACTCCGGAAGGAAGAAGACAAAGACGACTTGGAGGAGGGAAGGAGCCATTTGAAGAAGAGAAGGAATTCGCCATGACCAATCGTTCTTGATCCGTTGTGTACCAAACGTGCAGCCAGCGGCCACGATGGCGCCGATGAAGTAGCAGGCGTTGAAGAGGGATGTTAAAATGGGACGTTCCTTTGGGTAGGCTAGTTCACCAATCAAGCACGAGCCGGCGACAATGGCGTAGGGGAGGCCGAAACCAATGATGGCGCGGGCAATGATGTACATGGGGGCTAGCGGACGTTAGTATAACCGAGCGAAGAGGTCGTAGCATGAAGTGGGCACACCGTTCTTCGAAAAACCTTGGATAATTGTCCCAATGATCATAATGCAGGAACCAAACATGATGCACCATCGACGGCCAAAGTTGTCGTTAATCAGCGGGATGAAGGGCAGACCGAGGACGGAACCGAGAGGAAGAGCGGAAGCGAGGATGCCGCTGTAGCCACCGGTTGGGTGGCCAAAGTCTGGTTGCTCTCGTTAGCTCCTGTCTTCTTTCAATGGCTCCGATTATCAAGATGAAGAACTCACATTCTTTCCACGCAGGCAATAGCTGTGCGGAGTTGATGATTTGCGAATCGAACCCCGACGTCATCTCGATACCGATGACACAGGGGAAAAGCAGTAAATACATGTTCCGCAGATGTGGCTTCTTCCACCATGGAATGGGATCATCCATGGCCATCCGGTGGATGACATTGTCGGACTGGGGGCCTCCGCCGACCATCTTGACGGTGTGTGGTGGTGATTAGCTGGTACTGGAGTAAGTGGTAAGTGATGCGGGTGAAGACGATGGCACGGTGCAGAAACCGGGCATGGAAAAAGGAAGAAGCTCTAAGGGAAGGGACCGATATCAGGGACCAAGGCGTGCATATATGGACTAGAGATGGGGCAGGTTGATCTCTCCTCAGCTAGGATCTGGTGTCTGGGGATACCACGTGGGCAAGTGACTTGTATCAGGCTATATGTTGCCTCATCGGATAGTAAACAATACAGAAAAAGGAAATATGACTGGCTGGGGAGACCCGATAGAGCGGAAACGTGGAGTAATGGTTTGTTGTTGGTTGGATCCCCATGGTGTTCATCTCGGATCAGGTGCATTCTTCCAGTGAAAGCAAGTCCGAGGAGAAGAATTGTCCAGTTCTGGGTTGGCCTAGGCAAATGGGACCTAGAACTGGAAGGAGACTCTATGATGCATAGTGAACACAAATATTAGCTGGATGTAGATTCTAGGTGTGATGATACTCCCGTGGTGACTACTTCTGACGCTCGCCTCTCGTTAAAGCTGTCAGCTACCAAGGAAGCATTGACTGGCACCGGGAAGAAAGATGTGATTGAATAGGTGGTACAGCCTGCGACTCCTGGATGGGGAAGCTTGAGATCGGTGGTTCACTGAACGAGGTCCGGTTAGGCTAAAGACTATCACCCAGAAGGACAAGAGATCCAGCATGCATGGTGTGGAGGGAGAAGCGTACCACCCACCCTAGACTCCTAACAACCCACTGCCGTGTAGCTTATTCTCTTTCTATTCCAAGTTGACTCTAATGCATTCTTCAGCTTCCTATACCTTTGTGCCAAGGGTTGTGGGAGAGAGTCCTGGCCCCATTTGCTGTCAATCTACCAGAGCCGTGGTAATGGACCCTTTTCTTGTTCTTCCCGACGTGTTCTTGATGCCCAGAAGTGCCATGAAAAGCATGTACCATAGTATAGCGCTTGGGAAAAAGCGTCCCGGCATCCAATGTTATGGCCGTGATTCTGTTGCAGGTGCTCATATCAGGCTAATGTACCTTACCCAACCGGCGCTGGGGAGCGGCACGGCATGGGTGGCATGCGCGGTTCAACGCCAGGATGATACCCTGACGACCAATCTGTAAAGTAAGCAGTACCGCTCGGTGTTATTCTGTCTTGCCTATAGCAACCTATAGTGCTATCTGCATGCGCGGGACAGGATAAGGTCCCGTGATGATGTAAGGCTGGCATGTATGGTCCAAGTTCGGCGGGGAGAAAGGTACGAAGAAGTTGGAGAGATGGTGTGGTGGCTTGAATCAAGCATCAAGTGGTGTAAGCCAAGAGCATTGGCAGATACAATGTGCCGGGTGTCAAGTTGACCGAGCTTTTTCGAGTTCGAGCTGAGAAGGGCGTTTCGACCTTGACACGACATGTCTGGAATATGGAAGCGTTGTTATAGCTTAAGTGTTCGGATGGGAATGTCTCGAGTATGTTGGACCGAAAGTGCTCGGGGTAGGATGATATGATCCGGGGAACTGTCAAGACACCCATCTTTTCAGTCAGCAATCGTGCTTTGAGGCGCGCCAGTAACCTCCAGCTTCCACCAGCCTTGCAATATGTAATCTGACCAACGTAGATGGATGAACTTGCCGAACTTCCGGAGGTGGCCACTCCTGTCGCGGATATCGCATGCAATATCCAGCCCGCTATGCACTCAAAGTCCCGTGTCTGATCGGCTGAGCTTCGCGATTATGCTCATGGCAACTGAGATTGAGGGACGGGACGGTTGTTGATCTGGGGTTAGAATTTGGAAAGCAGGGCAATGTTCTTGTTACAAGGAAGGTAAGAGAAGAGCACATCATCTAAGCAGACGGGTTTTCGTATGGTAGGATGTGAGGAGGAAAAAGTAGACGAAGATGTTGAGGGAAAGGCGAAAGCATCAAGCAGCGTGGAAAGATTGAATTTGCCCTGGATCGATTCGTCAAGCAATTCCAGAGAGATGTTGGGGTAAGAAAGCAGTTTGTGGCCTGGAAGATTTCGCGTATCAATTAGCGCTCCATATTCCATCATCGCTCCTTCCAGTGTTCGTGAAGCATAGTAGTTGAGGATCCCCGGGGTTACAAATCTCCGCTGCGGTTCACTCCTTCCTTGCATCCTCGCATGTCATGTGTCCACTCTGCTCCGTGCTGCTCCTTTCTCAACTCGCTTTTGTTCGTTTCAGTTGTTCACGGGATGGAAATACCAGCATGTTCCCATGGAGGTACTATTTCCTAGTATCGGTGTCAACCACTTTGAACGATCCATCTGTGCAGTGATCTTCGTGACGACTTACTTCAAGCTCTGAACTAGCACTTCCCGCAAGGACTCCAAGGACAGTACCCGACCTCGCAGTAGTTGGAGCAATAGCATTGTCCACTACTGCAATACCCCGTGCCGCCGCCGCACGTCTTGAGAGCAGCTAAGGCCTTTGGGTCCATGAACTGTGTAGCTCTATCGAAGATGACAGCGGGAGCAGCGAGTATCGCGGTGGCGAAGAGGGAGAAACAGGTAATGAACTGCATCGCAGCTCATGTTATTGCGTCGTCGATGATCTTGTGGTATGTAGGCGATACTGACGATAAAGCGAGGAAAAGTCTAATCATTAAACTTGAGCGTGTCAAATGTCCTCCCTTCTTATAGGCCCACGCTTGACTGAAAGCCGCGGTCTTTGATGCTCATGAGAGCCGTCAGGTTCCTATCTTGATAGCTGATTGAACCATGGTAGAAGCCAGTGGACTTGCGCAGCAAACAACTTGTTCTTGATCAGTTATGAGCCCACCAGCGTCCCAGCAGTCTGGATCCGACAGCGCTGTCATTTGGAAGTATCAGAGGCTTATTTTCAAGTCGAGCAAGTCAAACCAGAAACGGACTGGCATAAAGAGACACGGGTAAAAGGCTGTAAGTAATTGAAGTTCGCGGCTAACATGTTTATTTCCGGGCCGTGATGCGGCATGTTGTACAAGCATCGACTTGTACTGTGTCGGCCCTTCGAGGGAGGAGAACGACAGGGTAAACACATTCCATATTGGGTGTTCGGAGACTGCTGGGCGAAGGAAATTGAAGTTGCCGTTCGTCTTCGTTTGGGACAGCATTCTCTTCCGTTACCACTAGGTGCTACACGCAGGATGTACCAGACATTGCGGTTGCCAGCCAGCAATATCTCACGTCGACCTTTCCAGGCCGTCGCAAACCAATCCTTTTGCCTTTTATACTCTTTTCTTCCGTTCGAGCTTCCTTACTCTGGCACCGGGCCCCCGAATATTTTTCTCCACTCCTAAAATCCCCCAACTCTCGGGTCCGGTGTTCACCGACGCCCATAACTGCCAATGAACCACTAACCCCTCTCGGAGGCTAGATTCGTAAAAGGTTCCCCAGTAGCTGACAAAAGGTTCGATGGTGTCACGGTTTCGTCAACAAAAAATCGTGACGTTTGACAGCCAGGATGATTCCGCACCAACATCGGGCATCCTCGGCACGCCCCTCAACTGACCAATCAGAGGCCTTCCTGGTGACTAACCGCCAAGGATAGGGGTCCTCGATGCTTGATGATGTGTTTGGTGTTAAAAAAAAGAAGAGGCATCTATCATCCACGGTAGTGTACCTCCTCGTGTGTAACTTTGATTCCTCCAAGTCCGTACGACACACATTCATTTCTGAAGTTTCGTCAAGGTATCGTCGAGAGAAAAAAATGTCCACAGCACCCAAAGAGACCGAGACCGAGGCGGCGCCCTGGTACGCCGCCTACCCCGAGCCTCAGTCGGACCTGATGAACATCTCGCGCGCAGAGGTGCTGGAGATGCTCAAGGGCTCGACGGGGGAAACCGCCGGCAAGGATTTCGTGCTAGTCGATCTGCGAAGAGACGATTGCAAGGTTCGTTCGTTTGTTCGTTGTGATGGCTGGCGTCCATCCACCCCCTTTCCAGAGTCCAGCTCCAGAGCCTCCAGGTGCTAACGCCAAGCCCTCCGCCCCTTTCTACCAATAGGGCGGCACAATCCGCGGCTCAATCAACCTGCCCGCCCAGTCCATGTACCAGACTCTCCCGACTATTTATGACATGTTCAAGGCGGCGGGGGTGAAGAAGGCCATCTTCTACTGCGGCACTTCGAGAGGCCGTGGTAGTCGTGCCGCGCGCTGGTTGTCGGATTACCTCGTCAAAATAGGCGATAACTCGATTCAAAGCTTTGCTCTGTTTGAAGGCATCAAGGGCTGGGCAAACGCGGGGCCCGAGTACGTCGAGTTTATGGATGAGCACGATGGGTCGGTTTGGGAGAGGTTGAAGAGCCAGTGAAGGACGCGGAGGCGGGATTGATGGATGACGGCCGGGGGTGGTTCGTCGATGGCGGTGGTGGTGGTGGTTGTTGATGGTCGAGAGGGGTGTGGGGAGATGTGGGAGATGCTGAAGAGGGACGCGGAGGAGGCGGTTGGGACGTTGCCTGTGCTTGGCTGAGGGGACTGGTTCTGGGTGGCGGACATGGTGTTTGTTGATGATGGGAATGAGGGCATTCAGGGGTGGTTGTTTACAGCTTCACAAACGACGGGAGCATTAACAAAGAAGAAGGGAATCGACACAATTATAAATTCCCGATTCCAAAGACAGGGACATGGATTATGTTTCCATGACTGCATAAAGTCGAAGATCGTATGAGGCGAGTTTGGACTTCTTGGACTCCATTCGCTCACCGCACAAATCCATCACATCTGTTGGGCTTCAAGGCTTCAACCTGGTCCCGTCGGTCTCGACTTGGTGAAAAGAGGAGCAATCCGACGAGTGGAAGCCCCAGACGCGACGCGGAACCGACAATTCCTCGTAGCGAATCGACACTGCAGCGCATCATCTTCAGCGGCCCCGTCTGGGCTTCAGGGGACCCCCCGCCCGCCTGTGTCAGCCTCCTGTGTCCGCCGTGTGTCGGTCCCGCAATGAGTGGCCCAAGCTCCCCCACTGGCCCCGCATGATCGACCAATCAAAGGCGGAAATTGGTGTGATGCCCGTCTGTCAATCGGCAACTTGTGCCGTCGCTGGCTGTTGACGCCAAACTGACCGTCAAGGTGCCTGCCCTCTCTCTGCCTGAGTGATCAAAGAAATTGTTGGCCAAAACAAAAACAAACAACAACACCAGCAAACACACACACACAACCCCAAACGAAACACACAGACAACAACCGCCCATCATGTCACGACGACCGCCTAGAGGAGAATATATCGAGACCGATACCGGCAACAAGGTCGCCCGCAAGGCCACTTTGGTCGGCACCCAGAACATCATGCTCGGCGGCAAGACAGTCATCCAGCCCGACGTCATGATCCGAGGCGACCTCGCGAGAACGATTCCACCAGCCCAGTCCGCGTCCGGCGGTCCAGCCAACAACACTGCCGTTGCCATTGGTCGATACTGTTTCTTGAGCAGAGGGTGCTGTCTTCGGCCGCCGGGCAGGATGTACAAGGGGTATGTCTGCTCCTCCACCCTCTCTCTTCCAATTTGACTGCGTTCGTTATAATGGCTGACGGCAATCTAAACAGAGTCTTCACCTTCATGCCCCTCCGTCTCGGCGACCACGTCTTTGTCGGCCCCGGTACCGTTGTCCAAGCTGCTCAGATCGGCAACCACGTCCACATTGGCGGTAAGGTCGTCATTGGCGAGTTTGCCATCATCAAGGATTACGTCAAAGTTCTCGACGGCTCGGTTGTCCCCCCAAATATGGTCATCCCCAGCTTCAGCATCGTCGCTGGGCAGCCGGCGCGTATCATTGGCGAGATCCCCGAGGGAGGCATCGAAGCATTCGAGTTGAGGGATTTGTACAAGACAGTGGGGAATAACCCCCAGCCGACGGCGCCTTGAAGAGCCTTTGTGGTCATGACAGCTCTTTGCGAGAAGAAATACTACAAGAGATCAAGGATCGCGAAAGGGTAGCGCATACTCAAGGTGTTAAGGCATTGGACCAAGCCGTCGTATGTATTACTCTCTATACACCCACGATTCGAAACTCTCATTAACACATCTCCTTCCTAGTTTACCTCGCATACGTACTCTGCGGGACCCCCGTGCCACCTTCCCTCTCCAACCTCAAAATACTCTCCGCATTCGCCCTCACGCTCTCCTCCAACCTCGTCCAGCCCTCCTTTTGTCCCACCCTCTTCAACAACTCCTCGGCCCTCTGGTTCGGCACCTCGGTTTGATCCCACCCCTCCTTCTTTGGCTTTCCAAACTTCTCCTTTCTCTCGGGAAACATCTCCCCCAACAACCGCGCCACCTCCTTGAAGCTATACCGCTCGCCGAAGACAAACAATCTCTCCCTATCCACTTTCGGACTCGACGCCAGCGCTGCAACGTACACCTTGGCCATATCCACGCAATCCACAAACCACTGCGGTTCCATCAGGTCGATGATAGCCATGTGCTTGTTCTCCCAGATCCAATGGACCATGCCTGGCGTGCTTGGAATCCCCTGGTTTTTCGGATCAAGACACTCGCCGAGTACAGTATCCAGCAGAACGGTATTAAACGCAAAACCAGGCTTCTCGCGCTTTACCCATTCCCAGACACCCTGCTCAACAAGAGTCTTGAGCGCCATAAACCCCGCCATTCCTTTCGTTTTCGGATCAACATTCTTATCTCTTGCCAGGGCCACGGCGTCTTCATTCCAAATTTGTTCCGTCAGAGTCACCTTTGTGCTAGCATCAGGCATCCAAAGAGCCCACGCCGAAGAAGTAAAAACAAAGCTTTTGACGGTCCCTGCCCGCTTAGCAGCCTCCAACAAACCAACCTGCCACTCCAACTCCTCCTTAGCAGCGCTATCCGGCTCCTGGATTGTCAAGTCCGTGGCTCCCACGCAGTGCACGATCCCTGCCACCCCTTTCGCGGCGTCATCCCAGGCGTTGGGGGCCGTGACGTCGGAAATCTCGACGAGTTCGAATTTTCCCGGGCCGCCGTGGCGGTGGGAGTAGAGGGAAGTAAGGTAGGAGCATTTGTTGGGGTTGCGAACGGTGCCGCGGACGCGGTAGCCTGCTGCGAGGAGCTGGTCGGCGACGTGCGAGGCTAGGAGGCCGTTGCAGCCTGTTACGAGGATGAGGGAGTTGAGGGGGATGGACGGGTTGGTGAGCGAGATCTTGGACTTGGAAGAGGACGTGTTCTTGGAGGGGGACATGTTGATGTTGAGGTTTGGTGTGAGGAACTTGTTGGATACGAGTTAGAATTGAGTCGTTTGGGACAAGTATGGAGGTTTGCGTTGGGTTTACGTTGGGTTTGCAATGTATATGGAGGTTTTTGATGGATGAATCGAAAACAAGGCAGGGGTACTGGGCAGAAGAAATACCCCAGAAGGACGGAGAGAGTCACCACCACGCTGGCTTACAAACAATCATCCTCGGAGACCGGACGAACCCGAGAACGAGTCCGTAGCGGACTGCGTGTCGGACAGCCTGCCCAGTTCCTGCTGGTTCCCGCTTCTGTCATACGCGAGACGCGCCATGCGGCGTACAAGTAGCTCAGTATTCGGACCGGGAGGCATGCCGATGCGATGCCTCTGAAACAGCTGGTAGGTGTTGTCCGAGGGTCGGTGCATCGATCCGATCTCCTCACTCCACGTCTTGGTGTTAGCAAGTCAACAACCGGGCTATCGGTGATTGGAAGCAAACTGTGTTGGTTCCCAGTTCTTAAACAACTTGGCAGGTGAGCGAGCAGCTCTCGGATGGACTACTCAGCCCTTCCATCGTTGTTCATACCGTTCGTCCTCTGACCCTCTCGTCCGTCACCTTTACCAGCCTTCATTGGCCCTCATCAAAAAGCTTGCAATCTTGTTGCCTGGTGATATTGTATTTTTCTGGCTGGACCAATATCTGGATGAGCCTTGAACAGCATGCCCGCGAGATCCATGAACCAGCGAAGGCGACGCTCGCTTCGATTACTGTGGCTTACCAGTTATTCCCTTGGTATCATGTGTGATGGCGACATTCGGATGATTGTATTGGAGCTCTATGATGGGTTTGCGACTGAAATTACCCACCTGTCTGTGTAATTTACAACTTCAATGGGTGGTTCACGTACGAAAATTACCGAACTTCGTTCGCCAGGGGCAGATAGGAGATAGCATGGTATTGATACATGGATGGAAAGTTTGCCCGTGTAGTATGGCATCTTCAACAAAACACCGAGATGATGAGAGAAGAGGACAGAAGAGATAGACAGTCACAACTGTATGGGACTGAGTTGAAAAGTTCAAATCATCGTCTCGAATAGCGGTTCAGTGGGACAATGTGAAGTTATTGGGGAAAGTTACGTCATTTCCACTAATTACACAGAAGGATGAATACCCGTACGAAACTTACCGGTGCTCGTGCGCCGGACGGGGAGCGGTGAACTACGGCACTCAATTCCACTTTCCGTCCTCTTCCCGTCAGGTCTTTCCAACTTCTAAATTTCCCACGCCTCCTCGCACTGAACTCGATGAACCGCTCGCCATTGCCGTGACGTGGAATAACTGGAGGTGGGAACCAAGACGCAAATGAATGTTACGACTCTGACTTGTACACAACCGTCCCGTCACCCTTGGCATCATCAAAATGCTTTTCGTCTCCGTCGTTCCCGCTCGCAATCACCACTGACTGCCCTGCACTTGTGAAGCTCGGAAATATTCCCGGCGATACCAGCACACCGTAACCGCGATTATCTTCAAAAGGCGTTGAAACGCACACAAAATCCACCAGCACTGTCAACCAGCCTAACCCAAGATAGCAATCCCCCAGAAGATTACGTGCCTTAACTCCGAGGGTCTGCGGCGGACATAGGTATCTTCGTTCCACGCAAGCGACTGGCGGTTTCATTGCGCGCTGGTTTCAGGGTCTTCCGGGTCAAACGATCAACGGTCGTACCGCGGTTTACCGGCAGTTCGGATACGACGACTTGTCCGACAGCATGGCTTCCGACATAAGTGATCGCCATTAAGGAGCACTATGTGCGGCCGTCCAGTTGGGATCGGGGATAGGCAACCTCCGCGATGGGGTCTTGATGGGTAGGTGACGGCTTGGGAATAATGCTGTGGAATTCCATGCCCATGAATGGACATTGGATACCCAGCAGGATGGACAGGAGCAAATCCAAGTGGAAGCCCACATACCGATACCCCGAGCGGACCGGGCACCACTCATCGCCGAGTGATCCACCGCAGAATCGGGACTTTGTCGGGCGGGTTATGGGATGGAAAGATCGATTCCAGTCACCTGGCTCCGGGATCAGCAAGGCTAGAGGTACCGCTAGAGGACCGGAGACGGTAGCCACCAAGGTTCTTCCTCCACTCTATTATTCCCGTTAGAGTATTCCTTTAAAAGCGAGACAGAGTTCCATCCACCGGTTTACTTGCCTTCACTTACACGTGGACCAAGTGGTGTATAAAACCATCTCTTCGACCTTCAACTTTCCGTTTTCGCCAACTTCCCCGTACACTATATATTCCGGCCTGATAGCATCACTGGAACAACTCATCTTCAAGCACCTCTTGGTTCCAACAGCAAAAATGGCAGCGTCAAAAGACACCAATCCCTCCCAACCAACCATCGTCATCATCGGCGCCGGCCTCACCGGTCTTCTGGCAGCTCAAGCTACGAAGAAAGCATGTTTTCTTCCGCACTCCTCTGCCTCTCCAACAAATCACTAACTCCTCACAGCACGGCTTTACCGTCCTCATCTACGACTCGGAACCACACCTCAACTCCCGCCCGCGCGACTGGACGATTGCCCTCCACTGGGCTCTCCCCATCTTCTCCTCCCTCCTCCCGCCTTCCATCCTCGCCAACTTCGACCACGCTGTCTCCAACCCTCACTTAGAGTTTGACGAGTGGGCGGAGACGCTACCTATGTATAATGGCGAGACGGGAGATCTAATGTTCAAGAGCGCGGTACCGGGGGCTAGGAGGATTACCAGGAGGGGACTTAGGGAGGTGTTAAGTGAGGGGTTGGATATCGCTTGGGGACGCAAGGTGACTAGATTGGATACTGAGTCAAATCCGGAACAGGTAAAGGTTACTTTGGAAGGGGAGGAAGGAGTAGAGGAGGAGGTGTGGGTGGATTATGTCCTGGGAACGGACGGGGCGGGGAGTAAAGTCCGGGAGATCCTCTTTGCGAATCAAGAAAATGGAGAAGAAAAGGCAAAGGCGAAGAGGAGTGGGTTCATGATTGGGACGTGTGTTGTTGATTATCAGGATGAGGATGTGGTGCGGAAGGTGCTGGAGAAACATCCGGTCATGGCTATGGCGATGAGTCGAGGGGCTGTTGGGGCATTTGGAGGTGAGTTTTTCCTTTTTTTTTTTTACCTACCCAAAACCGAGAAAGAAAGCACGAACAAAACGAGCAAAACGACATCACAAGAACACGACAGCGAGCTAACATATCGCAGTCCAATACACAACCGGCACCCCTCCCTCGAACCTCCACCACACCTTCTTCTGGACCAAAATCTGGAAAGGCAGTCTCTCCACCACGCCCGACATCCCTCGCAAGGGTCCCGAAGCCGTCCGCTACCTCAAACAATCCTGGCAAGGAGACCTCTCACCCGATTTCCAGTCCTTCGTAGACGCCACGCCCGAAGACGATACGCACACCCAGGCCTTCATTGACGAGATGGGTACCTGGATTGCACAGCCGTTTGATAATAGGGATGGGAGGGTGACGCTGGCAGGGGACGCGGGACATCCCATGCTGATTTTGAGAGGACAGGGGTTCCAGCATGCTGTTATCGATGTGCAAAACTACGTCCAGGCTCTGTTGGAAATCAGGGACAGTAGAAGGGATAGAAAGGAAGTGGTGGCGGCGTATGATAAAGATATGGTGGAAAGAGGGAGCAAGGCCGCCCTACAGGCGCTGGAGGAGGCCGAGTTGGCGATGGATGCGAAGAGTGTGGAGAAGATGTTGATGGTTAGGAGGGGACATGGGAGGAGTGTTTGAACCTACCTCTAGGTCTTAGCTGAGGCTTGATGACCGTTACGGCACGGGACCGGATTCGTATTGGGTCGTGTGGGTATGATGACAAATAGGAAAAGAAGACAGGATTCAGAGCAAGATGAAGAAGAGGCAGAAAAGGGGAAAAGAAGCGAAGACAAGGTCAACAAACCCACATAGAAGAGGCCATTCAGAGATGATGAAACACTGGTTGTTCTTGGTGTTGCTCACTCGCACTTGGTTTGCCCTTTTGAGAATCTGAAAGGAAAGAAAGGAAAGGCCGTCATTCGATAGACGTTACATACAGCGATACAGGTACCTCCCTACCTGTAGTGTACGGACCCATACAGGGCAGCCCGTGTCCTTTGTCGAATCCTTTGAGTTTCCGCAACATTCGAATATCGAAATGCACGAGAAAGCAAACTCGGATTTTACGTCGGACTTGTTCGAGGAATTGGCGGATGAATTGGAAATCGGGAATAGGATCCGCGGATGTTCGTTTCGCTTGGTTGGCCGGTTTCAAGCGGCGGCACCGGCAGTTAGGGTTGGGGGGGATGGCCGATGTTACATTACATACTATGCGATGTTTTGCAGATTACGACGTCGTTGAAACTTTGAGCGTTTGGTGTGATTGGATGCTTTGTAATCGATGGTTGTCCATCAACCAACAACGTTTTGTGCAATTCTCAATAAAAATCAAGGGGAAGCGATGGAAGAGAGGTAAGCATCTGACAGGAGGGAAAAAGAAAAGAAACAAGAAAGAGATGAACAGACAGGGAAGATGACGCTGTTGGTTGGATGGGCTAGACCTGGGAGTAGGGAACCACGTGGGGCATGGTGGCGATCGGACGGGCCCGGGGAAGAAGGGAATGGGGCCCCGGAAAGCCGAGGTGGAGGATTTTGAGAATCTTCCGGGGATCTACCATACGTTTGTAAGTGGAGGGAGGGTTCGTTAGTGTTGATATCAACCTGAGGATAGTATACATGTCCAGGTAATATTACATACTCACCTAGTGTTTCAGTCTGTCACTGAAGACGGCCAAGTGTGTGTATGTAAAAATGTTACCCGACAGAAACCGAGAGACTCCAAAAAGAGGGGAGGTACATACACATTACCGGACCTAACAGACCGAGACGAGAATTGTACCTACCTTAGCCGAGCTTACCTTCTGAATTACTGCGCGCAATATCACAATTGCCCATTCGAGACACTCAACTTGATCGCCGTCGTCGTCAACCGCACTCTTATGCCTTTGACCTTCCTGCCTGATACTTTATTTTCCCCGATCATGGAACCTACATGAATTCGCTGCGATCCAAGTTCTTTCACACCAAGATGCCGGGTTCTAGTGGTAGCAACCGACCAGCAGCAGCAGCCGCGGACAATGCGACTGTAACGTCGAATGCGCAAGGCCCCGCTGCTGCACAGAAGAACAGTGTCGACCCGTCCATGTCAGCAAACACCGTGACCACTTCCAACACTGTGTCAGACGCACCTCAGCAACTACTACTTCAACAAGAAGCCGAAGAAGCTCACGAAGTTCCCCTCCTGGCTCCAACCACCACCTACGAACAGCAAGCAACATCCTCATGGCAGTTGAATTCCTCCAACAACAGTCACCACCATGACTCTCGCGAGTATGGCCACCACCACGGCCCCCACCACGACAACATAGAAGCCGCCGGCCACGACTACGCCTCCGACTCGGACGAGTTCTCCCTCACCGAGGGCTACGAAACCCAATCCACCGGCAGCACATCCGCCACCTCGTCCATCTACGCGCACACCTACGAGCACGGCCGGCGCTACCAATCCTACAAGAACAGCCGCTACCCCATCCCCAACGACGATGCCGAACTGTCGCGCGAAGACATGAAGCACGCCATGCTTCTTGAGCTGCTCGACGGCCAAATCAGCTTTGCGCCCCTGGGAAAAAGTCCGCAGAATATCCTGGACATCGGCACGGGGACAGGCATCTGGGCCATCGATGCCGGTGATCGATGGCCGATGGCGAGAGTCAGAGGGATGGATATCAGTCCCGTGCAGCCGGTCTGGGTCCCGCCGAATGTGGACTTTTTGGTCGATGATTGTGAGCAGGAGTGGTTGATGAGGGGAGAGCTGGATTATGCGCATTTTCGGTTCATGGCGATTGTGTTGAAGGATTTGCCCGTGGTGTTGGGGCATGCTATGGAGTAGGTCTTCTTTTACTTTTCGTCCCATTACCTGCAGGTGGTGACAATCTGCTAACAGACCACAAAACAGAGCCCTTAAACCAGGCGGCTGGATCGAGTTCCAGGAACTAAACTGCGAAGTCTTCTGCGACGACGATACCATGCCCGATGACGACCCGGTCAAGGTCCTCTATGACTTTAGTCAAGAAGCCTTTGCCAAGTTCAACATGAACATTACCATGCCCAAAATCCTCAGGCGATATCTCGCCGACGCCGGGTTCGTCAATATCCAGTGCGTCGTCAAGAAGGTGCCCATTGGTGTCTGGGCAAAAGACAAGACGCTGCGGCTGGTGGGCATGTATCAGAAGATGGCCATTCTGGAAATCATGGAGGCACTGGCGGGCAGACCGTTTGATGCCCTGGGGTTAGATCCGGTGCAAAGGGAGATGATTCTGATGGAGGCGAGAAAGGGGTTGGATAATCCGAGGGTGCATCGGTATTTCAACTATTATTTCTGGTTCGCGCAAAAGCCTCTGTAGGCGGGAGACTGGGCAACGGAAAAGACGAGAGAGCATAATGGGAGTTCGGGTCTAATAAGCATTTGGGCAGTTGGCGTTTGGTTTACTACCTATCTTGGATCCATCGCTTGGAGGAAGCACCTCGTCGATATTTACGGTTATTTTTCTGAGATACGTGCACATAGACATCGCCAGTAGGACCGGGGGAAGTATCACGAAGAGGTCGAGGAGTCGCGACCAGCATAATTCACAACGTTCTTTGTTATATTCTTTCATTTTGCTTTAGTGTCAAGGACCATTCATCCCCTGGTGGTACAGAGCAGCTGACACAGCAGCAGGTACCTATCTCGTGCAACCACAATCCCGGAACCGCAAACCTCAACACGGCCGGTTCCGACTAACAGCAACAACCAACAAGAAATAAATGCCAGTACGAAATCCCACGCTAAGAATTGCCAACCAACACAACATCAGAAACCTAAAACAGACGACAGGTCACACGGTCATCAACCCGTTACCGTTCATCATGAGAGAAAAGAAGAAGAAATATGAAATCACCACGTCAATCACTACAAGCACTCAGCTATCCGCCTCTAGCTTCTCTGTCTCCTCAATCTTGGCCCACCCCGACCCTGCCAACTTCAACTCGGGCGACTTCCTCAGCTTCAGCTTGGGACTGCGCTTGGGCGACTTGAACGAAGCTGCCGGGAGCGTTTCAAAATTGTCCAGGTCCTCTTGCGAAGGCTCGGCAGGAGTAGGAGGGCAGGCAGCCATGGAGAGTCGAAGACAAACAACGGTATCAGGTGTCATGATGGCTTCTTGTGGAGGAGAAGTTTCTGGAGTTAAAGGGCGGCTACTAGTGGCGGCCGTGGTGGTGGTAGCGGTGGCAGAGGATGATGGGGGAAAGCAGTTGGAGAGGAGGATGAGGGCTTTCGAGATAGTGGTGCTTTCAGGTTGTGCTTGGGAGTCAGGGGAGGACCGCCCAGAGGCGGAACGTCCAAAGGCGGAGGAGGAGGAAGACCTAGAGTGAGAAGTGGCGGATTCAGAGGAGGAGAAGGTGGTGCAGGTCATGGCCGGCTGGAGGACCATCATGACTGATGGAGGTTTCTCGCCATCTGCCGATGACGGCCTCCCGCCCTCAACCTTTTCCTTCCCACCATACACCTCCATGTCCTCGCTCTCACCATATTCAGGGAGGTCGAGCAGTCCCTTGAACTGCAAGTCTCCGTCTGACCTCCCCCACACTAACCCGGAAAACCTCAATGCCAAATCAATCTCCCCTACCAACTTGCCTTCCAACAGACTGATACCTTCAGGAGTCTGCTCGCGGAGCAAGAAGCGTGCAGGACCAGAGAGGAACCTATCCTTCAGCTTGCGAGCGTACTCCTTTCGGCACTCAGCGAGCATCCGACGGTCGCCGTTCCCAGAAATAGAAGGGTGAGTGACGTCAAGGGAGAGGCCAGATTCGTGGAGGAGGTGAAGAAGAGAAGCGCGAAGGGAGGAAGCGGAGGTAGGATTGATTTGAACTAAAGTCTGTTAGTACCAAACTGGGAAGGAACGAACAGTGCAAGCCAAGGGCGAACTTACCATTGCTCAAAAGCTCAAAAAGCGCCTCCATCTCCCCCTCCAGGGGCAACATGTCCGGCTGAACACTCGGCTCACACCCCTCATCCAGCGCAACAGAGATCACCCCCAGACTCTGCATCGACACCGCCCCCGGGTTCGTCAGCCTCGGGCTCATAAAACTAATCGACCTCGCCGTCGCCGGCATCACCGGTACATCCACCGGCAACCCCGGGCTGAGAAGGGCAGGTGAAATGTGATTATCCCACGTAGCCGTGTCGACCCTAAACCCAGCAGGTTCAACATGATTCCTCATCGAAGAACCCCCCCTCTCGATCGTCGGGCTCTCCACATCCACCATGTCCCCATCCAATCCCGCCCTCCGCAGCGCCTTGAACACCCACCACGGCGACGCGAAGCACTCCTTGGTGATGAAGTTCACCAGCATCCCGTACAGCAGGCACCGGATTCGCTCGTTGTTGGCGTCGGCCGTGTAGGCGATGAACTGCTTGGGCAGCTTGTCGTCGGCCGTCAGCCGGACAAAGTGCGACACACCCCGCGCGACTTCGTCCCGTTGAAGCGGGTGCAGCTCGACGAGTCGGTTGGGGTTGGTGTGCGCATAAGAAGAGGACCACGAGAGCCAGGAGGCGGTGCGGGTGGTGAACCACGAGGAGATGTCGGTGGGGGTAAGGGTGAGGCGGGGTTTTGTGCCGGGAAGGATGGAAGGGGCGGTGGTGCGGGTTGAAGGGGTGGGAGACGGGGAGCGACGGGTGAGTTGGGTTATGTTGTCTTTGTGGACGGCAACTTCCTGGTTGTGCTCTTCTTTTTGATTGGCAAGCTGTTTCTCGAAGACGACCTTTTGTTGAGCGAGCTGCTTCTTCTGCTCGGCTAGCTGGTTCTCGAAGTCGGTCTTTTGCTGGGCAAGTTGCTCCTCGTGTTGTTTCTTCTGCTGAGCGAGCTGCTCCTCCAGCTCCTTGATCTTGGTCTCATAAGCCGTCTTTTGTTTCTGCAGCTCATTCTCTAGATGACGCTGGCTTGTCTCGTGCTGTTGCTTCAGCGCGACTAATTGGGTGGAGAGGCTATGCTTCTCCTTGATGGAAACTTGCGCGGTCCGCTGGAGCGAGGCTATCTGCTTCTGCAGGCTCTTGTTTTCCTTTGCCAGCCGCTCATTGCGTTCTGATTTTGTGGGAGGCTGGCCGATTGTCTGAAGAAAGCGAGTGACGCGGTCGTGAAGGAGCTTGGTGTTGAGTTCCTCGGCCTCGGCTAGGGACTTGGCTTCTTCTGGCGAGGGGAGTTCGTGCTTGTCTTCTGCTTTGGGAGTGGCTACATCATCGATAGATTCTGTCGTGGTTTCTTTCTTTTCTTCAGACTCTCCCTTGCTGACCTCGTCGGGCATGCCGGCGGCTATCCATCTTTTGAAGATCATATCAGCGCGGGCTGCTGCTGATAGGTTGTTGGCATCGGAACCGAGTCCCTCGCCGCACTCGGCTGTGGTGGAGCTGGGCTCTCGGATACCGGAGTGGGGGGTGATGGGTGTGGTCTCCAGCTGGGCGAGATAATCGGTCAACACTGAGAGAGTCAGCTTCGGTTTGTTGGTTGCTGGTACTGTGTCTGTTGGTGTCTCGGCTGGGGACGACGTGTTGGATGAATTCTGTAGTGCCGTTTTGTTGGGTGTTACCCCGGGAGGGGGCATACGAGCAATGCTCGCCAAGCTCTGGTACACAGCAGGCATTCTGACGATAAATGTGGGCGAGTCGATGAAAGACTTGGTGGTCGTTGTCGATGGACTCAGGTGTTCAAACTTCGAATGCAATAAGAATGTCTAGTGTAACGGATTGGACCAGCCGAATCAATGAATGGAAGTAAGCAAAACCAACAAAGGCAAGCTTGATACACGCAACAAGAGTGATTAGTATTAGAGAAGAAGAAGGAGAACACACTGAGCCATGATCGAACAAGAGGTTGGATCACAGGCGAGCTGAGGCTCGGGGGTCACGCTCCTCTTTACATGGCATGCAGCAGCCAGGCGGCACAGGCCCGTTGATTGAACTCGAGGATTCACGGTCCGTATCCAGCCGTCAACTTGCCATGGCCGTGAGATTGCCGCCTAGAGACCCCGAAGATATGCGCCTGCTTTCCCTCTGGCGCTTAGACTGCATACTGCCCTGATGATCGCGACAAGACAGACCCATATCATCATGCCATTAGCTTCCGGCGTGCCGGTACCGAATTGGAATGGCGTAGTTGCCATGATGGATGGGAGGGCCGTCAGTCAGAATTGCGAGAGTGGCTCTCTGCTCTCGTCGTTGTCTCCGGGAAGAAAGAAAGTCAAGTCTCCATGGGGTGCGGGATACTACTCCGTGTTTTATTACAGTGCGGTCGAGGCTTATTGGTGGGTATAAGTCACATATTCATCCAATGGAATGAGAAAATTGAGGGTTGATGCATGGCTAACCGCCGTGGTTGCAGGCTCGTCAACAGCTCCCACCAATCGACATTGTCCATTCTATCTTAGCGAACGTGCGAAAAGTCTTGGCCCACTCACCCACGCACCTGGAGCGCGCTTAGACAGGGGCATGCGTCGATTTAGCCGCCCAATGTCAAGCCAAGGTGGCGGCGGCCGTCAATATCACCCACCACCACGAAGACGGACAGCATAGCTCTTAATTGGCTGGAGCACTCCTTGAGAGGTGGCTAGGAAGATCACGCACGGCGGAGGTAGTCAAGAACTCACCAATACGCATTTCCCGCAAAAGACCGAAAGCTGAATGTTCAGATCATGTTCTTTGCTGGTTCATTTTCCTCATGAGTGGGAGGTTTGGCGCGGCTAAAAACGAAGCGTGGAAAGGATTCTCGATTCTCGATGGCGGAGCGTGAGAAACGTGCTCAAAGCAGAGAGTACCTCTACAGGTCCGACCATAAAAAGGCAGGCCATAGGGGAAACGACCTGCGGAACGTTGATTTCTGTGGATTGCTAGGAATTTTTGGAGGGGTGCCAGGTGTGAACACGATCCAAGATAGGTCTCAAGATATGTTTGAGTAGGGAATTGGCTTTGTGCTGAATTCAACGTTCTCGCTCGCTAGTAAATGTGGCGCCTGGTTGAGTTCGACACTTGCCGTCGAGCGACATCTGGAGTGTCCCGTCAGCAAGGAGAGCAAGAAGAAACGTGGTTTGGTTTCGCGTATCAGCCACCGTCACATGACTTGTCCGACAACACCCCAGGTTTCCCTTCAACGGAAAGGAGAAAGTAGGTAACCCGGCGATGATCTGGTTTTCTGAAAAGAGGTTCTGTGAGCCAAAGTGTGATGATGCAGTTTCGGGTGAAGTGAGTGCTCACATCTTGACCAGCACGATCCGTGGTTGGATCAGGTAGTGTTGTCCCTTGCAGTAGCCCGCGGCTTCGCTGCTGAAAAGATTCACGTCGAACAAAACTGATTACAGTGCCCATTCATTGCAACGTAATTTCCAAAACAAGGTATATCACATTCACCATACCTTTCATCATACACTTGTAGATGGCGATTGAGGCAAGATGCCGAAGCGAACACGCCCTTCGACATAGGCCCCTAACAAGGGTACCTATTGAGGTATGAACAGCCAGCAAGACAGGTGAAAAACTTGTCAATACCTTGATAACGACGTTAGATCAGGCTGAATACATAATAAGCATCCGAGAAAACCCAGCAGGCTTGATCACCAATATGCCACCTAACCCACGATGCCTGTCTGGCAGTTATGCACCGAATTGACAGATCTTGACAGCCGCGTAATCTGATGTGACGCTACTACTCTTTCTTAAACATTTTGTCCAACATCACCGGCCCATCCGCCAATCGGTTATATGGAAAGAAGAAAAATATGCCTGAGAAAAAGAACGCCACGCAAATAGAAGAATGATAAGAGACAAGAAAACTCCTTGGACAGTGTAGGTAATGAGTCCATGCGCTTTGGCCATTTTATACGCCTCGTTTTCCGTTACTAGAGGTAGACAATGTAGACAGCGGTCGAGGTTGAAAGGGGGGGAAAAAAAACCATGCAAAACTGAAGTAGAATCACACGATATCCGGGTGCAGCACAATCACGACGTCATGAGCCCTGTTTCCTGCTGCGGAGCTATGCCCACCTTTTCCAATGGAGCCGAATGCGAATCCATCGGATGCCCCAAGCTGGCAGTATAGTACGACGCCACCTGAGTTGGAAATTGCCCTTGTTGTCCATCCGGCACTCTCTTGGGCGACGATCTCACTGCCGACCTAGGCACAGGTCCGATTAACAACGTCCTCTCCGCCATTTCTGGTGGCGTCTTTGCCTGAGGTTCGGATGGCGGTGTGACAGTCACATTGGTGATAATTTGCGTCTTGGAAACTTGTTGTTCCTGGGATGATGTCGCCACGAGCACGCGAGCTTTGAGCCAAACCTTGGCGATCTTGCGAGGCTTGTTGGGATCGTCTTCGCGGCCTCCGCCGACTTCGATAGTTTCGATGGCTGGTTGCACGACCATGACTACCGGGCGCCCGTCGTAGTAGCCTGGAGGACCCGGCGTCTCGGATCCGACCTGGCCAAGATGGGCGGGAATAGCGTTGGGTGCTTGGGGACTTTGTGCGTGGCAGAGGGACATCAACCTGTCTGACGGCTTGAACAGTTTTCCCCCGAGTGCCGTGAAGCCATGGAATCGGATGGGGCCAGGGCGGGACCACAGTTGGCATGAGAAGATGAGAGCGTCGTCGATGTACTCGGTCAAGGTGCGTTCGAGATTTGCTATCCCGGCGGGATCTTGATCGTGGAGCAAGAACCGCGCGGGACCGCTGAGGAATCGCTCTTTGAGCCTTCGCGCATAGTTGAGCCTAGATTCAACAAGCATACGCTTGGCCTCGACACCTCCCGCATCCTGGGGGTTCTTTATGCTCATGCCAGAATCTGCGAACAACTGTACCAACTGGGCTTCTCTGAGCTGGACAGAAGTAATTCCGGATTCTCCTGTCTGGGCTGTTTTCTAGGTCAGCGATCATCAGAATAATGGCCAGTTGCAATGCAATTCACCTACCCTTTGTGAGCATATGAAACATGTTCTCCATCTCGTCCTTCATCGGATAAGCCAAACTTGAAGCGCTCAACAAACCACCAGGTTGCAGGTTCGTCGTTATCAATGGCGGCGGGAAGCGGGGATCTCTGTTTGGTGCTAGTGTAGGAGCAGGGGCGTAGGTACGAGGAGGAATGGCGTTCTGCATGGCGAGATCGAGACGGAAACCCCCAGGAGAGATTGCCGTAGCCGGAGCCACAAAGGGACTTTCGGGAGATCCAGCAGATATGGCGTTGAAGATCCAGAAGGGAGAGGAGAGTGTCTCAGTGCAAATGAAGTTAACCAGCATTCCGTGCAGCACGGCTTGTATCATGTCAGTGCCTTTGACTAGCAGCTCAGCTGGAAGTTTGGAATCATCGGTGAGCTTGACAAAGCTTTTGATCCCGTGGCACACCTCATGAAGCTGGAGTGGATGGAGCCCACTCGAGAGTCGATTGGGATCCTGAGAGGCAAAGTGTTGCGCCCATAAGAACCAGGACGCATCGCGCTCGGCAAACCACGAGGTGATCTGCTTATCAGATAGGCTGGGTGCAGGATTCTCAAACTGGGCGTTGGCGACTGCAAGATCGAGTATTTGCTCCTCCTGCCGCATGATTCTCGCTTTGAGCTGCTGAGCTTCAACCTGAAGAATCTTTTCTCGCTCCTTGATCTTTTGATACTCATCCTTCCACTGCTGGTGACGTGTCTCGTGATGTTTCTTAAACATTGCCAGTTGACGTACCAGCTCTTGGTTTTCGGCCAAAAGATCCCTTTCGGTGCGTTGAAGAGCAGCTACTCTCTGATACAACCCCCGGTTCTCCTGCAGAAGCTCTTTATCGGCTTCGGATGTGAATGACATCGCTGACATGGAGGGTATTGGGGTATCTGCTGCTGCACGGGCGGGTATCTGTTGTACCGGTGGAGCCGCAGGCTTTGGTGTTTGAGATGACTGAAGCTTCGGAGTGTGTGATGATTGGGGTTGTGGGGTTTGTGACGCATTAGACTGGGGAGGTGATGGCATAGGCTGTGGTGTCTGGGCTGCCAGAGATTGCAGATACATGCTGACCTTGGTGGCCGCAATTTCGCGGTCATTGTCGTAACTTCTTTCATGGGCCAAGAGTCGAAGTTCCTTCGAGCTAGCTGCTCTGCGGTGAGATGATGTTTGCGACCTGTCTGTGTCTCTCTCCCTTTCCCTCTCCATCTCCCTTTCTCTCTGTCGATCCTTTGTCGAGGCGTGGTTGCTACCCCGGCTTAGGCTGGTATCGCGATCGTCGATAGACGCTTTTGCAGTGCTTCTACTCAAGCTACGCTGGCGACTTTCCAAAGCCTCGCGACTCTCCTGTATGTCGCGGCCATTGCGTTGTTCGCTCCTGGACCGGGACTGGGAATGGTGGCGGCCAGACCGAGTTCGGCTATGGCTTTCTTGGGTCCGACCGTGGCCTTCGCGGGACTGGCTTCTCCATGACTTGTGGACCTTTTGGACCAATTCTGCAGCTGAGGGGTTGCGGTTTTTGGGAATATCGCCAAACTGCCCTAAAGTCGAACTGGGCGTGTCTGGAACTTCAGGAAGCGGGGAGAGTAAAGAAGAAGCGGTGTTGCTGTCGGGATATGGTGTAAGAGGCAGGTTCATGGATTCGAGGATGGTTGCTCTAATTTGAGAGCTGCCGTTTGTCGGAGTCGAGTGATAGGAAGACGAAACAGATGATTCAGAGTCCCTTCGAAAAAGCAAGCCGGGATCTATCCATCGATCTGGGGAGACTGCCTTGGACCGGAGGTCAGTTTGGCGGAGACCGGTGCCCATGGTCAGGGTAAAAAGAGTCTGGGGAAGGACGGGGAAAGGCTCGCTGGATGTCTAATACTGCGATGCATGAAGATATGGAGGGACAATTGAGAGACAGCGAGATCTAAAGGATGAGGACTCAGTCAAACCCGTTACAGACTCCCAGATTGCGGTCCAGACTTCCACCTGGCACTGCTGGGTGGAGGAGACGGGGCCTCAGTTGCGGAGAAGCAACGCTGAGGTGAGAGGAAAATGTCCAGGTAGGAAAAGAACAGAATGAGACAGGAAAAGAATGTGAGTTTGGCTGGTGGGACTGGCAACGCTAGGAGTTAACAGTTTAGGCCCAAGGCTGCTGAAGGTGAGAGGACCCGACTCTGCCCTGCTCTGCCTACCAAGGACGCCAACTCGCGTGTCCATGTTTTCTTGTTCCCTGTCCCCAGGCACGCCAGAAACTCGAGGCCGCGCTTCCACTTGGCGCCAAAGTGCATCCCATATCCCCGGACACCAATCCTCAGAGCCACGCTCTTTTTCACATTCCCACCGTTGACTGGCTGAGCTCAGCACTGCTGGCCAGCCGTTATGCAACCAGCCCAAGCCCGCCAAGCTTTGACAGGTCTAGCGACTGAAGGGACCAAAGACTGTGGTTTTCACACCCCTGGACTTCGAGGATCACGCGCTGTCCACTTGGATACCACTGTAAAAGTGGCGCTGAGAGCGGTCAAGGCCTGTCAAATGCTCACTGACGGCTTACCACTGGATACATAGCTCGTCCATCACGCGGGGTTGCCCTGCAGCAGATCCTGTCTGAAAAGACGGGTTGGGTTTGCTGGAGGGTAGGCACACGATGATGCCTGTGGTCGCGAAAAATATGAAAGCCTTCATGTCACGCACAACACTGAGAATGCTAATGAAAGAACACTGAAGATCAGTACAAAAGAAACAAAAATGAATTCGAGGCCTCGACTAAACAATCAGGAATTGGGATGGTGAGTGACAGGCACCTCCACGTTGGTGTCAGGCAGGAACATTAGGGAGACAGGGACAACTGGCATCTGCGGGGGTCCTGCCGCGTTGCGCACTGCGCGTTACCGGTTTGTGTTCCTGGGAGACTGCAATCAGACGACCCGACGTCGTCGTCAACCATCTGACAGAGGAGGACACTAGTCGAGTGGTGTACAATCCCTGGGTTCCGACAATCTGGATCGGTCGCGTGTAATGAGGCCTAGCGAGCGAGTCCAACTGAACTTGAGCAAAAAATGCCAGGTTCCATCCGCGTTAGAATTATCGGATAACCATACTCTTGGTGTTGCGTTCTCTCTGTAATGCTCTTCAAGGCCATGTTGTCGGCTACTCGGCGGTTTCAGAAATGAGATTGGGTCGCCGAATTCGCTGTGTTGGTGATGAGGTTGTGGTGAGCTGCTGAACGTTGACAAGGGTAAAAGTTCATTGACGAATGGATTGGATGAACCCTTCATGCGGGCCCCGCCGCACAGCAGCCCACTTGGGTGGGGTAAGACAGCCTAGCATCTATCACACACTGTGTCGTCTGAGTGACGTCTCTGGAGTTACCTCACTAACAACGTCTCCTTACTCAATAACAAGGAAAATCTTGAGCTCAACTTTAAAGCTTATTAGAAAAACGACCGTAAGCAAGGAAGAGCATTCTTTGCAACAAATTCCACCAGAAGTACTTCTCATCGTCACGACAACAACAATCATCCCTAAGTATCACTCAGAGATCACCGTGTGCCCCGGGGCCGTGGCTGCTAACTTGTGAATCCAGACACTGTCCCCAACGCCGATAAGCGCCCTGGAATGTGACGACCTCTTCAATCCTACAGCGGCATCTCTCCTCCCTCATTGGCTGTTCACTCTATCAACATAGTCGAGCTTAACCTTTTCCAGCTTTCTCTAGTCGTCGCTGCTACCCTTCGCCGTATCAGCCAACGTTCCTTCCCTGGATCACTACTTATCACAAGGGAAGCCTCGATTGGGTCCCTTTACTGTGTCTTTCGACTTGCGCGGCGCTGTTCCACGGCCTTGGTCGAGCGCTGCAACCAGACGCCATCGCGCCTGGCGCCTGGCGGGTATGGAAAATAACGTTCAACTCCAGAAAGGGCAAGTTGACGATGCCAAGTGGTATGGCGGATGCGGATGGAAATGCGATGACGGAAAACGGACTGTGCTGGGGAGAGACGAAGGCCTGGGAGATTACCGTGCGAACCACTGCATATCGCAGCAACATGGTTCGGTTGAGAGTTTCTCTGATTCGTGCTCGCAAGCGCAAGCGCCGTGGACTTGGGAAATCAAACTCGTACCAGGTGGAGAGAAGCGCTCGAAGCGCGATGACTTGTTCCCTAGGTAGCCCTGGTTGGCATGTGTCTGGTCTGGGCCTTATGCGATGGCATCATAATGGACACCTAGGCTAAAGGGTATACCTGAAACAACTTAAAGCTCAAGAGGGCAGGTAGGGTATCTTCTCGAAGTTGTGGATATCATGGAGGAGCTTAATGGGTTGGTGGAGTGCCTGTGATGTATACAGAGGCGAGAACTTACCAGACCCATATGTAATGACCAAGTGGTGCCCACCTTCGAAGTCATCTGTGGTAATTCTTATTCCCGAGCAAGTAGCATTGGGGGCCTCCGGGAAAATCAACAGGTTTGCGGCTCTCTGGAGATAATCGCCGTTAGTAAACTTCCGTTTATCTTCCATACCAAAACTGCTCTTGGGTACGGTAACGTCTAGGTCAAACATGAGTAATAAAAGATATGCGCATATTAAGCTTCGTGAATAGGCGCAAGGGAAAGTCAATCGAGTTTGAAGGGTAGGGGGAAGATGCTTCTGGATGCTACGATAGGTAACCATCTGATCCTACCTTATGCATAGAGGTAGTCACTTACAAGTGTAAGCAGCCTCAATCTTCACCTATGCCCACAACGTACCAGAAGTAAGGAAGACTCAGAGAACCAAAGAACTTGAAGCATGATCGATTGGACTTAGAGCACGACTTTTAGTCTTCTTTGTTTGCACTTGATTGCCCCAGAAAATGACGAGTGTCGTACAACCCTAGCGCGAGACACGTGTCATCCATCCACAATCTCATATAACCCGTACCACCCAACTCGATATATAACATTGAAGACGTGGTGACGGAGTGGTCTAACGCGCCAGACTTGAAATCTGGTTCCTAAGGGAGCGTCTGTTCGAATCAGGCCCACGTCGATATTTTTTGCCTTTAACCTCGTGTTCCTGCTTGTTTTGGTGTTGGTGTTGATGTTGGGATTGGCAGGTGCAGTTGACTCCTTTTCCTCCCTCGAACATCAGAATGGGATAAGGTCCGTGCGGGCTTCTCTCCTTTTTCCCCTTTCCATTTCCACTTCCGGCCTCTTTTTGTTTTTCACCTTTGAATTCCATCACAATGCGTGCGGAGATGCTCATGCTGACCGAGGAGAATACCGACATAAGTGTTATGCATATAATCCAAGTAGGTAGTAAATATAATCAAACGAAGAGAAAATCCATATGTACAAAAGTTCAGATCACCACCTCAGCCCATCATCGAATCGACATCATCCGTCCCTCATCATCTCGTCCCCTTTAACTGTTCTTCACACTCGCATCCGCATTCCCCGTCAACATCTCCGCATACCCACCAAACCACGCTCCCGCAATCGGCGCCCCCGTCAATCCACACTGCCCATCACTCTCACCACCCGGCTTGATCCACACAATCGCATCGACATTCGAGTTCTGCAGCACGCTCTGATCCGTCGTGGGGATATGGCCAAACCCAGCCGGGTTGACGTTGCACCAGTCACCCCAGTCCTTCCTGGCGCCCGGATAAGCCACACGGCCCTGGTCGATGATGAAGTGCGCAGGGAGCCCGTGTTGTTGGAGGTAAGGCGCGAGGGAGGAGGCGTAGTGCGATTCGTCGTAGGACGGGGAGCCCGAGGTGAAGGAGTCGCGCTTGGTGGCGAGGTAGGGGTTGTAGTTGGAGACGTTGGTGGAGAAACCGCGGACTTTGGCGGGGGAGGCCATGGAGAGGATAGTGGCGATTTCGTTGGCGGCTGGTTTGGAGATGTGTTAGTATTTTGGTGATGGTAGTAGGGAAATGAAAGGGAAAGGGAAATGGAAAGGGAGATGAAGGAAAGACATACCCTTGGGCAAACTATCACCCCAGCCCAACCATCCACCATTCGCAGCATCCAAATACACCGCCACGTTGTCCAACTGCAAGCTCTTGATGGCAAAAGCGATACCTTCCCGGTAGGTAGGAATCGCCTGCTTGCAAAACTCGACGGCAGAGTTGGTCACCGAATTTCCCAACGAGTCCGGCTCCACCACCACAGCAAACTGCAAGTCCTTGGCCGCCGCCAACTTGGCCGCATACGGCTTGACGAACTGCTCCTTGTAGATTCGCAGTCCGTCATTCTTGGTGCTCAGCTCACCCGCCGACTCGCCCGCAGAGCAGTCGCGATCAGGTATGTTGTACATCACCAACCCGACAATCTGCTTCTGTCCCGTCCGGCTCTGCTCCGCACGAGCGGCCTGGATGGCTTCGTCGATCTCGGAGAGCCCGGAGCGGGAAGATACCCAGACGAAGGAACCGATCTTTTGGACCTTGCGGACTACGGCTGCGTTTTCCGAGTCGCCCCTGGAGGTGAAGGCCTTGTATGTGTCCTCGAGCTTGGAGGCCCATTTGGGGTTGGCGAAGAGCTTCTTGCCGACAAAGGGGTTGGAGTCGGAGAGGGCCCGTGGGGCGTGAGCAGGGCCGACGGGGGAAGCGGTGACGGTGGCGCCGGCGGCCGAGAGGGCGGCAAGGAGGGAAAGGGCGCGCATTGTGACTTGGGATGAGTATGTAATATGGGGAAGATAGGGGTTGGGGAAGTGACGATTGGTGATGATGAGGATTGATGGATGGCAGGTCTTATATAGCTGGTGGTCAACCATCAGCACCGTACATTACCTCATTCTCCTTATCTTCTTGGTTTAAATTTGAGGTCATCGCATGCCGGGCGACATCCCCGTACTTCGGAAACGCCCAGCCGGACCTGGAAACAATAGATCCGTCGGCTTGTCCATCATCACCTTCCTGGCACTAATTTGTTCATGCTCTGGTTGTTTCAACTTGCTCGGCCCAGGTCCCGAGACTTACCAGAAATGGCTAGACGTAGACAAGTGCGAGAGCCATGGGGAAATTGGAGGATGATGCCGGGGTAAGTGGGCCAAGGCCAAGGCCGTCGGCAGGTGTGCCGAAAATCCGGAGCCAACACCTCCGCGATGTTACGCTACGGGAGTCGCAGGTTCCTTGGCCGAATAAAGAAGTTCCAGAAACAAGGAACCGGGTCAGGTGCCGATTAATCCCCAGATTCAAAAACGGTGGTAATGTCACCTTGACTGTCGGTCTGGGGATATTTGACAGATCTTTGTATGTAATGTGAGCCTGAACTCGCGCGATCTTGAGGAAATGAGGCGCGTGCATAAGCGATGGAGGTGAGGATAGTGTCAGGAGTGTAAATCGCAGACGGCAGCCCGCTCCGGAAGGAACTCAAGCCGTGATGATTCGTGCGCTTGTATGAAGATCAACGGTTTTCGGAGGTTTCCCGGCTGCCACTCGGCGAAACTGACGGGCCGGACAACATGGACTGGACCCCTATGTGCAATGAGTGCACATGACACCACATCCCATGCCTCTCATGTTAAGAAACATGCGCACGTATAGCAGCAACTTCTCATGGTTGTGGTATCACTCGAAGACCACACTGAATGGCGCATCGCGCCCTCTCTGACGCAGCCCAAATCGCGCCCGGCTCGTCCCGTTGAACACTTGTACATCACACATCCAGGACCCCGTATTCCACTTGACTATCGCAAACTTACCCCATTTTCAATCACATCTCCAGTAATGTTGTCAGTGGCAACATATCCAAAGGCCTCACTGCCTCTCATGTTGTGTTGTGCCATGCGTCTTGTTATCGGGATCATTGCTTTTTCTGCCATGTTTTTTTTTTTTTTTATTTCTCCGCGGCGCCATTGACTTTCCTTTCAGCTTGCCATGTACGGAGGAAACAAGCGCCGACCACGGAGATGGTATTCTTTTGGTCATGTTTGGTCAAGCCTCGTCAAGTTTTATCGCCCAGCCTGACGATATGGAACGACTTCGCTTCATATCCCGAACACCGGCAGCGGTTGGTTGAGCCGCGGTTGTTGCCACGGCTGTCATAGTCTGTCAAAGTCGCGTCCAAATGTCAAGGCCTGGTAAAGTATCAGTGGGCTGCCTGTCCGTGGTGGCTGAGTTATGAGAAAGACGTAAATGGCTTGTGGCCTTCCAATTCAGCGCTGACAGACAAGCTGCCGAGACGGGTCGTGTGCCAGGCTGAACCGCTGAGGGAAGGCCATCAGATTCAGATGTCCCATTGGTCGAGCTCGTCAACAGCACGCGACAGGCTGGCAGCACTCCCGATTCCGTATTCTCTTCTCCGAGATGATTTGCTTTTTTCCAGTTCTTCATTTGCGGTCAAGAACCTTTTTACCGGCGGGAAGATCGCGCACTTGAAGCCGATCTACTCAACCCAGGAAACTGGATCAGTTGGAGTATTGCGATCGAGGCCGAACTGCTGGGAAAATCGTCTCGTTCAAGTGAACGATGATCGCCAGTGAGAACCCAGTTCGCTGCATCTGTCCGGTATAACTCATGCGGCTACCCGTTTCCCCCAGGCCAAAGGACTTGTTCGAGGCTGGTACAGTAACCTACTGCGTAGAGGTAGAGGTAGAACCTGGACCCCTCTCCAACAGGTAGAGAGGAAATCGGATTGTGCATGCCAGCATTGCACGATTGACCCGATTCTGCGTATTCCGATGGATGAAATACGGGCCTCATCTTGGGACCCAGCCGCGGGTAATCGCAGCTGAAAACACTCCCATTCGAGTCACTCCTGGCTTCGCGCAAATCTTTTTTTGGTGACATAGATAGATAAGGTACCCATGGCGTCACTACATGGCCGTCAACTCTCCAGCCTTCCAGATCTCTGGGATGTCTCTTTTCACCATCTTGCTGCCATGATACTGGGATCTTGAATGGGGTTTCACAACGGGCGTTGAGCAAGTGTCAATGCATGTCTTGCTCCCTCGTTTCCACCGTACCGTGAGCCACAAAGTCATAAGCGCTTGCAAGTTCATATTGTGGTATAGCGGAGCGGAAACGGAAACCAGCGCCACGATTTCACGCACATGGCCGCCAGTTGCGGCTAAGGACTTAATAGCTCTAGGGCGGCTCGTCCGATGTGTGGGGGTGTATATCGTGTGGAGGCTCGAGGATCGAAGTCTGGGATCGCAAAGCTCATAAATGTCATTCACCACTCTCATCCCATATCGCCCTGCGATCCCGTCTCCGAAGAGCGCATACCAGTTACAGTATGATGCTCAGAAATTGTCCTGTCCCGTACACCCCCAACACCAATGCCACCCCTACACCCGCTACTCCCTCGCCAAGCACAAAGACCATCGTTCAGTCCTGATATATTGGCCGGCTATGACCTCAGCGACAAGTCCACGCAAAAGCCGACGATATGGCAGGTCAACCTGGTTTTGATCGTGCTCGTGGGTGTGGTCGTCTCTCTCCGCATCATCTGCCGGGCTTACATCACCCGCCGTCTGTTCGTCGATGACTTTTTCATCATCCTGGCTGGGCTTTTCACGCTGATTTCGGCGTCCATGGCTCTGGCGGCGACAAGGTACGGACTGGGGGAACATATCTGGAACTTGCCGATGCCGGTAGAGAACATGTTGGATATGTTGACGCGGTGCGTAAAGGTGAGCTTTTCTGCCCGGGGCTTGAACTGGTGAAGTTGTGAGGCTGACGGGATCAAAGCACATGTATGTCGCCCACGTTTCCTATGCGGCGGCTGGCGCCTTCACCAAGCTGTCTATCTTGACGTCGTACTTGAGGATCTTTTCCGGCCAAGTCCTGAGATGGATCTTGTACGGCACGGCCGTTGTGGTGACGGCCATGGGGGTTTGCGCCGTCTTGGCGACCATCTTTCAGTGTACACCGGTGAAGGCGGCGTGGGATTATACGATTGCTGGTAGCAAGTGTATTCCCTTTGTGGACTTTTTGTATGCGAATGCCGGGGTCAATGTGGCCATTGACTTTGTGCTGGTTGCGGCGCCGTTGCCGTATTTTTGGAGTTTGAGTATTCCGTTGAGACAGAGGTTGATGATTTGCGTGCTGTTTGGGGTTGGGTTTATGTGAGTGTCTGCGTCTTGGTGGTCATGGTCTTGAAAGACATGTTGCTGACTGTCCAGTGCTTTTGCCTCTAGCATCATCCGAATAGTCTCGTTGGGTGGTGTCAAGGGTATTGACGTGACTTGTGAGTTTCAAATCCAGCCCCGCGTGGAAGATTGATACTGACCATCGAGGCAGACTACCTCGTGTCTCCCCTCAACTGGACCATCATCGAGTGCTCACTGGGCATCATATGTGTGTCCATTCCCCCGATGCGTCCTCTTCTGGCCAAACTTGCCCCGCCATGCTTCAGTAGTCATATATCGGAAGGTGACCAGATATCGAAGGTGTACCGGGGCTCCCAGCCACGGACCCAGCAGCAAGGGGAAGTCCATGGAGTGTTTGGGGTGCAATTGGAAGAGATTGAGATGGCGGCGAGGAGGGAAAGAGAAATGCAGAGCTCGACAGGGGAGTTGCTGGCGTCTGTGGATGATCATCAGACGTGTTTTGTATAGCACTTGCTCAGTAACAAATCAGGATATCGGGTGTAAACGAACTCCCGGACTTTCGAGTTCTAGACTAGTTCTTCAGTGATGTTTTGTTGAAGTCGTCATTCTGGAAAAGCCGTTTGAAAATCGAGTGGAATTGGCGAGACAGCAATGGATGATGGCGCACAGACCCACCCCGATTTGTCTCCGGCAGGCCCCTTGGCTTGCCGGAAAAGGTGCCGTGGCAGGCATCAACCCCGCAAAGCACGGCCAATTGTCTCAGAGACCTTTCTCCATTTTGGTCCCTTTTGGGCGGCAGAAAGTCAGCAAAGTGTCAGCGAAGAATCCCCGCAGCCGGGTCCATGACTAATGATTCCCCAATTGCTGAATGTGTGAGACAGACTCGGACCCTTGGCTTAATTCGCCGTTCCCTGGGTACGAATCATATGTACAGTAATCCGCAATCTGACCCAGCGCATCCGAACTTTGTGTTAGTTCTGTTGGACAAGACCGACTCGGGAACTTTCTCTCCTTCTCTCTCTCTCTCTCTCCGAGTCTCTTTACGACACCGCCGACTTGTCGAATTGCTTCTCGCTCTTGTTCTCCAGAGTTGAATTGATGTTCCAGACCTAAACACGACCAAACAATTTCCATCCCACCAAAGCCGAACCCCCTCTAGAGCGCGCCCCCGTTTGCCCCTCCGGCTCAACACTTCCGAACACTTCAGACCAAACATGTGCCCGGCACCAACATCAGATGCGCAATCGTCGCAAGCCGACAATGCGACAACAAGCCAACTACCCTCCTTCTACTCTCCCAAGAGATCAGAGAACACCAGCGAGCAGTCTCGAGACAATGGCGACGTCGAATCCGTAGACCTCTCTACCTCGGCTCAACCGACCACAGCCCCCGCCATCACCCTCGACACCAGCGACAACCTCTCGACACACTCGTCGGTGCCCTCGACCCCCCTCTCCCAACCACCACCGCCTTCCCTCCTCTCGCCCTCCTTCACGCCTCCCCAGACCCCCGGCACAGCAACCCCCTCCACCTCCATAACCTCCCTCTCCCTGTCCGAGCCGCGCGGCATCCCCGTCGACAGCTCCATTCCTACAGGAGGATGTGGTACCAAGAAGCCCAAGCTCCTCGAATCTCTGCCGCACGTAGAGTGCATAGTGCGGGCGCGCATTCCGACCACCAACGGGGCCGAGATGTTCCTGCACTTGTACACCAACGACGTGGACAACAAGGAGCACCTGGCGATTGTGTTTGGGAACAACATTCGGAGTGAAAGTTTGGACCGAGTGCGGGAGGGCGAGACGGAGATGGACAGGTTGGTCAGGGGTGCTTATACGGGTCGGTTGTATCCCGGTAGGACGACGAGTCGGGAACCGGGTGTTGGAGAGACGAAGAAAAAAGATCAGGAAGAGAAGGCGGAGGAGAAGAAGCAGGTGCCATTGGTCAGGATACACTCGGAATGCTACACGGGCGAGACCGTCTGGTCTGCGCGCTGTGACTGTGGTGAGCAGTTGGATGAGGCGGCGCGCTTGATGTCGTTGCCATCTAACACCGCTGGTGGAATCATTATCTATCTACGCCAAGAAGGCCGAGGTATTGGGTTGGGCGAAAAGTTGAAGGCCTATAACTTGCAAGATCTGGGGTCGGATACCGTCGAGGCCAATTTGCTGTTGCGCCACCCTGCGGATGCGAGAAGCTATGGTTTGGCGACTGCCATGTTGCGGGACCTGGGGCAAAAGGAGATCAGACTGTTGACGAACAACCCCGACAAGATCAGGGCGGTGGAGGGCCCGAATCGGGAGATTGTGGTGACGGAACGGGTGGCCATGGTGCCGTTGAGTTGGAAGGGCAAGGGAGGGTTCAGGGCGCCCGAGGTGGAGGGGTATTTGAAGACCAAGGTACGTTTGTGACGCTGACCCTGTTGGTGATATTGCTGCTGCTACTGCTGGTGGTGACGACTATGTGCTAACGCAGGTGACAACAGATTGAAAAGATGGGACACATGTTGGATATGGGAGCGCTCCCTCAGTGATACATTTGACACAAACACGAACGAACACATTAGACAGTTCTTGCTACATGGCGACATCTATTCTGCATATAATCTCGTGTATACCGAGCATGTCTCTCTGGCGGCACAAAAATCGAGGCGTTTCGGGGGGTTCTTTCATTCTGTTGATTAGATATCTGTTTAGAACAATCTTTTACAGACGGTTATGGTCACACCGTGGATTGCCATCTTGCAAGTTCTGGACTGATCCTACCAGTATCCAATGCTCAAGCTCCCTCATCTTTTTGCCATCCCCAAACACACACGTCTCTCGCGGGGTACCTCTGGGAGGTCACAGTAGCTCATGACGCCTTTTCACGTGCTCGAGTCCTTCTATAATCTTGTCTCCTACATCGGACCTCTGAAGAGACGCACTCGGCTACAACTTTGGTTACCTGTACACTATATAGGTACTGTACTGTAGGGACGTTCTTCCTTTTGGAGTGCCGGAAGACAGTGGAAGATGCAACGAATAAAGTGCTGGCCCCACACGCCCCGCAATGTTTCATCCAACAGGAAGCACAATCAAACTTCTTGGCATCAACGTTGGGCTCCACCGATAAGGCTTGCATGGTGCTCCCCTCCTGGCGCGGGATTGAATCAGCGTTTGTCCTGCAGAATGGAAGGCAGCGGGATGGAAGTGGAAATGGAAGCTGCAGAATAACGCCTGTCGCGACTGCCACCACTGCACCACAAAATGCCCTGAAGAAAAGAGCTGAGAGAGAATCCAACTGAACTTGAATCCTCCGCCAGCGTGGAAGGAGCGAAAAGCAAATTGAAGTGAAATCTTACGAAACAGAACGGAACACGGTTTGCTTGTTTCCCTTCTCCTCTGCAGTGCTTTTCTTCCGACTCCCGCAAACAACCAAACCATTGAATATTTCCACTTTACGCGTTCTTTTCGTCATCTCGGACTCAGATCACCAGGCACCACAATTGCAACTGTCCACCGCAACAGAACCCGAACAAGACGACAAACATCACATAGCCAACCATTCAGTTCATCTTCGATATCATACCATTCAATTTTACACCTAATCCACAAGTACCACACATCAACGGCAGGAACATGAAGGACCACAGCCTTCGTCTGCGCCTCGTCGTCCGGCGTCATTCCCTCCCCGAGGTCAGAATCATCCACCACGTCCCACTGGAGAACGACCCAACCATTGCCGACCTCGTCGACCAAGTCAACGACATCATCCCCCTCGAGAGCCACGAATGGGGCCTTGAAGATTACGTGGTCGAGCTCCGTAACAAGGAGGGTTATGCCTTTGAATGCCTGCATTTCCAGCAGGTGGCCAACGTCCTCAAGGACGAGGAAGAAGTCTTGTGAGTTACATAATAACCTCTTTTCACCTGTCCCGTCATTCAACCCCTCTATACTTCACTTGCTGACACCCAACCCCGCAGTGTCCGCCCCCTCGTCACCGGTGACCGAAAGCGCCGTCTGCTGTCCGGTCGCGACCAGATCTCCAACGATGGCAGACACCTGATTGACGGCGTTCCCTTTGGCCGTCCCCGACTCAGGTCTCCCAGAGACAGACCCCCGGTCGACATTCCCCCTCTCAAGCGGAGAAGAATCGAATACGATACCATCGAGCGTGATGATGATGATGAACAAGCAGAACCCCTCTTCCTCACCCGCCATGGCGAAGGTTCCGAGGACCGCGAGAGCACTCGTCAAGTCCGCTTCAACAACGCCGACTTGGATGCCAACGAGGACGAGGACGAGGAAGAAGACGATGACTTTGTCGATCAAGAGCAATATGGTGACGACGAGGAAGAAGACGAGGGCCAAGACGAAGACGACGATTACGACATCAACCCAGACGAACTTGCCGATGAACTCGAGGGTCTTCAGGAGGCAGAGTCAAGAGAAGAGACCCCAGTCGAGGACAACGTTGAGCAACCCACCGACATTAGCCCCACCAAGTCCCAAAAGTCTATCGACCTTTCAGACATTGACAGAATCGCTGCTCTCCGCGCTGCTTTCCCCAGAGTCTCGGTCGGCGTCTGCGAGAAGCTCCTCCTTCAGCACGATAGCAACGAGAACAAGGTTTACTGGAAGCTTCGACGCAGGAACCGTCCCCACATGACCCTGCAACAGATGCTAGCCTATAAGAGACGTCTCCAAGTCCGTGGACCTGAAGGTGCAATTGAGGACGAACTCGAGGTTGAAGCGTCCGAAAAGAGTGATGCCGAATCCGTTGCCTCCTTGGTCAAGCATTACGATGAGCATGGCTTCCCTGCTGGCTCTATCCTTGATGGTTCAGCTTCCCGTCACATGGTCGAAGCCCTTCGTATGTCGGGTCAGGATGTGAGGCTTCCTGTTCACAAAAAGTTTGATGAGGAGGAGGACGATGAGGGCACCGCCCAGCCCTCTAAAGTTGCTGCTCCCTCCGACGAGAACGAGATTCCCCTCGACTCAGAAGAGGAGGGGTCAGACTTTGACCTCGACGAGGACGACGAGGACTTATCTGAAGAGGGCTCTGACTCTTCCAACGACTCGGATGCTGTCTCCCTTTCTGATAACGCGGAAGAGGTGCTGAACGAAGAGGATCTCAGCGAAGCCTCTGACGAAGGATCCGCTGCCAGTGACAGCGAAAGTGGCCCCGAGGTCTACACCACCAAAGTAAAGCCCCCCGCGGAGATGGTCGCCCCCAAGAGCCCCCAGCCCAATGACGAATCCTCAAGTTCTGACGAGAGCGACAGCGACAGTAATAGCGACGACGACAGTAGCTCAGAGGAGGACGCATCCAGCAGCGAGAGCGACTCCGAGGATGAGGAGGACGATTCAAGCAGTGATGATAGCAACAGCAGTGATTCCGATAGCTCTTCACGCCACAATGTCAACGCAAATTCCGATAATGATATTAGCAGCGATTCAGAGGCCGATTCCAGTGACAGCAGTGATGATGACTCGGATGACGAACCAGTTACTTCAAGTTCTAGTCATGCAAACGTTACCAAAGCTGTACACCAGTCCAACAGCGAACAGTCAGCTACCCTTGATACGGCCACTCTCGATACTTCAAATGCATCCAACGACCAACAAGACCAAATCCCTGTGCCTCCAGGCCAAGGCAAGAGCAAAACAAGGGCCCGGAACGCACGCCGGAGGCTTTCTGCTAGGATAAGAAAGACCGCGTCCAGAGACACTTCTATTATTGGCTCTACGTCCGGTCAAGACACAGAGACGACGACACCGGCTGACCTGGAGGCCAAGAGGATGGCCTTGCTCCAGTCACTCGGTCATCTTGAGTATCTCGGCAAACCAGCTGAAGTAGAAAAGCCTGCAGCTCCCGTTCCCGAGACTGAACAGCCTGAGCCCTCTGCAGACGACACAACCTCTGCCCCGGCTAAGCGGAAGACGAAACTCGACGTGGACGCTGGCCGCCGTATGCTGTTCGGATCTCTTGGTCTTAAGAACCCCAAGTCTCAAGAGGATGAAGAACACCTTCGCGCTAGCTTGATGAAGGGTGTCAAGCCATTAGTCAACCACCGTGTGGAGGATGCGAAGAAAGACGCCGAAGTTGCCGTAACCGAAGTAGACCCTGACGCTTGGCGCCAAAAGATCAGCTATACCGCCGTTGAGTGCACCGAGGAAGGCATCGAGCTCAGCGAACCTCCCTTTCCATTCTACCAACGCTGGGATCCTCAACAGCAAAACTACTGGGGCAATGGCCGTGGCGGAGCCTCAAAGCGGAAGCAGCAGAGCCAAGGGGGATACGAGGAGGAGGAGCCGGGTACCAAGAAGAGAAAGGTGTTGGACGAAGAGGAGAATGTCGTTTTGAACTATGACGAGGAGGACCCCGATGCCTATGCGGCTCAGGACCACCCGGAAGAAGAACAAGATGAGGAAGAGTACGATGAAGAAGAGGAGCACAATGATGAGGAGCACGGAGACGAAGAAGAAGACTTACCTCCTCTTCCCAGTGATTTGACCACCCTGCCTCTGCTCCAACCAGGACAAGCCAAGGCTGGCATGATCATCACGTGGAAGCAATTCCTGCTCTCCAAGGCCACCAACTGGCAACCTCAAGTTATGAACATGACGGGAACCGTTGTTGAGGTCTGGGACCAGAACGATTTGCGAATCATCCTTGCCAAGCGGGATAGGAACCTGGACGTCAACGAGAAGGTCTATGATGATGAGGGCAACCGGGTCTATGACAAGTTTGAGGTTCCGGAGGACGAAGATGACGCCGATGAGGATGCTGAAAAGGGGTATCGGACCATCAACTTTGCCGACATGATGGAGCCGCGGGTATTGCGTCAGTCAGAGGATGAAGTCTTGGTGCCGGAGACCCAACACATTTCGCCGGCGAATGAGGATGGGGCCAGTAAGGCCAGCTCGCGTACTCTCGATCATAAGGCACCTTCGGAGCCCGAGTCGCAAATCGTTCAAGAAAGTCTCATCCCTGCTACGGACCATGGAAGCTCTTACGAACCTCAAGCTGCGCAGGTGACTTCCGCCGGCAATGTCTCCATTGATGATCATCTCCGCTCGGAGACCAGCCTTATCAGTACCGGCTCACGCTCGGAAGCGGATGCCTCTGTGTCTCGCGACGAACTTCTAAACGTAAGCAATCCCTCGCCACAGCGTGAACAAGCACCCGAATTGCCGTCATCTCCCCAGCATGGTCTTAGCGCACCCCCGTCCGAAGGTCACAACACCCCTCCGCGCAGCTCCGTCCTGGGTGATGAGCTGCCAGACGTCTCGGATCATCCTTCCCAGGAGCCTGAATTCCAGGATCAAAGACCTCCCTCCCGTTCCTCCGCCTACCTTGAATCCCAGCGTCTTACACTTAACGGATTCTCTGATGGACTGGAACAGGTAGCTGACAATCGGGGTAGCTATGTTAGCTATGCTAGGCTTGAGGTTATCCCTTCCGACGCAGATAGCGTTCGTAGCGGAAGGCAGCCAGACCCAGAGTTTAGCATCGATTTGGGAAACAACCAGATCCTCGACCAGTCTGAGCCTGAGGACGAAGATGACGTTCCGATGCCAGGTCGCGATGATGAGGAAGATGTCTCAATGCCAGGTTCCAACCACGAGGGGGATAACCAGGAGAATGATAGCGAGGAGGACCATGACGAGGACGATCAGGAGGAGGAATCACAACAAACTACACCTAGACCTCAGAAGCAAGCATCACTATCCGAAGAACCTGCTAGCCCCGCGCTCTCCGACCTTTCAGCTTCTAGCAACGATTCCTTCCCCTCTCTGAGCCAAACCACCACCAAATCCAGTCAACGCAAAGCCAGTCAGCCGCCCAAGTCGACCCCCCGAGATCCCATCCCTACCACCAGCAAGACTCGCAAATCGTTGGATGCTGTCAACCTAGACTACGAGCAGGCCATGAAGCGATTGGACGAAGAAGAGTCCTCCCAGGAGTCCACCACAATGGACGATACCCAAATCAAAGTAGAGAAGCGTCGCCAATTATCCGAGCTCGCCCAGAAACTAGCCAGAACGCCTATTGAGCGTCCTACACCTCGGAAGTTGCCCTTTCGTCGGACGACCTCCACCCCTTCCAAACTGAACCAAACCACCACTGCCACCACCAAATCAAAAAGAACAACTCGGTTCAGCGGTTCCTTCGTCATTCCTGACGGGTCTCAAGTCGTTGACCTTCGGGATCTGACCAGCAGCCCGGAGCCTGAGCTGAATGAAGACTATGCTGACGATGATGTGGATGAGACTTATCATGAAAGTAGTCCGGCTACTAGTCAGAGTCAAAATAGAGCGCCGCCGTCCACAGCCCCTGGAGCGTCGGCGTCATTTGTAACACCAAGGAGAAAGCTGTTTGGTAGCACGAGGTTGAGTTCTACGCAGCTGCAGAGTCCGAGGAGGAGTCAGCCGAGTATTATCACGGGGTCATTGAGGAAGAACAGAGGTTCGGCTTCTTCCAAGTAGAGTTTGGGAGAGTTGAACAGACCGCTTTTGACGAAGGTAGAGGAGGAGATAAAGGAGGAGAAGGGTGAGAAGATGATTGGAGAGAAAGGTATCAGTGTACAAACAAGAACGGATCGGCATGTTTCTCTCTTTCAGTTCTTGCGGGAAAAGCCGGTTTTGCAGTGCATTATGGAGGATTACGAGGCAAGAAAAGTGGGACAATACAAGTTGAACATGGCGTAGAAATCATGGGACAAGATTGAAGGCGGGGCTTAGTGCCTGTACGGGTTGGGCAGGTTGATTACAGTGGTGGGCAAAGGATTATTAGAAGTTGCATGTTTGATACAGCTATGAATTATCTTGCTTCTTAGAGGTACCTTATCCACATATTACCGTCTATATTCATGGCTCCGTGGTGAACATTTCCCTTTTGTCATGGCCTTTCAAACTCAGTTTGTCCAGCTGGGTTCTCGAATATGGTATAGCTACTTCTGATGCGGTGGACTGACGGACTGACGAACTTTATACATGGAGAATGGGAGTCGAAGGGAGAAGTCGTGGATCATGGGGTTGGTGGGTTTCCGTCTGCTTGATGGCTAACGAATATCACGAAACATACGGAACTTCAATGGCATAAAGAGAGACTGTAGATCGGAGACGATTGAAATGGGAACAAGTTTTAGACGATCTGAGGGCTCAGGGGGTTTATCGATGAGTCAACGGGGTCCGTGTTTGCTAGGTCTCTTCGTCCTTTGCGCAGGTAGAGGTACCATAGCTTGTTTCGTTGACTGGATGGGGGATCCGGATGGTTCACACGGCAATACAGATACTTGATGGCATACCGCTCACTATATCTTCTCCTCGTCACAATCCCAAGCTCACTAGAGGTACCTTGGAGGTACCTAGGTACTTATCTCTCCTACGCTTTCCCTGCTTCTACTCACCTGCCTGTGCCTGTACCTAGAGGTAAGGTACACCATTCCCCCCTTCGAACTACCATTCCAAGCCCAATTCTCATTCTCATCCCCATCGAATCCCATCCATCCATCCATTCACCCTTCCTTCCTATCAGGTATCTCACTGCTGAACACAACCCAGCTCAAAACTACCCGTACTACTAGCAGGAGAAGGGGGACCACCTTCACACGAGCTGCGCATGGTAGTCAAAGTTGTCAAAGCGGCGTTAAGTCCTTCTGTGTTGCTGCTGCAGCTACTGCTACTGCTACTGCTAATCGACCTGCTCGATCTTTTTTCAATGCCGGGTGAGTTGATGCTAACCTGACTTTCGTTGGTGTTGTCACTGGGGTTAGCGCATGTGTTTGTGTTGGTGTTTCTGTCGGTGTTGGTGCCATGTGTGGTAGGGTTGCAGATGTTGAGGCCGGCGATGGTGATGGTTATTTGCGAAGTACCTGTATTTTCTGCGTCATTCCCCGCGTGCATAACAGGAGTAGAAGAAGTGGGAGAAACGGTGGAAGTGGTGAAAGTGGTGGAAGGATTCGAAGGAATGGAATCTCTAGAGATAGCCGCCTCAAGAGCAGGCGAGCTGAAAAGAGAAGAGATAGGAGAGTTGGGTGAGGAAACCCAAGAGCCGGGCATGATGGTTACGTGGAGAATAGGACTGGGGTAGGGGTTGGAGCTCGTTGCGGTATGAGGTTGGGGACTTGGCTGAGAGCTGGACAACGGAGATTGGATGGGGGAAGTACTGCGAGAGGAAGCCCAATAGCCGGGCATTTTGACTTGTAGGATAGGAGTAGGGTATGGATAAATGCTGGGTTGGGGATTTGAAGTGTCCGGGGAAGTAGCTTGGGAGTTAATCTGAGGAGTACCGCCCCGGCACCGGGAAAGTGGAATAGGAGGGCTCAGGGGTAGGGTCTCGGTGAAATAGATGAAGCCTTCTTGGGAGCTGGTTTGCGAGTTTGGTTGTAGATTGTCCGTCGGTCGAGGATATTCTTCCGTTGAGACAGTCCAAGTACCTCTTGGAGCGGTGAAGTTTTCGCTGGCTTGAGAGCTGGACATGGACTGAGGGTCTGCCTCTGAGCTGGATAGACTTGGAAAAGTCATGCCTGGGCTGGGATCACGGGTCATTCCTGGTTGGGGGTTGAGTGAAATGAATACGGACAAGTCAAGTATGGAGCTTTCAGCGGAAGAGGTGTGGGAACTGGGGGCTGAAGTGGGCTGGGAAGTGGAGGGACAGGAGGCTGGGACTGTGAAGACTTGTGGACTTCCAGTGCTGGGTGTCGAGGGTATAGATGGTGAGCGTGGCAGGGGGATTGACGGCGGTGATGGTGATGAGGCTGGTGAAGGTGGTGACGGTGGTTGTGATCGGGTCTCTGAAAAGGACGCGGAGGACATTGTGATGTGTGGTGGTTGTAGTTGCGCTGCGTTTGATAAATGAAGATTGAGAGATGCTGTCAGCGTTGAACAATTGTCTTCAAGGCTGGAAGCAACGACAGGAGGCATTCTTATAGCTCCTTATCAGAGTGTGGCTTCTTCATGGCAACTGTCGACCATGGAAATGACATGCCTTGCTCCAGGGAAGCACTACCTCTACCCATCAAGGTACCCGGGCTCAGTCAGATGCGGCTCCCACTTGGTGTTGATCAGACGTTGGTGGCATTCTCATAGGCGTCAAGTATTTGTCCGGTGAGTGTTCAAACTGGAACGAAAGCGTTTGAAGCTGAAAGGTTCAGAAGAAGGACGGGACCAACGCAAAGCTGTCATTGAGCAGTAGGTCACTGCCCAAGCATCACGTACCTTGGATCAAGCACGCTCAACAACGGTAGCTTCTCCCCCTTTTGCAATGAGGCACCCTTGTCCAACATGATTCAAAGGATCATGATTTCCAATTTCGTGTTACCTGCTACCTCAGCACTACCCCAACAAACGCAACTCCCATTCAGTATCTGTCGGGTCTGAAGCCAAACCGTGCCCAGACACTCGATGTATCCGGTTGTGGGCGTGGACTCGATAGCTCAAGTGTATGACGGTCATGTCTCGAACCAAAAGGCCAGGATCAAGGAAGTTGAAAAATTCTTCCTGGCGAGAATCTGTTCCTTTCGGTGCCGTTGATGACGCGTCTGGATGTTCAAGTCCAGTGCAAATCGCCATGTCAAAGATAACATCGAGATGAATCGCTGAAGTGCAACATGCAGAATCAGGAAGTGCCCCTGCATGCGGACAGAGGCCGGAGATTGACTGGACGTTGATGTCTCGCATGTATGACATTGAGGTAGCAAATCGGAGAATTGTACGTCGCCGATAAGGAGCCCTTCGTTGCTTCCGATGGTGAAATGTTGTACGCGGATATCGAGCCTTCCTTGGGTGTTCATTATATTTGTCGGCTGTTTCCCGTTATGTTGTTTCTGAACTTGAGATTCACTCATTCTTCACCCAAGTTTGGCCTCATCTAGCAATCGCTTCCCAATCTCTGCTTGGCCCTCGCTCTCATGTTGGCGCCGTCTTCGTGTTCCCACCTCTTCCAATTTCGTTCATGAGAAGTCGGCATATCGATTAACACCACCAGAAGTGGCCTGATCAAACGGCGACGCTGCGTCAGATTGTCAGTTCCAAACAAGATTGACCGACATCCCTATAACTTCTTGCCGAGGTTAGAGAGCAACTCCTGTGAGCGAGAAGAAGCATAAAAATTTTCCGCGACTTTTCATCACCAAAACCAAACATCAACACCTTTTTGTCCAAGCACAACTTGAACACAACCACGGTCCACAGGAACCACCTAGCAACCCCCACGAACATCCATAAAATCCAACCAACCTCAACATGGTCACCTGCACCACCTTCGGGGAGCCCATCCCTACCGTTCCCAGCGCTCCCATTCCAACGCTTCCCAAGCCGAAGCCGCCTGCTCGCTGCGAGGTCGGTGGACCTATCCCTACGGTCCCCAGCGCCCCGATCCCGACCCTTCCCGGGCCTAAACCTCCTTGTCGCACCGAGGACGGCGAACCAGTTCCCACTGTACCAAGCGCTCCGATTCCTACTCTTCCCAAGCCAAAGCCGCCTACCCGTCTGTGAAGACTCGGAACGCGAGGATAATTGCGAGGTCGTGTACGTCCCGGCGGATTTCACCATCCACTTCCAGTAGCGACAGATCGCCGCTCGATTCACCCGAGTTTTTTCGACGAGTAACTTCTAGTGGCTTCACTCGAATCAAGATAAATGATCAAGGAGGCTGAAGGATTAATTTGACATGGGTGGGATTTCGCTCGGATGGCTTGTCGGCCCTGGATAAAGCGTTCATGAGGAATTGAGGCGGCGTGCAATGAATAGAGCTGGCTCAGGGTAACTGGCGTGCTTTGGAGAACAGGACTAGGAGGTTGTCATGGGTTGGCGACGTCGAGAAGTGAAGTTGACAAAATTGGCCATCAAGGTTCTTGTGCGCAGAGATAAGGCTGTCGATAAGGGCAACAGTCCGCTTGGTAGCTTCCTTCCATTCTTGATTGAATGTGAGCTTGTCATGAATATCATGATGAATCGTACTTTCTTTCTCAACCACGTTTTAGCAGAGAGTAGAGGTGAATTTACCGATCAGAACAAAGATTTTCCGTTGTCCTCGAATTGATGTCCTTCTCTCCGTTATTGTTCAGTTCTACTTCTTTCCAACATGATTGTGCCCACCACGGAACAATACTTGACCTCTCACTGGCCTCACCTTTGACAACGCCCAAATGTGCGCCATGATGTTGAACACATGCCCGGCTGTCATCGTGTTTTTCTTCAATCTCCATCACGGCAGTTTGCAGGCTAGTTTGTCTACCTCTTTCGCTCGCCAACCACCAACGGAAGCAAGTGTCATCGACAACACCGCTTTGATAGGATGTCATGTTCATTGAAGGAGAAGTGATGGGAATCCCTTCACTTTTTTTTCCCCGGGGAGGATGCCTCTGGCTCTAGGTATATTAGAGCACCCTCCCCTCGCTATTGCTCCTTTCCCGATCCTTTCTTTACCAGACAATGCACCTGAATACTCGCTTTTTCCGCATCCAAAATGTCCTCTTCCAGCCCCGACTTGCAACCGGAAGTGATGAACAGCTCTCAACCTAGCATCGCAAGCTCGTCCGTCCCCGACGTCCCCATTACTTCCGGCGCTCCCACTCCTACCCCTTCCACCCCTTCATTGTCCATCGAAATTCCCAACACCCTCAACCTCTCCTCCACCCCTGCAACCCTCAAGCTCTCCGGAAGCCTCATCAGCGGCCACCCATTGTCCGACCACGGTGATAATGATTATGTTGTGATCTACTCCGGAAACGCGGCCGAATGTCCTCGGTCGTTTATTATTCATCTCGATTTGACCGGCGTCAATGCCGGGGATGTGATAAACAGGCAAGAGGAGGAGCAGGAGCAAATAGAGGAGAAGGGTGAAGAGGATCGACTCGACCGGCAGCAGCAGCAGCAGCAGCAGCCCATCCCATATAATGTCGAATCAAGAGACAGCCACGACCAGAGACACTTGCAGTATGTATGTGTACATGCAACTAGGAGTGTATTTCCTTGGCAACCGGCGACACCCTCGCCGCCCAATCGATGCCCATCGGGGTCACAATGATGAATCGTTTTACTGTAGGCAGTTGGAACGATTACCCGGATGGGTTTTGGGGAACTCCCACCGTTGGTGCACCGGGTGGGTGGAGGGCTGATTCACCGGAGGATTGACGGTCGCGGCCCCGGGCATGGTCTGTTTGATTAGGATGGGTCGCTGGCGCTGGCGCAGATGGAAGAAGGCACACAAGGGAAAATGGGTAGGACGGGCTGATTTCAGTCTCCGACGGGACTAGAAGGTAGATGAGGATAAGGGTTAGGTAACTGGAGCGATAGAAGCAGGCCAGGAAAGGAACCAAAGGCAGTTAGACGAGAAAATTCAAGCGTCTGCTTCAATTTCCTGCTCCACAGTTCCGGCCATTCAGTGATAAGGCTCAGATGGACTGGCTGCCCCTAGGCCATCAGAAGCCTCCCGAGGTATGTGACATGCGCGATGATCCGTGATGTTCGCGGCGTTGAGGGTAGTAAAATCGTCCCGGTCGAATTGACGGAATTCGGCAAGTCATCGACTAGGCCTGCAGGGCTTTGACACCATCCGTGGACCGCTTTCCAACGTTGTTGCTCGTCTGTGCATAAGGTAGGTAATGAACCTCCGTGTCTTCCCTTCTCTGAACGTGACCTGTTTTGCTTGACGTGAGCATGAACCACACTAGTCCATTGCCCTCTAGCCCTGCCTTCGATCTCGTCCGCGGTCTGTGTGATTCCCTCAGATGACCAAAAGCAACATGAATGTGTCATTGAGCCAGGACGCTGGACGAGGTATCATGTCGTGCGAAGGAGAACAACGCGAATGCCTTCGTGATTCAGATCCAAGGGGGTTACCATTTCCCCATAAAAGTGCCCCCTCTCAAGCGCTCATAAACTTCAAACAGAACAGTCATTTCCTGTGTAGTCCACTTGATCAAATCTAGGGATAGACACGAAATCAACACAACAAACCACTAGTCCACCAGTTGACTTGGCTTTCCACACCTCCAAGATGACTTCCACTTCATCAAAGGCAACTTCACCAGCACCCTCATCTCCGACAGCCAATATTCATCTCCAGGTCAACACCTCCATCCAGACCGACGATGAAAACACAGAGTCCGCCACTTCCAGTCCATGTTTCCAGAGATCATCCGCTCCATCGCCGTCGCCAACTCTGTCAAGCCCACCTCAACCACTACCTTCAAACCCCACAGCTTCACAATTGGAGCCCACTCCATCCATCTACTCCCCCCGCCCGGACCCTCTCCCAAACTCGGCAGATGCAACGCGAAGTACCTCCCCCGTGGGCGTTGGTCCAACCCGTCCTAACTCGCCAGCACGTTTAGTAAACGAAGACGAACCCTTTGTCCCAGAAGTACCTAGCTCGCCTGTGTTGGCTCACTCGGTACCTGTCCCGGTTCCGGTGGGTGCGAGGGTGGATGTGCCTGGATTGGTTCAAGACGTGGACACAGAGCCCGAGCCAGGTCAAAGCTGCGAGACCACGACGATTACCATACCCCCTACGGCTGGCGCGACTGATATCACACTCGAGGAAGAAGACTTGTCCGCCAGGTTGTCAACCAGCTTAGACACGGACCTGGACACCGGGATAGCCACAAGCACATATAAACTTGACCCCCAGCCTCATCCCCGATGTCCTCAGCACGAGCACCAGGAAGAGCCCGCAGAAGGAGCCTGAGTCGGCGGTGGTGATGGGGTAGCGGTAGTAGGTCTAGCGGTTCGGCTAGTGGGTGACAGCGAGGTGAAGGTGAATGGAAGCAGGACTGCCTTGCTGGAATTGGAGGAAGTATTGAGTTCGGAGAAAGGAAATCTGAGAGGAAAGGTAGAGATGTCAGAGGCAAGAGTGATGAAGGTACAAGGACAGGACACTCGTCCAAGCCACCATTGAAACAAGTCAAAGTCTCGACAAACAAGACATCACGAATCACAGACGCCCAAGTTGTTGATCATCTTGTTTTTGTGCCACGCAAAACACCCCTGAATTGTATGCTATGTCGCCAGAATCCCTGAAAGCCCGACCGTCACGCCTCCAAATGGATCCCAAATGCTGACTAGGTTTGCAGGCGGCAGATCGACTGCCGGAGGAAGCCCCAGATGCACTGTAAAAGAGAATGCACACCCTCGCAAACACCCGGTGAGATAGAAGAGAAGGACGACAAAGCACTAAGGAGAGCGATACGCTTATTTCTCCTTCTTGGGCTTGGCACCCTTGACCTTGGCAGTGCCGCGGAGGGTCTTTTGGCGGTTCTTGCGCTGCTTGCCTGTTGAATGTTAGTGATGGATTGGGAGGCATGGGGGTAACTGAAAACATACGCTGCTGGCGGGAAGCCTTCTCAATCTTGGAGGCAAGGCCGACACGGACAAGACGGTAGTGGGGCTCGAACTTCTTCATGGCCTCGGGGGAGTCATAGACGAGGGCGAAGCCAGTGGTCTTGCCACCACCGAACTGGGTGCGGAGACCGAAGACGTTGACCTGGTCCTTGGTGGCCTTGTAGAGGGTGGCCAGCTTCTCGCGGAGCTCGTCCTTGGAGATGTTAGGACGGTTGGGGTGGAGGATATCCCTGTAGTGGTTAAAAAAGCAGGAGTAAGCAAGACTGTCCTTAAGTTGTTGAGGGAGCAACAACCGCGCATAGCAAAGCAGCTTTGGACTTGATGTGTCTCCTTCTCCGCCTCCCTCAGATTTGTATCACGATCACCGAAGCGAAACGCGACAAACCACCGCCCACTCTCCACTCGAGACGTCGTTGCGGTATCTTTCTTGTCTGTTTTGCCCCCAATCACCATGATCCGCATCATGATCCCCCGCGAAACCGCTAGTCTTTCAGCAAGGGTCAAAAGTATTTGTTTCCTTGTGTTTGTGTCCCATCTCTTTCTGGCCTCTTGAGCATCAAGGCTATTGATTTCGCAGGGTACAAATGGTGGATGATGATGGATGTGAGGTCATGGTTGACTCGATCGATCGCGCATCTCGGTGGAAGGAGGGGTCTGTTGGTGGTTTTGTCGCATTCGCTTGGTGGGACTTCGATGGAAGTATTGCTCGGATATGCTCTGTGAAAGACAAAATGAAGGTAGACATGATCAAACATATCCATTGCTGCCTTGCTGCCACGGCGTTGACTCTTGGTCAGATTGGCAGGAGGGCAACGTACACGACCATCTGCTTGCGGCCAAGCAGAGGGTTGCGGATGAACTTGCGAGTGCGCAGGGTGACGGGGGAGTCGGAGTCAGCCATCTTGGTGTCTTGCGGGCGAGTTGACGATCAAGACCGAGAAGTGCAGCGGCGGACGGAGGAGCGGTTGTGCTTTTTTTGAAGTCGTTTTTTGCACTCGCCGCGCACGGGGCACACGACAACTTGCGGTGGAGCCACTGAGAAAATTCCACTCTCGTGCCGCTTAATTGGGTGCAAGCCCTAATCGTGTGGGAATGTGGCCTGGGATGTGAGGCGTAAATCTTGGCGTTTCTGCTTTGGGAGTGCAGGGTGGCTCGTGCTGCACCTCACCTCCCCGAAAAGTGCACGGGCCTTGTCAAGACAGCGGGACTTGGTTGTCGTCCCAACTGGGATCGTCCAAATAAACAATCAACAAACATGTGGCCGGGGACATGCTCTCATCAATAAACCATGATAGGGTTTGCTCTTTTTATTTTATTCTGTCATCTACGATGTAAAGCCAGGTCTAGGACACAGCCATACCTGTTTTGACTTTTCACTGGCTGTCTAGCCGTCGTCTCAGAGGAATGAAGCGGACAATGCGACAATCAAGGCTGACCGATAAGCTCTTATCAATTACACACACCACCCCGGCGTCAAGCTCGAGCCTACTCCCTCCAGCTCCCCTACCTAGTTCCGCCTCAACTGACAGATGTGTATCGGCATCAGATGATTATAGAACGGCCCAGTCTGCTCAGATCTAGGCGGCACCGGAAACTCCGCATGAACCACCTCCAACCCCCTGCCCTCACACACGCTCAGAAAGCTCTCATACGTCTCCCGATTCCTCTCTGTCGCCGCAATCACCACCTCCACCTTGGGAAATAGTTCGACTACTTCCTCAACCGTGGCCACCAACGCCGGAATAACGCTTTTATCATACGTGATATCCGCGCCCAGCACCACGTCCACTTCCCGTCCTCCGTTCCATTGCGCCTCCTCGGTGCCGACAAGCGCGTGACCCCACCATAGCTCCATCGGCTGGACGGCATCAGACCCCTGGAGCCCGTTGAGGAACAAGCTGTCAGGCAAGTTGGCCACGACTTCGTCTGACCCGTCGGTGGCGATGACGTGTTTGGCCCCGAGATACTTGGCGCAGAGGATAGAAACGTAGCCTGTTCCTGCGCCGAGTTCGAGCACACGCTTGCCGCAGACGAGGGAGGGATGCGTGAGGAGGTACTGCCCCAAGTGAAGGGAGGCTTCCCAGGTGCGTAGGCCGGTGGTGCCGGAGGCGGCGATGAGGTTGCGGGATTCTAGGAGGGTGATGTGTGGCTCCTCGTCAGGAGAAGCCGACGATACCTCTTCCCGGCCCGGTTGATCCGGATCTTGTTCAAAGGCATAACTGCCGACGCCGAGATTTTGATCGAGAAGAGACAGGTGGTAAGTGACGTAGCACTTTTGCTGCGCGGCAACGGCCTCGGAGGGTAACCGCAGCGAGAGCAGATGGGATAATCTTGTGTAGAGATTGTCCGAGAGGCCCTAGTAAAAGATGGCAAAAGAAACAACTTGGTGAGGAAACGTGCTACGAGGGGGTGGTAGGTAACTTGGATTTGAACTTTGCAGCAGCCAGCCGAGACCTTCTTACTTCAACGCATGGAACTGAAATGACCATTACAGAAACTTACATATTGGTCCCAATCCTCGATACTTTCCTCAATCCGTTTCACCAGCTCTTTCAGGATCCTCAGCTGATACCGCGGAGGCGCGGGATTCTTGATGTCCTCGCTGAAAAGCTGCTCGTACAGTGTCTCCTGGACTGATGCATCGCACAGGTACTCGCCGTCGGGGAAGTCCACGACCGGCTCCAGTTGGAGGTATTGCCGGCAAAAGCGAGCAATTTGCATATGCTTGCGCTTTATTTGGGTCGTTCTAGCCATTGTTGTTATGTGGTTTGCCGGCAGCACAGCGAGGCAATGATGACGTGGTGACGGCGGTCGTTGACTGACAAAAGTTCATTTCAGCGACTTTTGTGAAGTTCCAAAGTCGGATGCCGCGGGCCCACTTTTCCTTCTCGTTCGGCGCAGTCCAGTCACGTGTGCCCTCGCCGCTCTTCCCCCTTTTCGCGCTTGGCAGTTATCGACCAACGTCGACACTCGCTCATTCTCAGAGAACCCAACCGTTGAGCAACCTTCAGCGCAGTCATGCCCACTCTCCCGAGTGAACCTGAATGGCCATCAGAAATCTACATTCGACGGATGTCACTGTCAATCTTCACCACGACAGAAAGTGGCGCACCACTAACAAAAGCGCAAGAAACCAATGCACCAAACCGTGATCCAATGTCGATTGGTACCGGCTATCGACCTTAGGGCCACGAGCCTTGCTCTCACAAACCATTCCAGCTGGGTACACAAAGGCCTGCAAGAGTCCGATACTATCAGAGATGATGGCCATGCGGGAACGGAAGTGAACAGTTGAGGGCCGGGAACCCCCACCACGGGTTTCCAAGCGGAGACGCCTCCTGACCGTTGACTGGAGCTGGAACGGTCCGAACGGGATACCGAGTTCGACTTGATTATCCGAGTTGGGAACAAGGAAGCCGGGAAACCCCCAAAGACAAGGGAAGCACAGCATCTAAGCGAGGCTCATCTAGATCCCACGACATCCTGCGACATGGTGCCGGAAGTGCAGAAAGATTGATGGCCAGCAAGCAACCTTTCATACTCGAAGTCGCCAGCCGAGACGGACGGTGACGAGATTGATGTGATAGGTGTACCTACCTACAGACAAGGTAGTGCCGTTTATCTACTTGTCTGGTGTCCATTGTTCTTCAGGCTACTCGATCCCCCCTGAACCGCTCGAAATTTCCTAACTCGTCTGGTCTATCTATGCCGCCGAAACTGTCGTCAACATACTACCCAAGGTGTCTTGCGGAACCGGGCCGTTACATCTAACCCTGTCCTCGCCAGGAACAATGGAACACGTTTCCCCAATGTTCTACACACTGTCGACATGACAGGGCCCGGTCAGGCCTAGGATATTGAGACCACTGCAAAATGACGAAGCAATCGACTGACACAAGCAACCTTGAGGTTGCCAGGCGACTGACTGAACCCCCGAAAGACCCAGCCCATTCAGGAACGCCAGAGTCCAGATCTATGTCATGACATTGACTCCTCGCTGATAGGTCAAGTCACCCATCAGTCTGCATGATGCTTCAACGCCCGGCTTCCTGAATACGAGTTTCAAGTACCTAGTAAACCCTCGAGAAATATTGGACAAGTGGACGGAGGCCTCGTCATACTTCCTGCAAGATTCAAAGGGGTTGTATGGTTCGCCATTACAGCTTGGTTTGGTTGACGGTTACCAGCCCGCGCGGGAAAGTCTGCCTACCTAGCTACCTACACTGCTAGGTAAGGTACAAGACGAGCACCACAAGGGCCGCGCCGCTGCTGCAAATGCATTGTGCGGCTGGTGTTGCCTCGTTCTTCCCACCTCGCATGTAGATTCTTAGAGGTAGGTAGGTACGTCTTGCCTTGCTTGCTGACATAGGTACCTACGACTACCTACCTCTAGAGATACACATACACGTCTACCCCTGATCTAGGTAGGTAGCTAGGTAGTAGTCACCCCCATTCTCAAGCGGATGTATTGATGCTCTGCCGGATGTGCGTGCCATAACAGGTAATTCTTCGCGGTCTTATTTGTACATGTACCTTACCTCTCCTGACCCTCTACAT